CCGCCTCCGAACCTCCAAGATGTCAGACTGACACTTCCATTACAACCCTCCGCCTGTGATCACATCTCTCGCCCAGCCGCCCACCGTCGCCCTTTTCACGCCCCTGCCCACCGGCAACCCCAGCTGATTGATCTCGCGAGATTCACGCTGCCCTCCGCGAGATCTCCGCTACTGGGCGATCGCGTTTCACGAGATCCAAAATGGGAGATGGTTATCGGGGATTAGCTTTCTCTCCCCCCGCGTGATTGGAACACGGGTCCCTTTTGTGAGGGCTTGCTAGAGAAGTAACAATGTAACCATCAAGGGAATTCTTTTTTTTTTTCTTTTGAGAGCTGATAGTATAGTAACAATTTTAATGCTGTAATTTATGCGAACATCTGGTAAACCTGGTAAAAATGTTGGTAAGAGTCGGTAGAAACTTGTATTGTTAGTGCTAGTTTAGAGAATCAACAAACGTCATCAGGGAGGCATTCTATTGGAATCAACAAGGAAAGAAGAAAGCGGGTAGGCTTAAAATAAACTTAGATCAGTTGTCAGTGAAGCAGAAGCAGCCGGGATGTCGTGGACCCAACTTGGAGGAATCACCCAAAACCGAGTACATTAGAAAGTAACGGATAAAAAGCTAGTGCGCAGCGTGTATTTTGTGTGTGCAGGGTACTAACAATCTTTTACAAAGATTTAGGCATTTTACAAAATGAATGCGCGGCAGTTCAAAACTACTGCGTGCCCGCGCAACTTACATGGAACATTGCATGTGGAAGCGTCCCGATTTTCCACAATTTTTCACCAGGAACTCACAGGAACCATTTAAATAAAGAAGACATTCTTTTTAAAGAAATAATTCTTGTTATATATTTTTAACATTTTAAAAATTTATTCAAGGTACAATAAAAACTTTAAACTCTCTGCCCAACCATCTTACATATGAGATCGTAGCATCTTTAATTTCTCTCTAAACTATCTAGATGGGACGGGGTGGTTGGGCGGTAGAGCGCCGACTGCTAGTCCGATCGTCTCAGGTTCGAATCCCGTGCTCGAGTCCGTAAAACGCCCAAAGTCCACCCAGTTCTGAGGGTACCTGACTTTTAGTGAGGGGCGGGTACCTTATAAAGACCTGGACACTCTGTTCCTTCACATGCCGAGGTCACCGTAACATAACTCTACTTCACCTGCACTATGGACTGCCAATCTAAAATTCGGACCCCCGGGCAAATTAGTCTCTTTAGCTTGGAGGGACTTTTTTTTTTTTTTTAGCTATTGCTTTTAGAAATGCTAATTAGCCAGGTAGAAAATGTAAATTATTATATTAGAAATACTAATTGGACAGGAAAAATCTCTCTAAGATTATGGTCTACGGAAATACTTAATGTACTTAAATGTGTTTAAAATAAAACAATTAGAACAAAATTATTGAGGTCGTGGTCTAGTGGTAGAGCGCTAGACTACTAACCCGTAAGTCTTTGGTTCGAATCCGGGCTCAAGTCAGTAGAACGTCCTTGCTCTTGGTGGGGTATCTAACTCACGTTAGGGAAAGTAAAGGTGGTTGGACATAGGGCTGACCACACTGTCCCTTCATATGCCGAGGTTCAAAGAAACAGGTGAACTCTACTTCACTTGCCCTACCGACCGTCAGGTTTTAAAATGGGAACTGAACTTTTACTTTAATTGAGTATATTTAAAAAAAAACTTTTAATGTTGTTACTAACTTAATTTGGTGAAATTAAGTTATTTACAGAGTGATGCTTCTCTAGAGAATCAACGCATCTTTCAACAATACAGGACCTAATGTACATAGGGGCGGCAGAGGGTTGCGTGGGGGGGGGGGGGCGCTGGTATTTTGTGACATTTTGTGACAAGGCATAATTTTTACAGCTCATCCTTATTTATGGTATTCGCATAAAAAAAAACATACTTTGAAGTTTTACGTATCTACCATAGGTGTGGTCCATTTTTATCCAAATACTAAAACCTTTTTTTTTTAAATGCGTGACCGCGTCAGCCATCGTGAATCCTTCATGCTAAGAATATGTGTATTCAACACCTGCAGATTCTGCCGCCCCAACACCTGTGGAGTCTCGCGACCCTCATCCTATCCCACCTATATAAGTCTACCTATAAAAACCACCCTCAATTAAACAGGTGGATGATGACGTTTAATGGCGAGATCAGGATTCGTTCCCAAGCCCCAACACACGGGTTCTCTGTAGGCCTGCTAATCCTGCTAATCCCCGGTTAATCCGTGGCCAGTGCCGGTGAGATCAAACCCCCCGTGCCGGCTCGAATCACGCGAATTTTTTTTTTTTTTTTTAATTTTGTGGTTGGCCCCTGGGTGGCCGATTACTAAGTGTGGGTCGGGCCTGTCCTCGCTTCATATTGTGCTAATGTTATCAGATGGAGTGGTCAGAGAGAGGGGTGATGAAGATGGATGGGGTACAAGGTAGAACTGGTCTGCGGTGGAATATTTCCATTTTTTCGTTTTAAAGCATGGGTTTCTAAGTGATAGTAGATTAGGCCTAGTAGTTTGGGGTTAAGTAAGTGTGGGGGGGGGGGGGTGAAATATGGGCGACAGCTGATTAAATGTGTATCTGGTGAGGTATGGGGGGTGTGATGGTGGATTTGGGGAGGGTGTTGAGGAAGGGTGAGCTAAGGTGTTGAGGGAGGGGATGGTGTTGAGGTAGGGGAGTGTGTTGGGGGAGGGGTAGCGTGTTAATGGAAGGGAGCGTGTTGGGGAGGGAGTGGAGGGGTTGGGGAGGGAGTGGAGGGTGTTGGGGAGGGAGTGGAGGGTGTTGGGGAGGGAGTGGAGGGTGTTGGGGAGGGAGTGGAGGGTGTTGGGGTTGTGATTTGAACTATGTGGCACATTTATATAGTCAACACCTGGACTCATATCAACCCGCCCCCCTCCCCCCACACCACCACCTGCAATCTTTAAGCCATAAACAACAGCAGATCACCACCTGCGAAATACGACCCACAAACTACATCATCACCTGCGGCAGACAGAAGACAGCAGATATTCACAATTTTCAGCTTTTTATCAAAGATTGATTTTTATAAAGAAAAAAAAACCCACCCGGCTTTCAAAATACCACCAGCGCCCCAGCAGTGAGTCCCTGGCATCCTAAATCCCTAGTTATCCCTATCCCAACGATCCCTCCGTCGATGATATCCCTACGCTACCGATCCCACAATAAAAGCGCCCCACCACCAAGAAAATCCCCCACCCCCCTCTGCTGCCCTCTAATCCTTGAATGTATCTCATATACCATCGCTCAACACGGGGACGTAGTCGCGGACGGCTTACGCCGTGGAAGAATGCGCTCAATGAAGGGGAGAGAAGTTATCAGGCGGTGAATCATCTCCCCTTTAGCGGAACTTAATCTCATAATATGTTGCTTTTTTTTTTCTCCACCGGATGCGGGCGATACGGCGGCTTGCCACCCAATTTGGGACCGCGGAGCGCCCCCTGTGTGAAGCGGGGTATGTAGTTAGGGGTATTGCATCGTTAAGCCCGCGCGGTCGTTGGTCATGGTGTAGAGCTCCGTATTTTGTGAAATATGTTCTTTTGTTCCCCCGCGGCGTACGGGATGTACCCCCGTGTTTTTTTTTTGTTTTTTTTTTTAATTTGGTGGAGGAGTTATTTCCCTTGAGGATATACTTTTTTCAATTGTTTCCCCTTCTCTTGGGGATGGAATTTGCTGTATCGGTCAAACATTGAGAGAGATGGAAGGGTGGGGATGGGGTGGGGGTGGGGGGGGGGGGGGACAGAGAAAAGGCGGGGTGGGGGTTGTATTATTAGATACTTTTAAGAAACGCAAAGGGAAATAATTGCAGTGGAAAGTTTTTTTAAGATTGTTATAAAACTAGAATCCAGTCTCGTACAGTGCAAAGGTTCAAAGGTGGAACTGTCTCGTGTGCAATATAAAGGTCATGTTTTTTGTTGACCATATATGTCGTTATGATGGGTCATCCATAAATGACGTCACGCTTTTGGACGAGTTTCACCTCCCCACCTTCCCTCGGTCACACATCGTCACAGAAAGCCAGACCCCACTAATAACATCACACCTCATCATACAGCCCTCCCCCCCCCCCAACACCCATCAAAATTGCAATTGCATATTTCTTAAAACATTTATTTTAAAAAAAAAACTAAAATCTTGACTGATCTCGGTCAACACTATTTTTAATCAATTACGATTACAATTTACTAAAACGGTTTTCTAAAACGCAAAATAACGGCTAAAATTAGTTTTCTTACTTGACTTTTTTTTAATGATGAAAAAGTGTGACGTTACACTACATGAATTCCCCCACCCCTTTCCCCTTACGAGTGTGACGTCATTCATCGACTTCTGTGTCTTCAGTTTCTAGCGGGAGGCTAATATTAACACATAAGCCCGACCACAAATTAAAATAGCATATGGTGTATGTAAGAGCTTAAGGATAGCTGTAGCATTTGGGAGAGGGTTGGGTTTAGGGATAGATGACCCTGTAACGGGAACAGTCGATTCAGTTTTAAGTATCGAATCTAGAAATGTAATTGTCACTTTTTTACATTAGTTATTTAAGGCTTTGCTCTGTTAATTATAAAAAAAATATAAGAAAACAGTTATCTGTGTGAAAAAATAAAACTTTTCTTGCACCCCGCCTCCACCCCCCACCCCCCCCCCCCCCCGCCCTTTTCTTTTTTCTGCTCTTATTGTGTGACGACATTTATAGAGGACCAATGTAAATGTCCACTCCCTTAGTGACTTTTCCTGAAGTCTATCGACTACTACGATCGTGACGTCACTTACAGACTGACACCCTCACCTAACCCATAGTAACCCCTCCACTTTTGACGTCTATCGATTACCACACGTCAGTCGACCCCTTCACGTAACCCCCACTGACCCTCCCCACACGTCAATCAAAATACTAGACGAGTGACGACAAACGACCCCTTCACCTAACCCCCATGTACACCCCCCCCTCTCCTTTTACATCTAACCGGTACTCACATTTTCTCCGAACAGCTCTCCGGCCTCTCCATCCTGAAGCCTCTCTGCAGTTCTCTCAGCAGCTCTCTGGCCTGTAGGGTGGGGTACGGGGTCCCGCCCAGGGTGACGATCTCAAACAAAACAATGCCAAAACTCCACCTGGTCAAATCCGCAAAGAAGGAAAAAATCATTAAAGGGAAACAATCATGAAAATATTTTATAGGTACAAAAATATGGATTATTTCCCTGGATCTATTAAGAACAATAACAATAAGTATGATGATTTAAGTTAGTGCAAAAAATCTAAATTGCAAAACTGCGCTGATCAGTGTCATAGTCTAGTGTTACAGGTTTCATAAATTGTACTTGTGTTTACAACTTTCTGATATAATATCGTGCCGTTTGTACGAGTAAAGTCGTTTGGGGCAATACTTTAACAGTACGAGGGAATTGTTAGTTGGAGAGAGGGGTGGGGAAGTCGGTGGAAAAGGGTCGTTTCTTGCCCCTCTCCCGCTATATACTTTTACCGGTGTCCGCCCCCCGTCCCCGTAAATTCTAGTTCGTCCTCCTAAATTTTCAAGTGCCCCCCCCCCCCCCACCCTCCAAAAAAAATCTGAAAGAAACACTGCTTCCCATCGGTGCACGTTCATGGCGGACCCCCCCCCCCCCCCCCCCCCAAGCTTCAAAGTGTTCGCCTTCCCGGAATTTTGAAGTGCCAATGGAGGGGTGTGAGGAGGAGGAAACAAATCATGCTATGATTGAGTGTCCATTAGAACTCTAACTCACCTACGGCTGAGAACCCGTCTGACTCGACTTGTTCATCAAAACAAGATTTTTGTCCCCGATTGTTACACGAATAAAGTTATTTATTACGTTACCCAAATATTACATTTTTGTATATATATAAGACCTGATGTCTTATCCCTAGGTTACCACTGCTATACGTATTCACCACCCCACTCCCATCTCCGGCTCACGTATTTCACCCCCCTCCCCTCCATCAACCTGACTCAAACATTCATACAAATTCTCCAAAGCTGGCGTTAATTGGAATCTATACACACTTTTTTTTACTACTGCTACGTCACTGAAACATCACTCTACTGACACATCACTCTACTTACACGTCACTGGCCGTGGAAAACGTCATATCAAAGATGGCCTCGATGGACATCCACTTGACCGGAAGTTTACCCCCGCGCCTGCTGACGTAGACGGCGTCGTCGTACACGTACCTGGCCAGCCCGAAGTCGCCGATCTTGCAGACGTTGTTGGCACCGACTAGAACATTCCGGGCCGCCAGGTCGCGATGGACGAACCCCTTAGAGGCCAGGAAATCCTGTAGGGTTGTAGAGGCTGGTTGGTTGAGGGGGTCCGTTGAGGGGGTCGGTTGAGGGGGTTAAATGAGGGGGGTCAGTTGAAAGGGTCAGTTGATGGGAGTCAGTTGAGGGGACAGTTGAAGGGGGGGGGGGGGGCAGTTGATGGGGGGATGGAGCTGAGGGGTTCAGTTGATGGGGGTCAGTTGAAGGGGTCATTTAAAGGGGTCAGTTAAGGGTGAAGGTTAGTTGAGGGAGTCATTTAAGGGGGTCATTTGAGGGGGGTCATTTGAGGGGGGCAGTTGAGTCGGTCAGTTGAAGGGGTCAGTTGAAGGGGGTCAGTTGAGGGGGGGGGGGTCAGTTGAAAGGATTTTGAGGGGGTCATTTGAGTGTTAGTTAAAAGGGTTTGTTGAAGGGGTCAATTAGTTAGGATGTTAAAAAATACCATGTGTCGTCATCAACTTAAGACCCACAACACACTGTGACGTCACCAGCCAACAACTCACCATTCCTTTGGTGATCTGCCAGGCAAACCGGATCAGATCGACAGGGTTCAAAATGTCAACGCCGTTGTTGACGTAATGGTGACCGGAAACCGGAAGCTGAAATTTGAAAGAAAAATTATTTTTATACACATACAAAAAGAACGCATCTTCGGAAAAATTAGTAAATTAGAGTAGCAACATGACAAGTGTGTGTGATTGTAGTGCTCTGCTACTCAGGGGACCAAAATGGATTCAGTCAATAACATCTTGGTGACGTTATAAAAAAAAAATTATTTAAAAAAATAAACTAGAAAATGTGGTTAAATCTCAGTTACGTGGAAAGATAGTGCGATAAGATCTGCACCCATAAATCTTTACTACCGCTTGTTAAGTGGATTTGAACTCGAGACATTTGGTTTAAAACTGGAACGCTCATAATATTTGTCTTTGAAGTAAAGGGAATTTGACGTTTCCTTAGGAATAAGGATCCTAACCGTGTTTTATATGGGGGAAAAAGTCGCTTGTCCTTGTGACTCTCATTATAAAATCTTTTTTGTTTATCCGCACTCGTTATCGTGAAGTGTGTAATATGGGAAGTGTGGCGTGAATCGTGTCTTGTGAAGCGTGAACCGTGAAGTGTGAAGCGAGAAACGTGAAGTATAAAACGTGAACTGTGAAGCCTGAAGTATAAAACGTGAACTGTCAACCCTGAAGTATAAAAAGGGAAGCCTGAAGTATAAAACGTGAAGCATGAAGTATAAAACGTGAAGCGTGAAGTGTAAAACGTGAAGCATGAAGTATAAAACGTGAAATGTGAAGTTTGAAGTATAAAAAGGGAAGCCTGAAGTATAAAACGTGAAGCGTGAAGTATAAAACGGGAAGACTGAAGTATAAAACGTGAAGCATGAAGTATAAAACGTGAAGCCTAATGTATAAAACGTGAAGCGTGAGGTATAAAACGTGAAACGTGAAGTATAAAAACTTGAAACGTGAAGTATAAAGCTTGATGCGTAAACTGTAAAAGATGAAGTGTGAACTATAAAACGTAAAGCGTGAAACCCCCCACCTTCTGAATCTCGTGACGTCGCGTCTTGAGGTAGTTGAGCAGGTCACCGTGACCCACGTGCTCGACCAGCAGACAGATGGGCTCGCGCCGCGTGCAACAGCCCAGCATGCTGACGATGTTGTCATGGTAACCGATCCTCTTCATCAGCTCGATCTCCCGCAGGAAGTCCTGCTTGTAGGTGACATCACATCCGTCTGTATCGGGAGAAAACATTACATTTTAGCCTGATTCCACAGGGACACCAGATGAATTAATGTTAACCTTAAAATTTGTAACAAGCGCAAATGACAATGTGAAAGTGCCCTTTCAAACACTGGGCAGATGAAGTAGAGTTCACCTGTTTCTGTGAACAAGACATATGAAGGGATAGGGGTCAGCACTATGCCCAGCCGCCTTTGTTTTCCCTAACGTGAGTCAGGTACCCAATCAGAGCTGAGTGGACTCAAGGACGCCGTAAAGGCTGGATCCCGGGCAGTGTTTCTTCCAGACTTTTCTCCGGGAGGGGGGGGGGGCACTTGAAATTTTCAGGGGGGAAGGGCGGTAGACTTTCTTCGGGGGGGGGGGGGGCGGACACTGTTAAAAGTATATATTTTCTATATAAATTATATAAATTTCATTTCGTTCGGGGGGGGGGGGGGGCGGGTTAGCCAAGATTCGCTACTGTTATTGTACACGCGCTTTTGCTCCTAAGGGTGATTGCTGCATAGCCTTAGTCCTAACCCTGATATTAACTCTAATACGAACAAGAACCTTAAACTAAGTGGCGATACAGACAGAAAACGGAAGTTACGTTACTGCATTAACCTGTTGGTGAACACAGAACTATTACTAATCCTAACCAATGTAACCATAATCCTCAGAATAGACAGAAATAATCACTTGAATGGTGTTAGAATTTACCGAGCCACGTCTGCGGCGTATTTTATGTGCGCGGTGTTCTAAAAGTCGTATACAAAGATATATGATTAATATATATGTGTTTTACAAAATGACTGCACGTGGCAGGTTCAAAATCACCGGCCGGCAGCTGAACAGCGCACCTTAGAGGGAATTTTGTCATAACAGTAAAAAACGAATGTGACCTCTGACCTTGAAGTTTTTTGACCGCCACTGTAGCGTGGGTGGTGTCCCCTTCCTGGGACCACATCCCTTGGTCACCCAGTCCGGAAGTGGCGCCCCTGTGAACCAGCAGCGCCCGGGAGATCCGCCCCTTGAACACTTGGCCGAACGCCCCCGACCCCAGCACGGGGCCAAACTTGACACAGCTGATAGGGAATTCCCAGTCGTCTGCCGCCTGTGGGTCAAGGCCGCTGGGCAGATCGAATATAGAATAGGAGCAGAAGTTTAAATAGCTGCTGGAGACAGTATTTTGGTGAAATAATTTTGCTAAACAATATCCAAATATTGAGCAATAATTACAAATGTATAATAATTAGTTTTTTTATTTATTTTTTTTAAATTGAAAAAAAAAAGTAAGGAAGAACACAAGGAATAAACCACAAATCTCAGTTGTTGTTTTTACTTTCGAGAAAAAATAGATTTTGCGTTTGAGATCAATTGTTGTTAAAAGTGAGGCATAATTTTTAACATCCTAAATATTGAGGGGATCCTGTTGTTTTTACGATTTCATATTGTTTATACGTGATAGATATACACTAGTACTATATGAATATGGCGCGAACTCAAAAATTTCAAAAAATTGAGCATCTCTGGTTTGTCCAATCAGGATTTTGTGATACATCAACTCCGTACGTGTATTATTGGCCGTTAACTAGGTCGTCTTAATACCAGGATTTTTGTGACGCCCATAACCGATGTCACGCTATTTCTACTAGCCTTCTCTGTCGTCACACATGATGATAAAAGTCAACCGCTCCTCCCCCTTCCCCCACTACCACCACCTCTCCCCGCACCAGCACGTCGACGACCTTTAGCAAAACCGTAACTTTATTGGCTGTTTTTTTTTAAAGGGATGTAATCAACCTCGAAGAGTTTGTCGAAAATATTAATTGAATAGTTTCCCTTTGTACGAAAATAATATAAGATTCGATGATTTATTTTAATTTTTTTTTTTTTCCTTTTCTTTTTAAATGTTAAAAAGAAAAAAAACAACTTAAAATTCAGTTAGTAACATTGTTTTAAAAAATACAACAACAAATGACGACACACTTTCTTACCCCCTTCCCCCTACCATAGTTTCTTCACGCAGTACATAGTCACCCAAGTCTAAACACTCACCCACCCCATCCAAATAAACAAACATGTGACGTCATTCACAAATGACCCCCTAATATCTGCATGCTCAGCTACAGACACTAGAACCAAAAACCACTCACCCGTGACCAGGAGTTAGCACCGAGTACAGCCTGTCGTCTGCCAACTGCACGAGCGTGCCGAGCTTGCGGGAGTGCCTCCTCCTCCTCCTCCAACACAGCACGATGAGGAGGAGGAGGAGGGCCAGAGAGACGACAGACAAGACGACGGCTAGGTCCGTCCCGATCGCCGGCTCGTCTGTGGGAAACAAGAGCACAAAGTGTGTGATGTGAGTAACTGGATATTGTACGCGATTGTTGGCCTTGATTTGGTGAACTAACGTTTTCAACCCCCCTCCCCCCTCCACTAATTTTTACACACCATTGAAAAAATCTGACCCCCCCCCCCCACCTCAACTACAGTGACATACTTTAAGTCACACATAATACCGGCCGTTCTAAGGTTTTTTTTTTAAAAGGGATATAACCTAGCCTGGATATTTTTTTTTTGCTAAATATTAATTGAGTAGCTTCCCATTGTAAACAAATTAGGATCAATGTTAGATTCATATTAAAACGTTTTTCTTAACTCAGCTTCGCGTTTGTTTGTTTGTTTGGTTGTTTGGATGTTTGTTGTTAAAATTGACATCGAAAATTAGCCCACTTCTGATTGCTCTAGAGACCTGAAATTTGGCATGCATGCTACTTTCGCCTAACAATTTCAGATGCAATCATAAAAACTAGCAATTAGTGACCGTAATTAGCTTAATTTAATTACGCCCCAAGGACCATAAAATTGAGGACATGATTTCTAAAGATACCGACAAGACTTGAGGCCTATTGACACAGTTACTTCGGCCCCAATCGATGTGAGCGCGCTGGCCGTGATCGTATAGTGGTTAGTACTTCGCGTTGTGGCCGCGACAACCCAGGTTCGAATCCTGGTCGCTCAAGATTTTTAGTCCGTGTATTTATAAACATTTTTTTAAAAACCACGTTTTTCATGTGTAGCAACGGACTAAAAAGGAGAACGGACACGGTAACACATTGTTAACGGTGACACGGTTGGTACGCTGGGCATGCTAAAATACACATAAACACGTTTTTCCTTAACTCAGCTTCGCGTTTATTTGTTTGTTTATGGGAGATTTGATCACGTGATTCGTGAGTAGATCTCCAAGCCAGCAACGTAAATTACACCCTTTCTCTGTTTAAAGCGTATCGGTCGCTCAAGATTTTTTTAGTCCGTGTATTTAAAAACACTTAGTCAAGTCATACTTAATCAAGTGATTAGATAAAGTAGAAAATAAACTATATAAAAAACTTTTTAAAAACCACGTTTTTCATGTGTAGCAACGGACTAAAAAGGAGAAAATAAAATACTTAAAAAAAACTTTTTAAAAAACCACGTTTTTCTTGTGGACTAAAAAGTAGAAAATAACTATTTACATACATTTGATGACAAAAAACGTGGGTCGGGCAGATGGGTCGGGAAATTTGATGGTGAACGTACCCACGTTTTTTGTCATCAAATGTATGTAAATAGTTATTTTCTACTTTTTAGTCCACAAGAAAAACGTGGTTTTTTAAAAAGTTTTTTTTAAGTATTTTATTTTCTTAACTAACACGTCACACTTTTTTAATGGTAAAATAATTTCCCGACCCATCTGCCCGACCCACGTTTTTTGTCATCAAATGTATGTAAATAGTTATTTTCTACTTTTTAGTCCACAAGAAAAACGTGGTTTTTAAAAAAGTTTTTTTTAAGTATTTTATTTTCTCCTTTTTAGTCCGTTGCTACACATGAAAAACGTGGTTTTTAAAAAAGTGTTTATAAATACACGGACTAAAAATCTTGAGCGACCAGGATTTGAACCTGGGTTGTCGCGGCCACAACGCGAAGTACTAACCACTATACGATCACGGCCAGCGCGCTCACATCGATTGGGGCCGAAGTAACTGTGTCGATAGGCCTCCAGTCTTGTCGGTATCTTTAGAAATCATGTCCTCAATTTTATGGTCCTTGGGGCGTAATTAAATTAAGCTAATTACGGTCACTAATTGCTAGTTTTTATGATTGCATCTGAAATTGTTAGGCGAAAGTAGCATGCATGCCAAATTTCAGGTCTCTAGAGCAATCAGAAGTGGGCTAATTTTCGATGTCAATTTTAACAACAAACATCCAAACAACCAAACAAACAAACAAACGCGAAGCTGAGTTAAGAAAAACGTTTTAAAAAAAAAATTCTAAAATTCGGATTTCAATATATAAATACAGATGGTAGCTGGAGTGAGGTTAATACAATTAGTAATTAACCAGATAATCTTGGGGGAGCTACCATCTCCTACCGAGCGCGTCCCCAGGTGGCGGATAGGGGAGAGGCCCTTAGATATGAGGGTTAGCTGTGAATACCAAATAAACAGCCGTGGACCAACTGGTTTGTGGTCATGGAGGATGAGGTGGGATATCCATTGGTTAGGATATCTAATAAAAAACATCTCATAAATCCAAGGAAATGACTTCAACGGCGAGCATGGGGCGCTTTAACTCCAAACCCGGGCAGATGGGGCTCGTTAGCTGGGGACAGCAACCCATCTAGGAGAGACAACTCCAAAATCAAACAGCTACTGCCTTGTAGTTTGTTCTTGGGTGATCAAAGGCTATGGAAGCAAATCCAGAAAGAAAAGCAGGCTGAAGTCGGAGTCAACGGGCCATCTAGTATGGCGCATAACATGCTGGCACGCACTGCTTAATTTTATGATGGAGGAAAGAAATAGGACTAACAGAAGTGGCGTCCTGCCTGTGGAATCCCGCCGCGCAGGTAGGGGGCCGGGCTCTCCGCCTCGAAGGAGCCCACAAAAGCGAGCTGGTGGTTCCTCTATTCTTGCCTGGCCAGCCAGGGGCAAGGATCAGAAGGTAAATTCTACTGGCCAAAATAGTGAGGAAAACAACAAATTACTTGTTATCCTGCAGTGGAATGCAGAGGGAGTTCATAAAAAAAAGGAAGCCTTAAAAATATTCCTACATGAAAATAAAGTAGACGTTGCTTGTATTCAAGAAACTCACCTCAACAACAATCTTCGCTTCTCTATTAGAGGATACACCTGCATAAGGCAGGACAGGGAAAACAGACCTAAAGGAGGTATCCTCATTCTCATAAAAAATGACATTCCAACAACAGATATCGTTATACCAAACTCAACAGCATCTGAGATAATGGGCACCAAACTCATACTTGCAGAAGGTAACCTAAATATCTTCAATTGCTACTGTCCTCCTGATAAGGACCTGGAACTGGACCGCATCTCCCTGCCAAACAGCGAAGAGTGCCTGGTTGTGGGAGACATGAACAGCCACTCCCAGAGCTGGGGTTACCCTGACCTCAATGTTAAAGGAGAGGAAATTGAAGAATGGCAAGCAGAAAATAGGCTCATCCTTCTAAATAAACCTGATGACAAACCAACTTTTTACTCAAGGTCTTGGTTAACCACGTCTACCCCCGACCTAGCTTTTGCTACTAATGGCATATCCAAAAAATGCAAAAGAGAAGTTGCAGATCAACTAGCCACTAGCGACCACCGACCAATCCTGATCCAGATAGAAACATCAAACAGGCCAATTGAAGCCAACCCCCGCCCTAGATGGAACTACAAAAAAGCTAATTGGGAGCTCTTCTCTTCCCTCACAGACTCCTACACAAGACCAATCAACTGTAAAACCAATCAGGTGAACAAGTCATACACAGCCTTCTCAAAAGCAGTTCTGTTAGCAGCCAAAAAATCTATTCCAAGGGGAGCAAGGAAAAATTATATCCCAAACTGGACTCCAGACCTCCAGATACTCCATGACGAGACAATTGATGCTAGAAACATTGTTGAAGATAATCCCACTGTAGAAAATAACATAAAATTAAAATCAGCAAACGCAGTTTTTAGAAAAAAGTATCTAACTGCATTGAGGAAAAGCTGGCAAGAAAAAACAGAACACCTCAATGTAGATAGAGATGGTCATAAACTATGGAGTATTGCAAAAAGGCTAAACCAAGAAGAAAACAGAGCTACTCCCATAGTCATCGACATTGAAAACACGATCAAAACAGAAAAGGATGCAGCAAAAGAATTTATAACTCACTTCAGCAAAGTGGGACAAATAAATATCAGCCACCAAAGAGTAGAAGAGGTTAAAAATCAAACTGAAGTTAAAGAAAAACTACAGAAAGTCTCTCCCCCCTCCTCCACTGGAATGGTAGCTCGAATTAGCAAGAAGGAGCTTGAAGAAGCAATGAAGCTCCTCAAACTTAAGCAAGCTCCAGGCCCTGACAAAATCTCAAATGATATGCTCATGCACCTGGGCCCAAATGCTAAGAAAAAACTGCTCCAAATATTTAATGCAAGCTGGAAATCTGGGAAAATCCCAAATATTTGGAAAAAAGCAATCATGATACCTGTTCAAAAAATAGGAAAACCCAGGAACAAAGTCGATAGCTATCGCCCAATAAGTTTAACAAGCTGCGTTTGTAAACTGATGGAAAGAGTAGTAAACAACAGACTGACCTGGTTTCTAGAATCGAACAATCTACTAGCAGACGAACAGGCAGGCTTCAGGAAGTGCAGATCTACTGAAGACCAAATCACCTTCATTTCTCAGGAAATAGAAGATGGCTTTCAAGAAAAAAAACCAACCTCAATAGTGTGGGTCGACTTTGAAAAAGCCTTTGACAAGGTTTGGGAGCAAGGCTTAATTCTAAAACTAATAAACCATCAAGTATCTCATAACATGCTAAACTGGATAAAAGGTTACCTAAGCAACCGAAAAGCATCAGTCTCCATGCAAGGAATAAAATACTTAAAAAAAAACTTTTTAAAAAACCACGTTTTTCTTGTGGACTAAAAAGTAGAAAATAACTATTTACATACATTTGATGACAAAAAACGTGGGTACGTTCACCATCAAATTTCCCGACCCATCTGCCCGACCCACGTTTTTTGTCATCAAATGTATGTAAATAGTTATTTTCTACTTTTTAGTCCACAAGAAAAACGTGGTTTTTTAAAAAGTTTTTTTTTAAGTATTTTATTTTCTCCTTTTTAGTCCGTTGCTACACATGAAAAACGTGGTTTTTAAAAAAGTGTTTATAAATACACGGACTAAAAAAATCTTGAGCGACCAGGATTCGAACCTGGGTTGTCGCGGCCACAACGCGAAGTACTAACCACTATACGATCACGGCCAGCGCGCTCACATCGATTGGGGCCGAAGTAACTGTGTCTATAGGCCTCCAGTCTTGTCGGTATCTTTAGAAATCATGTCCTCAATTTTATGGTCCTTGGGGCGTAATTAAATTAAGCTAATTACGGTCTCTAATTGCTAGTTTTTATGATTGCATCTGAAATTGTTAGGCGAAAGTAACCTGCATGCCAAATTTCAGATCTATAGAGCAATCAGAAGTGGGCTAATTTTCGATGTCAATTTTAACAACAAACACACGCGAAGCTGAGTTAATAAAAACGTGTTAAAAAAAGAAGTCACACAGTAACTATAAAAAATGGAGTCCCTCAAGGAGGAGTCTTGTCTCCTACTCTCTTCCTCATTTATATAAATGACCTAAATGAAAACATCCCAAGGAGAGTAAAAAGAAGCATGTTTGCAGACGACCTTTCACTAATCAGCACAGAGGAATATATTGGTACCTCAAAATTTCGTCTTCAAGAAACACTTGACAAGCTCGGCAAATGGACCAAAAACTGGGGCTTATCCATCAATACCAAGAAAACAACTTATTCAATCTTCACCTTATCAACTAAACATAAAAAAATGAAACTTACCCTAGAAAACCAAGAGCTAGAAAAAAATGACCACCCCAAATACCTAGGAGTCACTTTTGACACTCGACTTACCTGGAGAAAACAAATAGAAAACACACAAAGTAATGGGATCAAAAGACTTAATCTAATGAGGAAACTGGCAGGAACAGACTGGGGAGCAAATCACCACATCCTGAAAAAAACCTACACCAGCTATGTGAGACCTACGTTAGAATATGGTGCTTCGGCTTGGGGCTCAGCAGCAAAAACAAATATTAGCAAAATTGACAAAGTTCATAACATTGGATTGAGAATAATGACAGGAGCCATGAAAACAACACCCATAAAAGCTATGGAGGAAATAGCCGCTCTTAGCTCAATAGAAGAAAGAAGAGAATCAAAAATCCTCACTCAATACACAAAGCTAGAGGCACTGGAAAACCATAACCTAAAACAAAAACTCCAGAAACCCAGTCCATCAACCAGACTACAAAGAACAAGTTTCATCAAAGAAGCAAAGAATCTGAAAAAGAAATATGAAATCGAAAATATCATTCCTGAAGCAATAAAAACTCAAAACCTCTCCCCGCCTTGGATCTCCCACTGTCACTTAACCATTATTGACTCAATAGACACCATAGGAAAAAAATCTGACTATGATCTAGAAGAACTTAGGAAAATAACAAATAAACACATTAAGGATCAGTACCCCAGCAACACCTGGACTAGAGTTTTCACAGATGGCTCAGCTGAAGATGCCACAAAAAACGGCGGGGCTGGCATCCTTATTGAATGGCCAAGCGGAGAAAGCCTGGAAAAGGCAATAGCCACAGGCAGCCTATCCGACAATTTTAGGGCAGAAAAAGAAGCTTTAGAACACGCAGCAAACCTCCTGTCAGAACACCCTGAATCACCGAATAGTCAGATTGTATTCCTTACAGATGCCAAATCAGTCCTACAATCCCTACAAAATCCGGAGTCCTATATTCAAACACTTATGACAGCACTAGAGAGGCTTAAATATACCTGCAGCAGAATTGTGCTACAGTGGATCCCGGGCCACTGCCAGATCCAGGGAAACGAGATCGCAGACCAGCTGGCAAAAATTGGGGGAAAGAAACCACAACCGGAAATTTCGCTACACCCAAAAGAAATAAAAAGAATAATTAAAAACAAACAAACGCAAATGTGGTCTGTCACACACCCTCACTACATTAAAGACGACGGCTATTACAATTTAACACGAAAACAACAATACATAATCTTTCGACTCAGAACAGGCCACAACAGACTAAATCAACACATGCACAAAAAACTGAAGGTTGGGTGTAGCGAAATGTGCCCTTGTGGCAAGGCCCCGGAAAACACTGAACACGTACTCCAGGATTGTACTCTGTATAGCCAGGCAAGAGGCAGACACTGGCCCCAGCCCACCCCACTCAGGGAAAAATTATATGGGACACCTGACAAACTGGAAACCACAGTCCGGTTTGTCCACGAAGTTGGTCTTGTTGTCTGAATCCTCCACCATATTCAAAAATTAAGAACGAAGAAGAAAGAAAAAGAGAACCAGATAATGTTAGTTACCCCGCAAGTGAAAAACAATGACCAGGTACTATGGACCTTAGGTCGAAAGATTGTCTTTAACTTTTGTGATTACTAGCACTATCTGTTTTTCTTACTAAGATTTCAAATATACCTATTTTAAATGCATCAGTGTGACGTCACATTTTTCCAAATCAACCCCCTCCCTCCATCCCCCAGTCATCTAGAATTGAGCCGTCAAATATAGAAGACCCCCCCCCCCCAAGTGTCCAAAAAATCATGTTGAGTTACGATGACTCACCTTTGACCTCTTTTTGAACGGTCGGGCTAGTGGTGACCGCTGGGGTGACGTCATTCGTGTCCGACGGAGCGGAAGCCGAGTTGTTTGGTTCTGTGGGAGACAGGAAAATAAGTAAATAAACGTGGCGTCGGGAGTAAACATGGCTACGGCCTTAGCAACGGTGTATACGGCGTGGGACTGTGCTGTGACGTCAGGTGAGTTGTGTTCACGGATGTTTTTCACGCATGAGAGCCGAATATGGACGCTAGTCAGGGGCAGATAATTGTCTTTAGAGTTAAGGGTTGAGATCCTTAACAATTTACCGAGTTTTTCAAAGCAAATTTGTCTTATGTGGTGTCGACTTAAGCAAGAACGAACAGAATGGAAGTAGGTTAAACCTGCCGCAGTAGTTTAAACCTGCCGCAGCAGTTTAAACCTGCCGCAGCAGTTTAAACCTGCCGCAGTAGTTTAAACCTGCCGCAGTAGTTTAAACCTGCCGCAGTAGTTTAAACCTGCCGCAGTAGTTTAAACCCGCCGCAGTAGTTTAAACCCGCCGCAGTAGTTTAAACCTGCCGCATTAGTTTAAACCTGCCGCATTGGTTTAAACCTGCCGCAGTAGTTGAAACCTAGTATATGACCTTTTAGAACACCGTCCACACCAAATTCACGCTGCACACTAACTTTTCTCTTTCAAATGGAACGTTGCCCACCGCCACGCATTGCTTACTATCCACACAGCAAGCAGATCTCTCACTCACCCAAACCTACGGGGTGGTACGCTAAAGCCAACTGTTTACCCGAATGACGTAAAAACGAGATTCTAAACTGCTGCGACTACAACCCACCTATGCGAGCGCTGGTGGTGAAGCCGCTGATGATGCTGTTCAGTGCCGCAGGTTCCTGTCCCTCTACGCTGCCGGAGACGTTCATCAATGGCACCACCTGCAAGAGAGTTAGGTTGTGGGTGAATGCAGTGTTTCTTTCAGACATTTTTTTTCAGACAGACACTTGAAATTTGAATTTCCAGATGGGGAGGGGGGGGGGGGGGGGCGAGGGCGGACATTTGCCGAAGTATATATTTATCTTGTATGAAAATTCTAATTTGTTCTGAGGAGGGGGGGGTAGACGAGCCTCAGAGGCGTAGTGATTGGGGGCGGGGGTACATATGTCTCCGGGCGTTGACCCTAGGGGCGCCATAGTAAGTTCATTTTAGCTGCTATTTTGAATTATAAATATAAAAAAATATAGGCGGGGGGCGCCAAATTGAAAGTTTGTCCCCGGGCGCCGGGAGGGGTCGCTACGCTCTGTCCTATCCTTACTCAATGTTAATGTTGAGTAAAACCTCAATGCGTCTCCAATATCCGCCAACCTCGCAGTCATCACAGGTACTAAACTAAACTTTCGCAGTGTAGGGTTGAAGAGTGAACTTATCACGCGGTAGTTTCATCTGTGGGGCTAAGGTTCAAAACCATGCGAGATTGATATTTTTTTGTGGATACGCCTCTGCGCTTACCTTGACCTTGTAGGTCGTGTTGAAGGTCAGCCCTCTCAATGTCACGTGTTCCTAGGTGAAGGAAAAAATGCAATACTTTTTAAGTAACAATGTGCTAAGTATCTATTACTCAAGTAACAATGTGCTAAGTATCTATTACTCAAGTAACAATGTGCTAAGTATCTATTACTCAAGTACAGAGCCGGCGTTAGTGTGACCTACTTAGGTCCAGTAATGTTTTATTTTGACATTGTGTTAATACCATATATGGATTGATGGTGCAACTACCGGGGTTTTTCCACTGTCTTATTAAGAGTGTCTAAGACGTAGAAATTTTCCATCAAGATCTGATTGATTAATTCAGACCAGATGACCACCCCAACCAATGGCCACATGAGTTGAGTATAACCTCCCCTGTTGCCTAAGTCTTTAACTAGATCGCCCACAGGCGACACGAGGCAGTCTACCTTGATCAAGCGGTCCATTATGACCAGGCCGTCCATTTTGTCCGGCAATAGATTCTGACCATTTGAACGTGAGAGAACTTAAGTCCTGAGTGTGCTATGCATTCCTAAGTTGTTAAAGTGTTCTAATATTATATTACTTGATGCCAAGTGATTCTTGATGCTATAGCAGTGTTGTGTGACCAGTGGCTATTTTTATACAGTGTTAGAATCTGTGATAGTATTTTTTCTTACGCTTTGTAAGTTGGGTTTTGTTATTTTCTAAATTAAATATTTTATCTTGTTTAACCTAGTGTTCTGCCACAACTGTGTTCGCTTATTAAAGGTTGTATGCAGATTGAATGAGTTGTTAACTTCAATAGTATCACTAGTTTTCCCTAGACATCGAAATCGAGCCCTAGTGTGTTGTTGAGTTAGTGTTCATTCATTTAGGCTTTATGTCATTTGCATATAACCCCAAAAAAGAATCCGGGGGCGTTCACCATCTATCTGGCTGGTAGATAGGTGTCCGTTACATTAGGAATACGCGGGGCCTAGGGCCAACCATCCGCGCGGGGCCTTTCCATTATATATATATATATATATATATATATATATATATATATATATATATATATATATATATATATATATATATATATATATATATATATATATATATATATATATATATATATATATATATAAAGGCTTATATAATGTGATGTACACATAATAACACAAATGTTTTGGAGTTTTTAAGCTAATGTCAAACTTTCCACTATAATAACAGATTTTTATCTCTCCCATGTATTAACCCAATGTTCTTAGTTTTTTTTTCCTCGCTAAGATATTAAATCACTTTTGACAGTTATGTAATTCATACCAAATCACTTAAGAAAATTTAATCACGTGCCGAATAATTAGGAAAATAAAGTTTACAATACAGCGAACTTGGCCTGATGTATCAAAACAGTATAGACTTCAAAATTTGTTTAGAATTCATACAATATTTTAAAACCAAAATCATTATTGTCTTAATTATTGTAAAGGATTTCCATACGATAAAAAAATGTGCTTAATCACTCTACAAATGCAGTTAAGTTCACCAAAGTATCAGATATAAATTGAAAGACCGCGTTTTTGGGGGGAATATCAATGACTACTTAATCACAACCCTCCATTGCCTCAACGATGCCCCTTCCTCAATCAAAGTTGTGCGACGAGGACAATTCGCTGACTATATCATGTGAGCACCACTGGAAGACGATTGAATAAAACAATTTGGATGAAAACGGTAAAGTAATAATTCTGTCTTGGAACGGATGAATCCTTAAAATGACACAACATAACAACAGTTTTAACTTTCTTCCAAAAAATAATAATAAATCACTCTGTTTAATGCCGCCTGATATAGATCCTAAGCCCCCCCCCCCCCTCGTCGCCCTCCTCCCACCCCTCTGCACGCAACTGAATGTTAATTTTGTTATACCAAGACAAGTAGGCCTACATATAGAGTTTCTTCCAGGCATCTCTTCGGGGGGGGGGGGGGGGGGGGGGGGGGGGGGGAAAGGCGCCGCCCCCCCCCCCCCCCCGAAAAAATTCTACCGCCCCCCCCCCCCCCCCCCGAACGAAATGAAATTTATATAATTTATATAGAAAATATATACTTTTTTAACAGTGTCCGCCCCCCCCCCCCCCCCGAAAATTTCAAATGCCATCCCCCCCCCCCGGAGAAAAAAGTCTGGAAGAAACACTGTACATATACGACATTATACGACATCTACAACAAGAAAGTCAGGACTAGAGTTCATCAGGTCACTAACTGTCTACTACAGACATCCCGTCTGCTCACTAAAAGGACGTCTTCATCGGTCCGCATACAATAGGGTATCTCTTTACGTCGTGGGCTAATTCTCGACCGCCATCTCCAGTCAGCTCAGGTCAAATGCGAGGCGACCGTACCCTACACAAAGGGCAGGTGTGACACTGTTTTTGTATCGAATTACGGCCTGTCCCAGTTCAGGTGGGACTCACCAACATCAACCGTGGCCTCAGTTATAACAATCAACAACGTCGGCATTCGACCATTTAGTTTTTCCCAATTGAATTCAGAAATATTTTTTTTAAGTATACGAACTAATTCAGATAACAATGACAGTGGTGAAGCGCGGGGCCCCTTCAAGCGCGGGGCCTATGGCGACCGCCCCGTTCGCCACCCCCAACGCCGGCTCTGCTCAAGTAACAATGTGCTAAGTATCTATTACTCAAGTAACAATGTGCTAAGTATCTATTACTCAAGTAACAATGTGCTAAGTATCTATTACTCAAGTAACAATGTGCTAAGTATCTATTACTCAAGTAACAATGTGCTAAGTATCTATTACTCAAGTAACAATGTGCTAAGTATCTATTACTCAAGTAACAATGTGCTAAGTATCTATTACTCAAGTAACAGTGTGCTAAGTATCTATTACTCAAGTAACAATGTGCTAAGTATCTATTACTCGAGTAACAATGTGCTAAGTATCTATTACTCAAGTAACAGTGTGCTAAGTATCTATTACTCAAGTAACAATGTGCTAAGTATCTATTACTCAAGTAACAATGTGCTAAGTATCTATTACTCAAGTAACAATGTGCTAAGTATCTATTACTCGAGTAACAATGTGCTAAGTATCTATTACTCAAGTAACAGTGTGCTAAGTATCTATTACTCAAGTAACAATGTGCTAAGTATCTATTACTCAAGTAACAATGTGCTAAGTATCTATTACTCAAGTAACAATGTGCTAAGTATCTATTACTCAAGTAACAATGTGCTAAGTATCTATTACTCAAGTAACAATGTGCTAAGTATCTATTACTCAAGTAACAATGTGCTAAGTATCTATTACTCAAGTAACAATGTGCTAAGTATCTATTACTCAAGTAACAATGTGCTAAGTATCTATTACTCAAGTAACAATGTGCTAAGTATCTATTACTCAAGTAACAATGTGCTAAGTATCTATTACTCAAGTAACAATGTGCTAAGTATCTATTACTCAAGTAACAGTGTGCTAAGTATCTATTACTCAAGTAACAATGTGCTAAGTATCTATTACTCGAGTAACAATGTGCTAAGTATCTATTACTCAAGTAACAGTGTGCTAAGTATCTATTACTCAAGTAACAATGTGTTAAAGTAAAAATTACTTGAAGTAACAGTGTTCTAGGTAACAAGTGTTTGAAGTAACAATGTGTTCTTAGTATTAATTACTTGAAGTAATAATATGTTTAAGTAACTGTTACTTGAAATAACAACATGCTCAAGTAACAATTACTTGAATTAACAGAATTCTAAGTTACAATTGCTTGAAGTAATAATGTTCTTAAGTAAAAATTACTTGAAGGAACAGTCTGCAAAGTAACAATTACTTGAAGTAATAATGTGCTAGAGTAACAATAATTTTAATTGACAAGTTGCTGGAATAACAGTTTGCTAAATTAAAAATTGCTGAATTTATAATTAGCTAAATTAAAACTTATCTAAATTAACAATTGTTGAAGTAACAATTAGGTAAATTAAAAATTAGGTAAATTAACAATTGCTGAAGTTGCAATTAGCTAAATTAAAACTTAGCTAAATTAACAATTGCTGAAGTTACAATTAGGTAAATTAAATTAGCTAAATTAAAACTTAGCTAAATTAACAATGAGTTCCTAGTACCTGAGTAACCGAGGTCTGATTGGCTGTTGCCCGACACGCGATTTCACTGACTGACGTCAGCGTGGAGTTGTTGGTGACGTCAGAGCACGGGCTCCACCAGAGGACCCGGTACTCGGCCACTTCCGGCCCAGACCTTGGCCAGTACACGATGACGTCAATCACGTCTTCCTCGTCGACGGTTTCCAGAGCCGTGACGTTGGCGTCATCGGTTGGTAAATCTGGTTTGGAGAGGTCAAAAGGTCATGGGCGTGGCGAAATCAACTTCATTTTCTTCTAATAAAAAAAAATTAACCGACAAAAGCAATATATTTCTAAGATATAAAATATAAACTAAATAGAATTCTGTTTTGTCATTTTCGGTTCCGAGGAAAAATGCGCAAAAAAATGCGCAACCGGAACTTGCGCTTACAGGAAAAATGAGCAAATACTTATTATACTTATACAATATCATTTTTTTTTCCTGTTTTGTGAGAAAATATTTTGTTTTATTATGCTACAATGTACACACGTGTTCTTCTTTTTTTTTTTTTTTTTTATTTTGTAACGTCAAATTAAATTATAGGTTTTTTTTTTTAAATTCCCTTCCGCACTTCAATGTTGCGCATTTTTTTTCCGTTGCGCATTTTTCTGGTCACCACTTTTGCCGACAGGTATAATCTATGTTTAGGCCTACATGTCGTGTTGAGAGAACATTCACCTGACACATCGGTGAGACTGTAGGTGTTGGCTGGGATGTAGATGTTGCCCATGGGACCCGCCACAATTTGGTCTGGGCCGGCAGCTCGTACCTGGTCATGTCGTCATGTAAAGAAATAAAGAGGAGAAAATAATTTCATTAGATATTTTCTCAGACGATTTTTGTTGCGATTTTTGTTGCAATTATTGTTGTGATCATTGTTGCGTTATTGTTGCGATATATAAGTTCACATTTAAAAAATACGACTTTAGCTAAAAAAAAAAACCACTATGATCAGTGTATAAAACTACCCCCCCCCCCCCCCACCCAACCATAACTTTGCTAGTTACAATACAAAGTTAGAGATACCCGCTTTATATTAACGACACCTAGCATCAACGTTCTCTCTGAGGCGAAAAAGATAGCGTGCAACGTGTGTTTTGTGTGCGCGGTGTTCTCAAAGTCTCATGCAGGGAGATATGTAATTTACAAAACGGGAACTCTGCACAGGCATATAAGAGCACCCCCCCCCCCCCACCCCCTTTGAATTTTGAGATATTCTGGGCTTTGAAAATCGTCTTACACGCCAGAAAATACAAGACGGTTGTAGCCGATATTGATGTGATTGAGAGATTGTGGCCATCGTAGACAGTTTTTTTTTTGTGAACGATCACATCGTATCAACATATAACAGTCGGTGTTAGTTAAGCAAATGCATAACAATATTATTGAAAGTCTTAGAGATCAAAGATTTAATTCACAGGGAGGGTAATTTTTTTAAAGTTCAAAGCTTGGTGTCAGACTTGCAGCTTCGCCAGCAGTGCAGTGTTTCTTTCAGACTTTTCCTCCGGGAGGGGGGAGGACTTGAAATTTTCGGGGGTGGGGGGAGCAGACAAAATTTTCCGAGGGGTGGGGGGGGGGCGGACACTGGTAAAATTGTGTATTTTCTATATCAATTCTATCTCGTTCAGGGGGGGGGGGGGGCAGACGTTTTAGTGAGGGGGTTAGAGATGCCCGAAAGAAACTCTGCAACACAGCATCACCAAACAGTTGCTCTTACCTCCACGCCGATGGTCTCATGCTCCGTCAACGTCGTGATGTCTGTGTTGATCTTAACGCTCCACGAGTCCTGTTGGGTAAAGCTAATATTAGATCGTTGTCTCTACAACAATTAATTCTACCGAATGGTATCATTCTATTGGCGCCACAGTCGTAGCCACGCCCAGTGACCGCAGCCACACACTACAGGGTGTGGTGTTTGTAGCCACACCCCTTTTGACAACACCCACGTAATGCGACAGTGATTAAAAAAAAACACTTCAAATTATTTACTCAAGACGCCTTCATTGAAACCACGCCCATAGACATCCATTTACTCCAGGCACCCTTATTCAAGCCACGCCCACAGACATCCATTTACTCCAGGCACTTTCATTGAAACCACTTACCCCAGGCAGCTTAATTGAAACCACGCACACAGACATCCACTTAGCCAGGTACCTACACTAAAACACGCCCACATTTATCCACTTACCCCAGGCACCTTCATTGAAACCACGCCCTCATACATCCACTTACCCTGAAGCCACGCCCACAACCATCCACTTACCCTGAAACCACGCCCACAGACATCCACTTACCCTGAAACCACGCCTACATACATCCACTTACCCTGAAACCACGCCCACAGACATCCACTTACCCTGAAACCACGCCCACAGACATCCACTTACCCCAGGCACCTGCATTGAAACCACGCCCACCGTTTCATTAAAGAAGTACAGATCCCCTTGCGACAAATCGACCACGCCCCAAAAGATATGATACACCTCAACTCGACCAGACGAGCCCAGAAAAGTGGGCGGGCGCCAGTAGAGGAAGAGAACGAATCCGCCCAGCACCGAGAACACGGTAGACTGGACGTCTTGGGCTGGGCCAGGCTCCAGGGCTGGATAGAATGGTAAACAAAGTGTCAGTTGAATCGGAGTCATAGGGTCAGTGGCGTAGCGAGGTCGGGTGTCACCCGTTGCGGCACTTAATGGTGTCACCCCCCCAGAGGCGTAGCGACCCTTCCCGGGGACAAACTTTCAAGTTTTCGATTTGCACCCCCCTCAGGTTTTTCTCTATATATTTTGCAATTTTTTGCCTTGGTGTCACCCCCCCCCCCCCCAAATGGTGTCACCCGGTGCGGTCCGCACCCCGCCCCCCCCCCCCTCTCTACGCCCCTGCATAGGGTCAACAGAGAGTCAGTTGATTGGGAGTCATTGGGTAAACAAAGAGTCAGGTTAGTTGGAGTCATAGGGTCAACAGAGAGTCAGTAGATTAAGAGTCATTGGGTAAACAGAGAGTCAGGTTAGTGGGAGTCATATGGTCAACAGAGAGTCAGTTGATTGGGAGTCATTGGGTAAACAAAGAGTCAGATTAGTTGGAGTCATAGGGTCAACAGAGAGTCAGTTGATTGGGAATCATAGGGTAAACAGAGAGTCAGTAGATTAAGAGTCATTGGGTAAACAGAGAGTCAGGTTAGTGGGAGTCATATGGTCAACAGAGAGTCAGTTGATTGGGAATCATAGGGTAAACAGAAAGTCAGGTTAGTGGGAGTCATAGGGTAAACAGAAAGTCAGTTGATTGGGAGTCATAGGGTAAACAGAAATTCAGGTTAGTGGGAGTCATTGGGTAAACAAAGAGTCAGTAGATTGGGAGTCATATGGTCAACAGAGAGTCAGTTGATTTGGAGTCATTGGGTAAACAGAGAGTTAGTTGATTGGGAGTCATTGGCTAAACAGAGTCAGTTGATTGGGAGTCATAGGGTCAACAGAGAGTCAGTTGATTGGGAGTCATAGGGTCAACAGAGAGTCAGTTGATTGGGAGTCATTGGGTAAAGAAAGAATCTGTTTAGTGGGAGTCATTGGGTAAACAAAGTATCTGGTTAGTCGGAGTCATTGGGTAAACAAAGAGTCAGTTTAGTGGGAGTCATTGGGTAAACAGAGAGTCAGGTTAGTGGGAGTCATTGGTAAAATCAGTTGAGAGTCATTGGGTAAACAAAGCATCAGATTAGTGGGAGTCATAGGGTAATTAAAGAATCAGTTTAGTGGGAGTCACAAGGTAATCAAAACATCAGTTTAATGAGAGTCACAATGTAATTCAATACTCAGTTGGGAGTCATAGAGTAGACCCAAAATTTGACCCAAAAACTCAATGCGTTTTCTTTTTCATAAGTTATGTTTTTTTCGTGTAAATTGAGAGTGGTTTTGTGAAAAACAGACAGGTCTACGGTAGCAGCTATTGTTCTACAGTAGCTAACACGCAATGTTGCTGAGAAAAATATTTTTAAAAATCTATATGCGCTGTAGTGTGAAAGTAATGTAAACGTTCACACTACTTCCATGACTTATCGCCCTTCTTCAATTAGTCTAATAGCTGTGCCCCTAAAGCCCAATAAAGAATGCATTCATAATCTATTATATTTTGAGCTATTCAGCTAAAAATGTTAAGTGCAGAAATAAAAAAAAAATACACAATGTAGGCCGACAAAACAAAACAATGTATCACTCTAAACAAAAAAAAAATATACACACGTTACAACCCAAAACGATGAACGTAACATAATCTTTTTTGTAATCCTTGTAAAAAAAAAACAATTTGACTTAATGATTCCTAGAATATTATTAATTAAGTCAAGCGAACTACTAGGTGAAATTGTGATTGAAGGGATTTTTTTCCCCATTTTTTTCTTTTCTTTCTTTCTTTTTTCTCTTTTTTTTTCCCCGCCTCAGACATGTAATTTACAGCGTCAGTTTGTCTTGCATGTTCACTTTAGTATTACAGTTTTCATCATCGGCTTGCGGCTTGTGATGACTGATACAGATTTACAATAGTAATACTTCTTTCTTACTTGTAGCCTACTTTCATTCATAAAATGCAAATGTGTAATTAAATGATGATTTAAGGGATTTTTTTTTCCATAGGATTACACCAGAAAAATATGGATTCAGACATCCAACATAAATAGATTGGGAGCGTTCGAAAGTCAAAAAAATATTAATTGAATATTCCTAACAGGTTTATATTTTAAATTAAATAAAATTATAATTCTGTAATGTACAAAGAATAGAAACAAGTCATATTTTACATTTGTTTTATAATTTATGCTCAAAAACATAATACACTATACTATTTTTTGCTGTTTTGTATTTTATTAAATGCCCGTTATGCGTATCGATTTTAAGATTATTGTCTCCCTTGGTGTAATAAAAAAATGAAATGGTAAGTAACTTATTATTCACATAAGTTCATTTCAAGCAACTTGCTATTTCAAGGTTCTCCTTCTCGTATATGATTATACGGAGTTTTATAGTAGAAATATTCTAAACGCTTACAAAAACTTTAAATTTAAAAAAATGCTTGAATTAGATCGACCATCTGCAGATACGTCACAAAACTGTCAGATAGCTTGGGAAAATACCACCAATGTAATATTAAGGGGTTGAAAAATGGTCGCGTTTGATTGACCGCTCTACTTTAACAATAAAATGGACTAATTTACGTCAACCGTTTAAACTTTAGATTTGCCCCCGTTCTTTTTATTACACACGAAAATAAAAATTAAAAAAAAAAAACAACATATGCTTAAAAAGCAAAATTCCTTTTAAAATGTATGTGAAATACTCTTCAATAGTCGTGTTACATCATTAGTGGGTGACACCGAATTAAAAATTCGGAAAATTTACTGTCAAAAACAACGTTTTATCAAGTTATAAATGAAAGGAATATTAGGGGAGAGGGATGACACCAAACCGGAAATGCAAAATTGTTGGACGGGGATGGGGCGACGCCCTCCTTTACCGAAACGAGTGATACCTGACCTTGTTACGCCAGTGAGGAACAATTGTGGTCGCTAAAATAAATTTGTACGCGATTTCAAGGTGACTAACAGAGGCGTAGCGACGGGGGGGGGAGGGGCGGAGGGGGGTACATATGTCCCCGGGCGCTAACCTGGTCATTTTAGCTGTTATTTTGAATTATAAATATAAAAAATATATTGGGGGGTGCCAAATTGAAAGTTTGTCCCCGGGCGCCGGAAGGGGTCGCTACGCCTCTGGTGACTAATACTTTTACCAAAGATAACGTATATTTTTTTATTATAAAGGTTTTTTTTACTTGTATATGCTTGATAATTTTTTTTTAAATTGAAACTAATTTTAAGGATGGCATAATGGAAGAAATAAAAAAAAAATTCATTTTTTTCTGTTTTTTACTGTCCCTAAATTTTAGGGATCCAAAATTAATGAAAACAAATGTTTAATCATTAATTCTAATTTAAGCTTTATTTATTCACTCTAACCTGGCTTCTGAGGACAGTTGAAGTCTGATACGATTTCGCAAGCTGTAAAAAAAAAGTGTTTTTAAAACTGATTAATTCAAAGTTTTATTCCGTTTTTTTTTTAAATTTTTAAATCTCTGAACAAACACAAATTTTAAGTTCTAGAATGTACTAATAAATTAAAACACAATTTCAATATAATTGTCTACTAGGTTGTTTTAATTATTTGCGAGTTCCAACCCATGTCACACTTACTTATTTCTAGAGTTAGCTCCCCTGCGCGACCGATTGTCTCGTTTTCACACAGGGTTATCACCTGAAAGTGAAAAACAGTGACAACGTTGAATAGTGGTCTAAGTCAGAGGCGTAGCGAGGGGGGCGGGGGGGGGGGGGGGAGGTACATACGTCCCCGGGCGCCGACCTAAGGGGGCGCGAAAATGGGTTTAAAACAAATTTAAAACTAATTTTAGCTGCAGTTTTGCATTATTAATATATTTTTAAAAAATATAGGGGGGGGGGGTGCAAATGGAAAATTTGAAAGGTTGTTCCCGAGGGGGGGGGCGCCAAATTGAAAGTTTGTCCCCGGGCGCCGGGAAGGGTTGCTACGCCACTGAAAATGGTACAAATTTAAAGTTTGAGGGGGGTTCAAATTAAAAGTTTGAGGGGGGGGGGGGGGGGAGGGTGCAAATTGAAAATTGAAAGGTTGTTCCCGAAGGGGGGGGGGTGCCAAATTGAAAGTTTGAGGGGGGTTCAAATTAAAAGTTTGAGGGGGGGGGGGAGGGTGCAAATTGAAAATTGAAAGGTTGTTCCCGAGGGGGGGGGGGGTGCCAAATTGAAAGTTTGAGGGGGGGGGGGGGTTCAAATTAAAAGTTTGAGGGGGGGTGTGCAAATTGAAAATTGAAAGGTTGTATAGGAGGGGAATCGCCAAATTGAAAGTTTGTCCCCGGGCGCCGGGAAGGGTAGCTACGCCTCTGGTCTAAGGACCATGTTGTACGAGTTAATTAAATCGTTGCCATTTGGCATTTAGTCGAAGTAATTAAATGCTCCTTATTACCATGACAGTCTAGTAAATTAAATTATCCAAATAGCTATATTGATCAAGCTAATTAATTGGTATAAAATGTTAATCAAGATAATTAACTGGTGTAAATAAAAATGTAAATCAAGTTAATTAATTGGTCTAAATAAAATGTTAATCAAGCTAATTAATTGGTATAAAATGTTAATCAAGATAATTAACTGGTCTAAATAAAAATGTTAATCAAGCTAATTAACTGGTCTAAATTAAATGTTAATCATGCTAATTAACTGGTCTAAATAAAAGGTTAATCAACCTAATTAATTGGTCTAAATAAAAACGTTAATCAAGCTAATTAATTGGTCTGAAAAAAAAGTTTTAATCAAGCTAGTTAACTGGTCTATCTAAAAATGTTAATCAAGCTTATTAAATAGTTTAAGTTGCAATATTAACCGAATTAAACCTTCTAAATTGCTATCTTAGTCAAACTAATTAAATGGACCACTATCTGAATCATCAGCGTCATCTTTTTCCCGTTCGTGCCCAAGACGCATATTGCAGATGAAGTAGAGTTCGTGTGTTTCAGGGACCTCGGCATATAAAGTAGACAGCGTGGATATTTCTCTTATATTGATAATGACGTCACACACAACAACTCACTTGAATCTTATCCTGGCAGCCCACGACTGGGGGCGAAATACGAAATCTTTGTCGGTACATTGGCTGTGAAAATAGAGTATATAAGATTGACTATACAAGAGATTATATAATATTGACTACGAGCCGACCCGCTGCGTATCATACGCCGCTATTTAGTTGTTTTTTTTCTACTTTTCAGTAATTTATAATTTGTGAATTCGACAGTACCAATGCTGCCACTGAAAATATTTGCTTAAAAACACTAAACACCCCCCCCCCCCCCCCCACGTGAAAGCAGCCTCCTCTTAGTTACCTCCTCTAAGTTTAAAATCGTTTCAAACTAAATTATCTGCCCCTAATAGCCGTCACCAAACCCGACTCTATGATTGTAAAATGTAAACAGCGTGACCACAGCTCACCAGACAATGTAGGGGTGGGGTGGGGGTGGTAGTGATAGTGATAGTGATAGAGAGAAAGAGAGGGGACTGCTAGGAGGCGCTTGCAGCTTGTTTTCTAACGGCTCCCAGAAGAGAATTATATATATAGATAGATACGGCAGTGGCGTAGCGAGGTCGGGTGTCACCCGTTGCGGCACTTAATGGTGTCACTTCCCCCCAGAGGCGTAGCGACCCTTCCCGGGGACAAATTTTCAATTTTCGATTTGCACCCCTCCCCCTCAAACTTTCGATTTGCAACTCTTAAAAAAACTATTTAACACTCGAATTAGCCACTTAATTAAGTGGAATTATCATTTTTCTCTATATATTTTGCTATTTTTTGCCTTGGTGTCACCCCCTGAAATGGTGTCACCCGGTGCGGTCCGTAACCCCCCCCCCCTTGCTACGCCACTGCTGTACGATATATTATATAATATTGGCTATACAATATATTATATATTATTGGCTATAAAATAGATCATGTAACATTGGCTATACAATAGATTATACAATATTGGCTATTAAATTAATTATATTACATTGACTATAACAAACATACTGCTGCTTAAAAATCTCTACACTCATGTATCTTTGAAAGTAATTTGTTGCATATAGTTTGTATGTTGCAACATATTATATGCAGCAACAGAATAGAGGATCAGTTCTTCAGACACCATCTAAGACAAAAAAATTCATAAACTGAACATCTACTACTGATCAACAAACACTACCATCTGACAATGACCATCTACCACTGACCATCTACCACTACTATCTACCATTGACCACACCACTGACCATACCACTGACAATACCTGTACCATCGACCACTGACCACCTACCACTGACAATACCTGTACCATCTACCACTGACCATCTACCTGTACCATCTACCACTGACCACCTACCACTGACCATCTACCACTGACCATACCTGTACCATCTACCACTGACCATCTACCTGTACCATCTACCACTGACCATACCTGTACCATCTACCACTGACCATACCTGTACCATCTACCACTGACCATACCTGTACCATCTACCACTGACCATCTACTCTACCATCTACCACTGACCATACCAGTACCATCTACCACTGACCATCTACCTGTACCATCTACCACTGACCATACCTGTACCATCTACCACTGACCATTTACCTGTACCATCTACCACTGACCATACCTGTACCATCTACCACTGACCATCTACCTGTACCATCTACCACTGACCATACCTGTACCATCTACCACTGACCATACCTGTACCATCTACCACTGACCATCTACTCTACCATCTACCACTGACCATACCTGTACCATCTACCACTGACCATTTACCTGTACCATCTACCACTGACCATACCTGTACCATCTACCACTGACCATCTACCTGTACCATCTACCACTGACCATACCTGTACCATCTACCACTGAACATACCTGTACCATCTACCACTGACCATACCTGTACCATCTACCACTGACCATACCTGTACCATCTACCACTGACCATACATGTACCATCTACCACTGACCATACCTGTACCATCTACCACTGACCATCTACCTGTACCATCTACCACTGACCATACCTGTACCATCTACCACTGACCATACCTGTACCATCTACCACTGACCATACATGTACCATCTACCACTGACCATACCTGTACCATCTACCACTGACCATACATGTACCATCTACCACTGACCATACCTGTACCATCTACCCAGTGCCGGCGCTACCTATAAGGCGAACTAGGCGATCGCCTAGGGCGCCATCCCTAGAGGGGCGCAAAATGTTTAATCGCTATTATCAATAAACCGGGAGTGATCTCCCCTAAACTTTCTCGAATATTCTAATATAACACTACGTGGGATGTCAACTCGGAATATAGACATGATTTTTGTTTACTTAAACTTTTAAAAATAGAATAAAATCTAGTAGAAAAAAAATTGCGCACCAAGCGAGCACCAAAACCAAATGTGCGTAATAGTGCGCAATATTATTAGTACTTTATAAATTTACTTGCGTTTTTTGAGAAATCGGAAATAGCGTAAATTAGTACTTCCGGTCAACGGAAATTACTCAAAATTTGATAGAAGGTAGAGAATTAGATCTTTTACTTACATGTGAAATTTCATTTATCTATCTGAATTAGTACTCAAGTTATAGGCTTTTGAAAAATTCAAAGTAGAAAAAGTACCACTTCCGGTTGTCGGAAATCGCTCAAAAGTTGATACGGATCTACGATTTTGATAAAATACTTATATATGAAATTTCATCAACCTAGCTGTAACGGTACTCAAGTTATCGTGTTTACACACGGACAGACAGACAGACAGACACACACACACACACAGACATACGGACAAGATTGCAAAATTATGTTTTTCCGTATCAGTGAGGTGTAAAACGTCGAGATTTGTAAAAATCTCAATTTTTTTTTTTGCACGATTACAATACTTTCTCTATACTTCGTATATACGAGAAAGTAAAAAGTACCTAATAATTAATAACTTTTATATAGGAGTAGCAATCTATTTCGGCACCAAGGACGAACTATCAATTATGCACCCCCACACCAAAATTAGGTCTACATAGGCCTATATTTATTCGCGATGGTGAAAATGCAACTCAACCTCACAAATTTGGAAAGGTCGGGGCGCTTTTTACCAGTCCAGTAGCGTAGCGAGGGGGGAGGGGGGGACATATGTCCCCGGGCGCCGACCTTAGGGGGCGCCAAAAGGAGTTGGAAAAATAAATTGAAAGGTTGAGGGGTGTGCAAATCGAAAGTTTGAGGGGGGGGTGCAAATCGGGCGCCGGGAAGGGTCGCTACGCCTCTGTACCAGTCACTTTGCCTTTTTAATTTGGTGTCACATAATTCTTGTAGAAAACGATTAAATAAGTTCGTTTTTTTTAAGTTTCGAACATTTCAAATGGTTATCTAATTTTAATAGGGCTTGTAATTCTCGTTTTCTCTGACTTTGAATTAGAAACCTGTCCTGGTGAACAGAGTTTTTTATGACGGGGTGTTCAAAGTATTATACTGGTTTGGTAAGTTTTGATGAATTATATATATTTTTTATATTTAATCAATAATTCCAGCAATGTCTAAAACAGTTAGATCTACCCGTGTTTGATTTTTTAACACGTTTTTAACACGTTTTTAACACGTTTTTCTTAACTCAGCTTCGCGTTTGTTTGTTTGTTTGTTGTTAAAATTGACATCGAAAATTAGCCCACTTCTGATTGCTCTAGAGACCTGAAATTTGGCATGCATGCTACTTTCGCCTAACAATTTCAGATGCAATCATAAAAACTAGCAATTAGTGACCGTAATTAGCTTAATTTAATTACGCCCCAAGGACCATAAAATTGAGGACATGATTTCTAAAGATACCGACAAGACTTGAGGCCTATTGACACAGTTACTTCGGCCCCAATCGATGTGAGCGCGCTGGCCGTGATCGTATAGTGGTTAGTACTTCGCGTTGTGGCCGCGACAACCCAGGTTCGAATCCTGGTCGCTCAAGTTTTTTTTAGTCCGTGTATTTATAAACACTTTTTTAAAAACCACGTTTTTCATGTGTAGCAACGGACTAAAAAGGAGAAAATAAAATACTTAAAAAAAACTTTTTAAAAAACCACGTTTTTATGTGTAGCAACGGACTAAAAAGGAGAACGGACACGGTAACACATTGTTAACGGTGACACGGTTGGTACGCTGGGCATGCTAAAATACACATAAACACGTTTTTCCTTAACTCAGCTTCGCGTTTATTTGTTTGTTTATGGGAGATTTGATCACGTGATTCGTGAGTAGATCTCCACGCCAGCAACGTAAATTACACCCTTTCTCTGTTTAAAGCGTATCGGTCGCTCAAGATTTTTTTAGTCCGTGTATTTAAAAACACTTAGTCAAGTCATACTTAATCAAGTGATTAGATAAAGTAGAAAATAAACTATATAAAAAACTTTTTAAAAACCACGTTTTTCATGTGTAGCAACGGACTAAAAAGGAGAAAATAAAATACTTAAAAAAAAACTTTTTAAAAAACCACGTTTTTCTTGTGGACTAAAAAGTAGAAAATAACTATTTACATACATTTGATGACAAAAAACGTGGGTCGGGCAGATGGGTCGGGAAATTTGATGGTGAACGTACCCACGTTTTTTGTCATCAAATGTATGAAAATTTATTTTCTACTTTTTAGTCCACAAGAAAAACGTGTTTTTTTTTAAAAGTTTTTTTTAAGTATTTTATTGAAAGCGTCCCTTTATTCAGGGGATCCAAAATTTTATTTCTTTTGTAAATGAAAACGCAATTAATAATATGTCATCGAACTTGAATAGAAGTATGTTATGATAAAGCTACCGTTTTTAGTGATTCAAACAAAACCTATAGTTAAGTATTAAATAGGTAAAATATATTGTTTTCACAAGGCTACATAGAAAATACAAAAGATCCATTATATATATTACGCAATGAAATTTAGAATATTTTATTGTGTTTTTCAAGCATATCTTAATTAAATTTGATTATTTTAGCGATTCTTGTGAAAATTATTTCCCTTGAATAAAATTTTGGTATTTGTATTTTCAAATGGGAGATAATTCGTTTCTTATCTTTACATTCATTTCAAATTCCTGCACCTTAGGTTGACCGCTTACATATAAATGCAACCTTAAGTTATTATTTGCTATTGTAAAAATGATATAGAGCTTAAGTTCTAAACAAAATAGTTTGGTAGGTTTTTTTAGCATTATCAAGTTGAAAAACAAATATATCAGTAGCCGTTACAGATTGCAATAATTAATGTTAGTAGACATACAGTCTTAGTAATAAATTAAACATCTAATTAGTTATTTTTTACCCTCTCCTAAAGGCTGGAATCTATATTATTTATAAACTTTTATTTTTCAAAAAACCGAAAAATCGTTACATAATCACATAATATAGACATGTTACAATTATAACTATAGACAGTCAAGCTTAAAACAGGTAAGTTCCGGTTTGGAACTCACCTTGGGAGGACTGTTGAGAGCCCAACACTACAAGAACTTTTTTTGATTCAGTGGGTTTTTTTTCCAGATTTTTTTTCTCCCGGGAGGGGGGAAGGGAAGCACTTAAAATTTTCTAAGGGGGGAGGGATAGGGGGGGGAGGGGCTATGTTGTAAAGTACAAAGTTGACTCGTGCACTTAGCAACAATTTTAATAAATGTGATTAGTCTTGCAAACTGGAATTGACAGAATTAGTACAAACTTTTTTAGATGGAGGAGGCAAGTAAAATTAGACTTTGATGTCTACTTATAACGTGTATGCAACTGATAATTAATTAAAGTCACTTTCATTTAATTGTTTTCTTATGCATATGTTTTAGTAATTAATTTGTGTGAAAGGGGGAGTTTTAATAAGTTTTGCCTAGGACGCTAGATAACCTGGCACCGGCACTGCATCTACCACTGACCATCTACATGTACCATCTACCACTGACCATCTACATGTACCATCTACCACTGACCATCTACCACTGTTCATCTACATGTACCATCTACCACTGACCATCTACTCTACCATCGACCACTGAAAATACCTGTACTATCTACCACTGACCATCTACATGTACCATCTACCACTGACCATCTACATGTACCATCGACCACTAAACATACCTGTACCATCTACCACTGACCATCTACTCTACCATCTACCACTGACCATACCTGTACCATCTACCACTGAACATACCTGTACTATCTACCACTGACCATCTACATGTACCATCTACCACTGACCATCTACATGTACCATCTACCACTGACCATCTACATGTACCATCTACCACTGACCATCTACATGTACCATCGACCACTAAACATACCTGTACCATCTACCACTGACCATCTAATCTACCATCGACCACTGACCATCTACTACTACAAAACTCACCTACCAGTGGTGACCTCCAAAACTCACCTGACCAGTGGTGACCTACAGAACTCACCTACCACTGGTGACCTACAAAATTCACCTGACCAGTTGTGACCTACAGAACTCACCTCACTAATTGTGGCCTACAAAACTCACCTGACCAGTGGTCACCAGCTCCGGGGTGTCACCAAAGATATGAACAACATCCAGTCGTGGTGGACACGACAGCTGGTGAGTCACGTTGTACGTCAACATGTCTGCCTGCCAATCTGTGAGCACGGGGAGATGAAATTACACACAAACACACACATACACAAACACACACAACTCACAAGCACACACAACACACAAACACACACAACACACACAACACACAAACACACACCACACACAAACACACACAACACACAAACATACACATACACACAAACACACACAACACACAAACATACACAACACACAAACATACACATACACACAAACACACACACCACACAAACACACACAACACACAAACACACACAACACAACAACACACACCACACACAAACACACAAACCACACACAAACACACACACCACACAAACACACACCACACACAAACACACACAACACACAAACATACACAACACACAAACATACACATACACACAAACACACACACCACACAAACACACACAACACACAAACACACACAACACAACAACACACACCACACACAAACACACACACCACACACAAACACACACACCACACAAACACACACCACACTTAAACACACACAACACACAAACATACACAACACACAAACATACACATACACACAAACACACACACCACACAAACACACACAACACACAAACACACACAACACAACAACACACACCACACACAAACACACACACCACACACAAACACACACACCACACAAACACACACACCACACAAACACACACCACACACAAACACACACAACACACACATACACAACACACACCACACACAAAAACACACAACACACACCACACACAAACACACAACACACACAACACACAAACATTCAGACTACACATCAGGGTAAAATCAGAATCACTTTTTAAAAATATATGGGTTCTAACGAATAAGCCTTAGCGATAGTTTATCTCTACGGTTAAGACTACATATAAAAATTATCCGATTGTTTGTTGGATAGGTTTATTATTGGGGTATATAATAGTGATAAAGCTATAACAGTTTGTTGGTTTTTCTAGGTAACGATAAATTCTCTAAACCGAATTTATCGTGCAGCTACGATGTGCCCAAAGGATACGTTCAGACATATTTTCCGGAGGTGGGGGGTACTTGAAATTTCCGGGGGAACCCTTAAGCTTCCGGAGGGGGGGGGGTGTAGAAGGGTGGCGGATGTTTACATCTTGAGTGACCCTGTCGTCATGACGTCATTTGCAAGGGGTCTATATATTTCTAAAAAAAATTTAATTAATTTTCTATTTTGGAGATGTGGGTCGATGGACGTTCAATACGGCAGTTCTCCCTCCCCCACCGTCTCCACGGAGAGAAGCCTGACCGAAAGAAACACTAATGTATCCGTATTGTTTTGATACTATGAAGAAGATGATTAAGAACGTACCTCGGCCACTTAGAATATCAGCAAAGCCCAAACAAGCATACGAGAGGCCGAGGTTGGGGAAAACAATGAACTCTACTGTACCTGTCACGCGGACTGCTGGATCCTAAAGTATGTTTTATTTTTATTTTTTTTTACTTTTGATTTTCGGAATAAATGTTAAGTAGTGCCGGTTATTATGACAATGAAGGGTGGATTCATTGACGTCCTACAGTCGTTTCCAGAAGCGAACAGAACTCTGAACAACAGCTTCCTCCTCGCGATGGGAGCCGGACATTACCCCCCCCCCCCCTCCGTCAATTTACCCCTGACATTCCCCCGACATAATTCCCCTCCCCTCCCCTTTGGATAAATTATCCCCTGTCAACCATCCATTCTCCCGGATATCCCCCCCCCCCTCGGTCTTAACCCACGGAGTAATTAAACCCCATGTCAGTTAGTTATACTTCTGGTCATTACCCCCAGAGATTTCCCCATCCCCCCGGAGAAAACACCCCCTGTCAATTACCTCTTTCCCTGGACAACCCCTCGACATTATCCCCCGGGGCAATTACCCCCTTGTCAGTTACCCCCTGTCAATTACAACCGGACATCTCCCCGACACTACCCCCCCCACGGAGAAATTACCCTCTGTTAATTGCCTCCTCCCCGGACATCACAACCCCCACCCCCCCCCCCACCCCCCGACATAACCCCCGGAGCAATTACCCCCATGTCAGTTACCCTTATTCCGTTACCCCCCGCTCACCAACACATCTATTAATAGAGCGTGTATACCGATGAGTTAAAACCGAGGTTACCGTTGGGGGATCTCCACTCCAGTGTGAGTACCATCTCCTCCGACTGGGTCCTGTACTCCGGCTGCGTGACCCTAAGGTCTGTGGGTTGCCACTCGGACATGCCTGTGTGTAATTCAAATAATGTGGATGAGTTGACAGTTGTTGTTGTTTTTTTTGTTAAACCATGACAAACATCATATAAAAAAAAATCACTGGGTTCTCGAAAGAAATGATAATATTTTGTTAGTGTTTTCAGTATTATTTGTTTTGTTTGAACTTTCACTTAACTTTTTTTCTCCTTTGTATTTGCCACTTATTTCTTTATCTCTAGTTTAGAAGAATATAACTAGAACTCCAATACATTTTTTTCTCTTTTTCCTGTACTCTATAATAAATTTGTCATTACGTATCTATAATATAAGCGGGCTGTGCTTGTCCTTCCTTCCTTCCGTCCGTCCGTCCGTCCGTCATCGCTATAGATTTTGGGACTATAAAAGTAAACTACGCACCATGCTGTGCTTTTCAGTGCACCGCAGTGTCTTATTATAAGTGTTAGAGTAGGGTTTGTTTATATAGCGGCATAGAGCTATTTTATAAATGACACTGTGTTTACTTTTTTGCATAACGTTATGAAAATATTAAATATTCGCACATTGCTAAAACATATTAAAAAGTACAATGTCAAATATCATTTTAGTTTATATTCTTAGAAAAAATGGATACATTTCCATAAAAGTAGGTCAAAAAAACTAATTAATTCAACTTTTTTTTGTGGTAATTTTTTTCAAGGGAGGTAATTTGAAAATATATTTATCTCAACAATAATTTAAGTTAATCTTTTTTGTATTACTACCGCATTGATTAGTATATGTTAATGTTCATAATTAAAAGAGAAAAATGTTAAGATTATTTATATTATTTATTTTTTTTTTCTAATTAGTCTATGATTTCTCTAAAATCACTATCTTTTTGCTTTTGTTTTTCGGTGTTATGAAAACAGATGGTGAAATTAGACTTTTTGAGAATAATGGAAAGGCTCTCTCTGAGCGCGGACGTATGGGAAAATGTTTTTTTTAAATATTCAACTCACTCTCAATAAATTAAGTTAATTTTTTTTATTACTTCCACATTGATTATTATATGTTAAGTAAAATAGAAAAAATGTTAAGATTATTTACATTATTTTCTAATTAGAATATGATCTCTCAAAATCACTATTTTTTTGTTTTTGTTTTTCGGTGTTAACAGATGGTGAAAATTTAGAATTATAGTATAGAGAATGCTGGAAAGGCTCTCTCTGGGCGCGGATGCCTAAGAAAATCGTGTTGTTCGTTGGTGATTCTATTGTTGTGGTTGTGTTGTGGTTGTGTTGTGTTGTGGTTGTGTTGTGGTTGTGTTGTGGTTGTGGTTGTGGTTGTGGTTGTGTTGTGGTTGTGTTGTGGTTGTGTTGTGTTGTGGTTGTATTGTGGTTGTGTTGTGGTTGTGTTGTGTTGTGGTTGTGTTGTGGTTGTGTTGTGTTGTGGTTATGTTGTGGTTGTGTTGTGGTTGTGTTGTGGTTGTGTTTGTGGTTGTGTTGTGTTGTGGTTATGTTGTGGTTGTGTTGTCGTTGTGGTTGTGGTTGTGTTGTGGTTGTGGTTGTGGTTGTGTTGTGGTTGTGTTGTGGTTGTGTTTGTGTTTGTGGTTGTGTTGTGTTGTGGTTATGTTGTGGTTGTGTTGTCGTTGTGGTTGTGGTTGTGTTGTGGTTGTGGTTGTGGTTGTGGTTGTGTTGTGTTGTGATTGTGTTTTGTTTGTGTTTGTGTTATGTTTTTGTTTGTTTTGTTGTGTTGTGTTGTGGTTGTGTTGTGTTGTGGTTGTGTTTTGTTTGTGTTTGTGTTATGTTTTTGTTTGTTTTGTTCTGTTCCAAAGTTGGTACATTTAAAAAAGATTTACCGTGGCGGAGCACGGGATGCAGCTAGTTATCTATACTTAGGAACAGAGTTTCTTCCAGGCATTTCTTCGGAGAGGGGGGGGGGGCGGACTCTGCCCCCGCCCCCCGAAAAAAGTCCACCGCCCCCCGAACAAGATGGAATTTATATAGTAAACATATACTTTTACTAGTGTCCGCCCCCCCCCCCCCTCGGAAAATGTTGACCGCCCCCCCCCCCCCCGAAAATATCAAGTGCCCCTCCCCGGAGAAAAAAGTCTGGAAGAAACACTGCTTAGGAAGAATTTAACTAGAACTAAAATATTTGCCACTGCTTATTATCTTTACTTCGGATAAATGTATCTAGAACTCTATATTTGCCACTCTACTTTGAATCTTTAATTCCGAATGGGTCTAATAAACGGGATAGTTAGACGCAGTGACGTCACTTCCTAACCTGTTTCATTCAGCCCTTCGCTGCAGCGGCTCCAGCAGTCCGCCATCTTGCTGTGTTCGTCACGTGACCACTCATGACGACACTGTTGGGGATTCCCCATAAGAAGATGACATGCGTGACACGAAGGCTGGAACAGAAATGGCGGCTTGACACTGACACAAAATATATGAAGTCCGCTTATGAAAACGAGGAAGTAATAAATAAAATAACAGTGTAGAACAGGGGTCTCCAAACTACGGCCCGCGGGCCGAATGCGGCCCGCGAGGTCCTCTCATCCGGCCCGCGGAGATCTTTTTGTCCACGGAAAAAAACGTTTGTTGGTGATGGCTGAGGAACGTTGCCCAGAAAAATCAAAGACATGTCTGGAAGAAACTGGCCCCTCGAATCGAAAATTAATAGTTAATGCGGCCATCGGACTGAAAAGTTTGGAGACCCCTGGTGTAGAAGAAAGAATAATAGCAAATAAGTAGGTAACAGGCTTATGTGTAGGCAGTGGCGTCTCTAGGCCGGGTGTCACCTGGTGCGGACCGCACCCCCTGCACTCGACTTTTGATGCTACTGTGTGTAAAGTAAAGAACGCCAGGCGCTGGGGTGGAACCCCCAGGGAAAGCGGGAGACAGGGCGCCTAAGACAGACCTGGAGGCGGAGTCTTCTTGAAGAACTGCAGACAGCAGGGATGTCTTGGGAGGCTGCAAAATTAATAGCCGGGGACGGGACAAAATGGAAAGGTATGGGGTCATCTATTTATGACGTCTACAAAATTTCGGAATCAATTTTTTAAAATTATCAAATGTAAGTATTTTGTGGTTTCTTCTTCTTCTTCTTCTTCGTTCTTAATTATTAGTGTTGAAGGGGATCGAGATTTATCTGCCAGTGGGTTTGAACTCGAGACTTTGTTCGAATTTATCAACCATGAGCTTTTTGCCGACTCGACCACGCCTCCAACACAATTAAGCGTTACGTGTCAACTGGTTATGCGCCATTGAGGCCATTGACTCCGATTTCAGCCTGCTTTTCTTTTTTGGATTTGCTTCCATAGCCTTTGTCCAACCAAGAACAAACTACAAGGCAGCAGTTGTTTAATTTTTGGAGTTGTCTCTCCTAGAAGAGTGGCTGTCCCCAGCTAACGAGCCTCATCTGCCCGAGGGTTCGAACTCGAGACTTTTCGGTGTAGCAACCATGAGCTTTACCGACTCGACCACGAGTTTAATTCCGCATTTTGACGTCCACATTGAACCGCCCCCCCCCCCTTCCCCCCAGTCCAGACGCGTCCGCAAAAGTCGATTTTTGCCCTCGACATATGAAGGGAAGGTGTGGTCAGCATTTTGCATTTACTTTCCCTAACTTTACTCATCAGAGTGGACGTTCTACTGACTTGAACCCGGATTCGAACTCGAGACTTCTGTGTTAGCAGCCTAGCGCTCTACCGATTAGGCCAAGCCGTCCCATCTACTGTAGGCCTATATAGGCCACATTTTTTTAACAAAATTATGCACATGTTGAATCGATTCCCACACCCAAGCTACTCCACTGTACCGAATGGGTAAAAATATTCCCTTAAAGTTATACCCGTCCACAAACCGTCCTTTACAAACATATCCCCTAATTACATATTTCTTTATATATTAATCCCCTGCACACCTATTTCACTACACATCTACTTCACTAGACACATATACCACTACACACCTGTACTATTACATATGTCTCTGTATATTTATAAAATTAAACATAAGTTCCAACACACGCCTACTAATACACGGGAGCAGGACATTACCCCCCGGTCAATTACCCCCCCCTCTCCCCCGACATTAGCCCCGGAGCAATTTCCCCCTGGCAATTCCTCCCCCTGTCAGTTATCCCCCCCTCACAGATAAGTATAGGGTTAGGATTTGGGTTGGGGTGAGGGTTAGGTAAGGGTTAGATGTAGGTTTAGAGTTGTTTTTAGGATTGATGTTGGCGTTAGGGTTAGCTATAGGTTTAGGTTTTGGGGTTAGGGTCAGGGTTCTTCGTGATGGGGGGGGGGGGGGGGGAGAGTAATTGACGAGAGTAATAACTCCGGGGGAGGGTGTTCGGGGGTAAAACGGAGGGAGGTAATGTCCTAGACACCCTCATCCCACCCCCTACACACCTATCCCACCACACATCTACTCACCCATTAAAAAATCATCAATACTATATTTACCATTTTTGAACAGCACCAAGCCGTACAATCCTCCACACATGGTTCTCTCCCCTCTGTGTCTATCACTTCGGCTTGCAGTGCTTTACATGCTCCATAGCAAACAACACACAGTATCAAAAACACTGCTACCACAGTGTCCATTTTTTTTTTACCTTCAGCTCTCACTGTAGCAGTTATACAAACATCTCATATGCTATTTTTTTTAAAAAGCGTTTTCTTTTAAATGTGACTTCAGTTTTCGCTAAATCAGTTGAACACACTTCTACATGTGATTTATAAAACGAATAGCGTTTTTGATTTTACTGTAATTTCGACTATAGCAGTCGAAAATCGAAATGGTATCAAAACGATAACCGTTTTTATTTGACTGTAATTTAAACTATAGCAGTTAAATTAAAATCTAAATAGCATCAAAACGAATAGCGTTTTTAATTTGTTACTTTAATTTCGACTATAGCAGTTAAATACACATCAAAATTATATTTAAAAAATCCATTTTTGTTTGAACCTAATTTCCACTACAGCAGTTAAAAATCGAAATGGTATCAAAACGATAACCGTTTTTTATTTGACTGCTGTAATTTCAACTATAGCAGTTAAATTAAAATCTAAATGGCATCAAAACGAATAGCGTTTTTATTTTATGTTACTGTACTTTCGACTATAGCAGTTGAAAATGTAAATGGTATCAAATTTTAAAAGCGTTTTTTTTTTAAAAATATAAATCCACAAAATACTAGAACTATAAGTATTAAATATCTCAAAACTATTTTGTCTTATATTTTGTGAAAAATCACTTAACGTCTAAAATAGCTTATCTTCTTAGTGCGTGACATCTACTTAGTTCAACGCTAAAGTACTTTAACCTGTTTTTAATTTAAGTTCATAATATTTTGTTGGTTTATTTTCAAAGTGCCTTCAGTTTAACATCAAAATAAGTTAACATTTTCAAAGTACCGGCAATTTATATTAACGTTTTCTTTCTCTATTGTAAAAGTAACAGCAATTTAACATTAAAATAGTTTAACGTATTCTTTGTAATTGTAAAGTACCATCAATTTAACCATTAACTTTTTCTTTGTTTATTGCTAGAGTACCGGGAAATTAACATCAAAATATTGTTTTGGGGAGGAGGGGGTGATAAAATCAAGTGCCGGTTGTTTAAAATCCATAAAATAATAAAGCCTGATATTTAAAAAAATCTTTATAGTTTAACACCTAAACAATGTTTTTAAAATCACTCGATATCTAACGTGGAACTTTTTTACCGTGAAATTTAATATTTGTTAATGGTTTATTTTAGTTGTTCCTACTTTCTAAGTCTTAGTATTCTCTAGACAAAAGCGTCCACGAAAAACTCATGTTTTTTTTGTACACCTAGTGCTATAGTGTACGCTACAGGGCTAATGTACTGATAAGACAGTCGTGTCATGTACTCGATTATCTGAGATTGTTTTGTTCCTTCTTAGCAGGTTCAACTTTTGCATTCTATTTTTAGAAGAGTCGAATTTTAAAATAAAAAATTAAAAAAAATTCTAACTGAAATAAATTAATGTAATTAAATTAAGTATCACTTTTAAATGAAAAATGTAAAACATTACATTCCAGTGAAGGAGTAAATATGTTGCATATATAAAGTGAATTCTTTGTTAGATCTTTTATTCTTGTTTCATGTAACGCAACTAACGTAGACACTGGTCTTGTTAATTTAAATGAAAGCTTTCAACTGTAGAGATAATAATACTGAAACAAAACACCACATTCCATTAAGAAGGAACTCCAGAAATTTGTCTGTTTGCTTTCTGCAGACAACAAGATAAGAAGCATCTACACGCACATACTTCCATATACAACATCAAAAAACATTGTCGAAAAATGTATAGAAGTTAATTCATGAAATCCAGAACATCAGATGCTTCTAAGACTGAGGCATAAACGGTGTTTTAAAATATGTTAATTTGCTTTAAATAAATAACACGTGAAGCCTCTGCAAGTACATAGCACTACACACATGTATACAATTATTCCAGAAATATTTGTCTTGTAAAGAACATGCATTGCGATCTTATCTCTGTGGTGTGGGAACTGGAGCGTGCCACACCACTGGCCTAGCCAGAACCGCCGGTCTTGGGAGACATGGAGTTGTGTCCCTTCTCGAAACAAATTGTTCTATTCCATTTTTAATATATATATATATATATATATATATATATATATATATATATATATATATATATATATATATATATATATATATATATATATAATTTTTTTTTTGAGACACTGAGCTGTGTCCCTTCTCTAAGCAGATTGTTCTGTTCCATCTTTTTGTGAGACATCGAGTTTATGATCCCTCTAAGATGCGCGGTTGCGCGGCCGCGCAGTTGTTTTAAGCTGCCGCGCAGTAAAGTTGTAAAATAAATTTATCCCTGTATAAGACTTTTAGAACAGCGCGCACAGAAAATACATCTTGAAAACTAGTTTTTCCCCCTTAGAGGGAAAATTGGTTTATGTCCCGTCTCTAAGTAGGTAAGTTGTTCTGCTCCATCTTTTTGTGAGCAGAGTTTCTTCCAGGCATCTCTTCGGGGGGGGGGGGGACTAAGCATCCCCCCCGCCCCCCCCCCCCCCCCCCCCGAAATTTTTTTACCGCCCCCCGAACGAAATGAAATTTATATAATTTATATAGAAAATACTTACTTTTGACAGTGTCCGCCCCCCCCCCCCGAAGAAAGTCTACCGCCCCCCCCCCCCGAAAATTTCAAGTGCCCCCCCCCCCCCCCCCCGGAGAAAAAAGTCTGGAAGAAACACTGTTTGTGAGACATCAAGTTTTGTCCCTTCTCTACACAAATTGTTCTGTTCCATCTTTTTGTGAGACATCAAGTTTTGTCCCTACACAAATTGTTCTGTTCCATCCAGAGGCGTAGCGAGGGGGTGCGGACCGCACCGGGTGACACCATTTAGGGGAGTGACACTAAGGCAAAAAATAGCAAAATATATAGAGAAAAATGATAATTCCAGTTAATTAAGTGATTAATTCGAGTGTTAAAGAGGTGCAAATCGAAAGTTTGAGGGGGGGGGGGGGTGGGAGGATGCAAATCGAAAATTGAAAGTTTGTCCCCGGGAAGGGTCGCTACGCCTCTGGGGGGGGGGGGGTGACACCATTAAGTGCCGCACCGGGTGACACCCGACCTCGCTACGCCACTGGTTCCATCTGTGAGACGTCGAGTTATGTCGCTTCTCTAAACACTTTGATCCGTTCCATATTACGTACTCTGAGAGGTGGAGGAGTGTATGATGGTGGTGGGAGGGGGGGGGGGGGGGGGGAAGTATGACGGAAGAGTTTATGATGGGTGAGAAATGATTATATTTTGAAGCATACTATGTGTATAAAAAGGGAGAGTCATTTTCAGATTTATTATGAACTATCTGCTAGTAATATGATATTATTTTAAATTTCAATATTTTGTTTTTTGTCTGAACCAATGCTGATAAATTATAAATATTACTTTTGTAGTTTTCTTACTGCCAGGGGACATGACCAAGGTTTATTTTCTATTTTTGCCGTAACTATTAGAACTAGCACAATTAATTCCCTTAATGTTATAATTTCATATTTAGCAACGCAGCTGTAAATAGATGCCTATAGATCAATATTTATTGCAGTTTATGAAAAGAAAATATAAGGTAAATCCAATAGAATTAAGAATCTGCTGTAAAAAGTTAAGATTTAGATCTAGTATTTAGATTGTAGATTATAATTCCACCTTTTTAAAAAAAAAAAACTGTTTTGTAGAAGGGGCTCCGAGTTAAGTCTGATGTTTCCCTCCCTTACAAATGGCAAGGATTTTTTAAATATTTAAATTTAATGAGATGTAATTTATATTTTGGTAGAATCTATTTTTAGATTTGTAAAATTCATGCACCTTATTAGAGTTTTGAAACGTAGACAGGCGCCATGTTTTACAAGTACAAACAAGCACTTTCCGGATTTCCGGAAAATTAAATTTGTTTATACTGGGAAATCACTTATTTCAATAGTACTCGAATTGTTTAACACTTGTTTTAATACTACACAAGTAAAATGTTACTCTTTTTGGATAATAATAATATAGATCACAATCTGTTATGTTTTATGCTTGTTTTGTTTTTGAAAATTCGCGTTTTTTAGCTGCTATACAAAGTCACCCAAAGTTAAAGTTTGAAAGTTGCCAAAGCCAAAAAATTTAAAAATAGCCTAGAATCTAGATTAGATGATGAGATGTATTTTGAAATAATTGAAACACTTGGGTAAAACTCCATTTTAGCGTATTTTATTCCCCGCTTCACGTTCACCTCCAGTTGAGCGTATTTTATTATAAACACAACCGAAACACACCAAAACGTTAGGAAAACATTGGGCTTATTAAGCTTATTTCTTTATGAATTTTTGTTTTCGTTTTTGATAATTTACTGTTGTCAAAACTTTAGAAAATTGTTATTGAGTGTTAATTTCCTAAAGGCTTTATATTTGTAGGTTTCCACAATAATATTGTTTTCAGTTCCACAGAAATCAACATGTCGTCAACATCAAAAAAACATCAGAACTTCGTCTCCGAGCCAATGGGGGAGAAGACAGTGTATGAGCTGGCTGGGATTGGTGAGGCACTGGGTTCACGCTTGACCGAAAAAAATTATGATAAGGTATGTTACCCTTTTTATTGTTTTTTGTATTAACCTTAACATTTTTGCTAGCCCCAGTTGTATTTTGTTTTTAATATTGATATAGAAATGCACGATTACTTTATTAAATATATAGAATGAATCTCAGTATCTTAATCCTATACTTTTTTACCTTTTTTTGCATGTACATTATCCTTTATCGTTATCATTTTATATTAAGAAAATTAATTATTTAATTTTCAAACATTTTTCTCCTACGTTTTGATATATATATACATTTTCATTGTACCAGGCATATGTAGTTCTAGGCCAGTATCTTCTTTTTAAAAAAGATGAAAGCCTCTTCAAGGATTGGTTAAAAGATATCTGTGCTGCCAATTCTAAACAGCAGGAGGATTGCTATCAGTGTCTGAAGCAGTGGTGTGACTCGTTTTTGTGATCTGTTCCTTTTATCATATAGTTAAAAAACAAAGCTGTAAATTAAATATTGAAACATGTAACTGATTTGTTGGTTTTTTTTATATACAAAGTATATAATGCTGTTATACCCACCTTTTGTGTCATTGATATTTTTTCATAAGCTGAACTCAACCATAAAATTTGTTTTGTTGGATTGTATATTTTTTTTTTGCTTGCAAACATAAGCATTAAGCATTTCATCATAAACAAGTTTTATTTTGTTATTAACACGGTGTTAACAAAATCAAAAAGGTATATTTTTTAATGTTATTCAACTAGAGCATTTTTTTTAAGTGAAACCATTCACAATATCTTATTTTTTTTCTCATTTATCATCCAAGCACAGCAAATTAGCAGTTTTAATGTTAAATAACATAAGAGCTGTTTATATTCTGCATTTATTTGTAACAGTAAAATACAAATTAATTATCTCATTTCAATGGATCTAAGTCATTTTAGTTTTAAAAATAAAATCTTTTCCATTTTCTTGCTTGTTTTTTCATGAAGTGTCTGATTTGTGAGGCAACAAATACAGTGGTATCAGCCAGTTTTTTTATAAGTTCCAGTGACCATTGTTAACTTACTGGTACTGACGTCACTGCAAGTGACCATTAGTGAATACTGATGTCAGTGCCAGAGATCTTTGCCTAATTGCTCATACTGAAACTAACATCAGCTCAGTGACCATAGCTTATTACTGATACTTGAGTGATACATAACCTCATGTAAAAATGTTTGTTGCTAATTGCTATTCATTTTTGCCACTGTGCCAGTGACATTTGCTAATTACTGATACTTAACCTCGTGTGACAGTGTTGTTATTTACTCATATTTGCCATGGTGCCAGGGACCACTGCTAATTACAGTGCCAGTGACTATTACTAAGTAACTTTGCACGCTGCTGACATTGTGCTTTGTGTAGACTTTGATACATTTGTGATGTATAACTCTAATGACTTAACTCTAAAGTCTGTTCTGTTGTTTGTGTTTGAAGTTAGTACCTGGAAGTGATCTTACCCACCCCAGGAACAAGAAAATGTGATTTCCAGTTACTGATAATGCTAATTTATTTTGGGTATACAAAAGGAAGTTGATCTAATCTGTGAATACCCATGGCAGATCAATCTGCTGAAAGCTACTTTTATCTTGACTTGTGTAAAACACTGGGATTCATGAGTAAGCTTATTGTTATACTACAATCAGTAGTGTCACAAGGGTGAGGGGTGGTCCACACAGGGTAACACCAAATGAAAAAAAAAGTTTCATTCAGTTAAATAAATAAAATAGGGGTGATACCAAACTATGAATCCAAAATTGTGGGGTGCAGTGTTTTTTTTTTCAGGCATCTCTTTCCACACCCCCAATGTCTCAAGTGCTTCCCCCTCCCCATAGAAAACAGCCAAAGCCTGAAAGAAACACTGGTGGTGTGATACTCTCAGCTGCTGCACTGGTTGACACCCAACCTAGTGACACCATTACCCACAGTGAATCCTATTGTCTCCAATGATTTAATTCTCGTACTTTGTTTACAACGGAATCAGAAGCTAAGCTGCAGGTGTGGTGCATCTACATTGTGAGTGGAAGTGTGTCAGGTATCTTGTGTATGTCTTTTAAAAGCTGTAGACAATATCTCAGGCAAGCAGATGGGTACAATGAGATTTAGATGATACCGATAATAGACTTCAGAAAATAAGTGTTAGGCTTATGGAAGAGGTTGGGGTTAGCAAGCCATATGTTAACTTAGTTAACTACCAGTAACCTAACACCCCCTTTTTAAGAAGATTCTATCTGCCTGTATTGGTCCTTATACTTTTAGCCATCTTGTTCTATTATAATAAACCAATCTGCCTTAAAATAAAAAAGGACCTGCTTTTCAATATTCTCATGGGATCAAATGTCAGCTTGACCTGCAGCATGTGTCATTGTGTCTGCTGTATATAAAAAATATGAAAAAAATACTGGCCAGCAAGCTTTGTTCATTGACAATAGTGAAAACAAATGGAAAGAATGCCAAACAACAGACTGGGTAAAAAAAGGTATTTAGATCTAATTAGTAACTAACAACCAAAAACTCCAACATAAACTACCAGTAGGCTACCAACAGACAGACCTAGGTTTAAGTTGAAATCGATTGATGATGTCACAATGATGTGGAGATATACCTACACTACAACAGCTTGAAATACAAACGTGGATTTGGCGGTTGAAAATTACAAACAAATCCTTTGTAATTTTAAGATGCAGGTATTCACATTAAATTCAGCACAACTGAACACATTTCTTATATAGTCTAGAATTTATCTCCATGTGTTCTTTTAACAGTCTTGGGGTTCGTCCGTAAATGACGTCACATTCGGAGGGGGGTCCGTAATTTTGTGACAGTGTGTGATGAGGGGGGGGGTGGTGGTCAGATGGTGTGACGTCACATTTTTGCATTATAGAAAAGCAATGTTAGAAAACGAATTTTAGCCGTTATTTCGCGTTTTAGAAAACTATTAATAAATTGTAATAGGAGTTGATTAAAATACTCTATACGTTGACAGAGTTCAGACAAGATTTTGGAAAAAGATCGTGCTTAAATAAAAATTTAACTGCAATTTCACGGGAGTTTTAGGCTGAGGTGTGTCTTTCAGAGTTTCTTCCAGGCATCTCTTCGGGGGGTCGAAGCCCCCCGAAATTTTTTTACCGCCCCCCCCCCCCCCCCCCCCCCCGAACGAAATGAAATTTATATAATTTATATAGAAAATATATACTTTTAACAGTGTCCCCCCCCCCCCCCGAAAATTTCAAGTGCCCCCCCCCCCCCCCGGAGAAATAAGTTTGGAAGAAACATTGGTGTCTTTAGTGTGTGTGTGTGGGGGGGGGGGGTCTGGCTTTTTGTGACGGAGGGTAAGGGGGGGGGGAAGTTAAAATCGTAAAAAAAGCTAAATTTTTTTTGTGTTACATTTTTTTTTTCGCTTTCTTAAGTTTAATCTCAAACGAATATTCTGTCAGCTTTATGCACATCATACATTATGATCATGACAGCTAATCATCTTTGTTTAATGTTTATAGATTCTACCCTTCCTTTAAGTTTAAACCTAAGCGTAACCACTTGTTACTCTAAATTAAATTATAAATGATGTGTGAGTTTAATCGTCTATTTTCAGACTCGTTTAACTAGATTTGGTTTGGCAACTGATAACATTAAGTTGATCTGGCAAATATGGTTCGATGTATGCTTGCTACTTGCTAACATACCAAAATAAAACTTTCTAACCAAAGAATTGTGTTATCTCCAATTTATTTTGTTTAGCCTGGCCTAGCGGCTTTGCTATTAAGATATTTTACAGTCCGGCCTAGTGTCGGTACTGCAGTAGATCTACATTTCTACATCTTACTTTTTATTTAGCCTCCTGTTTTCAAGTGAAGTAAACTACTTTATTTTTGGAGACCTAGCCTTAGTAAATAGTAAATAGTTAGTAGTAGTAGTAGCCTAGCCTAGCCCTAGGGCTAGGACCTACATTCTAGAGATCTAAGATTCTAGATGATATGATATAGAATCTAGATCTAGATTAGGTATAGGACCTAGGTCCTAGTACTAGTAGAGTCTAGATCTGTTCTAGTAGAAGACTAGAAGAGAAGAGTCTACGACTCTACTAGCTCTAGTTCTAGGCTAGGACTAGATCTAGGTCCTAGATCTAGGTCCTATATCTAAATCTATTCTCTAGGGCAGGGCACACTAGGCCCTCCTAGCCCTAGCTAGTTAGCTACACTAGCTAGTGGCAGTAGTGGCTAGTCTGAGATCTAGTCTAGTTGGTAGTGTAGTCTGTAGTAGAAGAAGTTACCCAGTAGGGCACTAGCTACTAAATCTAGCTAGTAGCTAGGAAAAACTATTTAACTTTTTAAACTTAATGTTTTGGAAGGTTCAATCAATTAGGATTAATTATCAATATTTATTATATTTTTTTTATAGGCCTAGGCCTAAGTTATTTAATATTTAAGCCAATAAGGCAATAATTAGTTATAGGGTAAATTACTACCTAATTAGCCTAGTTAATTAATTAGGCCTAATAAAAATCTACGCTTAGGCTATAAACTAGTATAAACTATAAATTGAGATGTTCTTGTTTACAGTGATGACTCTAACACTAACTGCAATCACTTTTTTTTAAAAATCTGCCATCACCTGACCTGCGAATAGAGCTTATTTTATTCATTTAGACTATTTAGAGACTATTAAATGAATAAAATATAGATCTACCTTATATATTATGCATGTAGGGCTATGGAACCGCTTAGCCCACCTGTAAGACAGCCAGTTATTTATTTTCTCAAATTACTCGCTAAATCCATATTATCCCAAACCTAACTGAATTAAAGACTAAAGCCATTATTTATCATTTTTTTCAGTGTGACTATGGAGAAAGTTTGCAAGTCAAGTCCAGTGATCTTTTAAACCATGGGTGTTGGATCCAAAGCATTAATCGCCTCTGGTATTGTTTTGGTTGGCTCAGGATTAGCTTACCTGGCATATCAGCAATACAACATGCTCAAGAGAGAGTCTGAGCTTGAAGACAGAATCGAACGTTTGAGCAGGGAGATCTCTCGGCTTGAGAATGAATTGAAAAGGGTCAAGTCTTCGGTTGTGCTTTCATCTTCGACTGAGGACAATGAGGATGTGTATGTTGACGCTTCAGAGGTGGCGCAGAATCTGGGGTAAACATAGTTACCTGTTTTCAATTGTGCTGGCCATTTTGTAGGTCTTCGTTGAGTTTGGAAAAGTGTTGAGCTCTGACAAGTTAGTAATATTTGACTGATTTTTTTTATTGCCCCTTTTTTTTTAAATAGTGAAGTGGGTTTTTTTTTTTTTTTTATAATTAGTGATTTCAATCCTTAACCATTAGGTGTTCCCTTTTTGTTTCTTATTTGTTTTACTGGATAAAATACAATTAATTATGTCATATTTAATATTATTTATGACAGTTTCAAGCTGTGACTAGGTTCTCAGACATAGGATCTTGCCTATTTTGAATTGAAGATTTTTTTCTCATGATTCTGAAAAAAATTCTAAATTGCTAAATTACAACCAAATGTCACACTATATTAAATTGTTAAAAGTTTTATTGTTTAAATTAAAATGATAGATACTTTATCATATTGCACAGTAGAACTGTATAATTAAGAAACAGATAAGTGTGATTGCTGACTTGAAATTCTTGAGTTGTTGTTCCTACTTCTAAACTATCTATAGATCTACTGTACCTTAATAAGTCTTTGATTTAAATAGGCAAAAGTGGTTAGCCATTGTTGTACTGGTCTTTTAAACACACACACACATACACACACACACAGATGGACTGTTTCATCCTCCCTTTCAAATTTTTTTTAATTGAATTAAATTCATATCCCCTGCAGATTTTAAAAATTACTTACCATAATCTCTTTGTTTATTTACTCTACCCTTTGTTTTGTTTTGCATGGGGAACCTTTTGTGTGTTAATATTATAAACTTCAAGATTGATATTTTTACCTTCACAATCATCATCAACCTACTTTTTAAACGCTTTCAGATTATTTAAAAAGTTCATCCCTATCATTCTTGTTTTTTTATTTCTTATAAAAGACTGTTGCATAAACTCTATTTAAATTCAAAAACACCTTTTTAAAATGTCACTAATGGTTCTAATAAATGGCAGATGCGAGAGATACCATAATGACTGTTGTAGTGGTTACCAATCAAAAACTGAATTATTAGCTGAAAAAATTAGAACAATAGACTGCAAGATGGAGGCTGGAGGATTGGATAATTTGACGGAGGCGTACAATGAATTGTGTGAGATGACATGTAAGGTAGAGTCTTTTTTTTTCCCATTATTTTCTGGGCTTTTTTTTTTTTAAAGGTGTATTTGTTTTTAACATTAGAAATTTTTGTCAGCCTTGAAATGTTGTTTTGTTCTAATTTTTCAAAGTGAAAATTAGGTTGAAAAAAGTATTATTTCTAATGAGTAGGCATATAGCAACCTGCATATATTTACCCCAACCTTGTTGAAATTTTAAAGAAATAATTTTCGAATTATTCAGAGCTAATGTGTTAAAATTTAAAAAAATAAAAACAACAATTTTCTGAAGGCCCCCAAATAATTCTGAGCTAATATGTTACAATTTGACGAAATCAATTTTTGAGCACCAGAAATAATTCTGACTGAGCTAGTATGTTAAAAAAATTTCAAATAATTTTCTGAAGGACCCAAATAATGCTGAACTAATGTGGCGGTTTGCAAGAGCAGGATTTCTGTTGATAACGGAGGAGATGCTCGCAGACAAGGCCAACTGTGATAAATCCAACAGCAGCTACAGGGATGTGATGAAGAGATCTCATGAGGCAGCAGCCAGGGCTATAGAACTTAATCCTAAATCTGGGGACAGCCATAAGTGGTATGTTAGCATAAATATACACACGTATATATATATTAATATGTATATATATATATATGTATATATATATTAATATGTATATATATATTAATATGTATATATATATATTAATATGTATATATATTGATATGTATATATATTAATCTGTATATATATATTAATATGTATATATATATTAATATGTATATATATTAATATGTATATATATGTATGTATTGGTATATGTATGTATATATATATATATGTATATATATGTATATATGTTACCGGTAATATATAAAAACCAGCATTCTATAGAATACCAAGGCAATGTATAGAATGCCTGAAATAGGCAGGCAAAATATGAAATACATCAATATTTCACACATTTCCTAGTCATTCTATAAAATACCCAATAACAAACAGGCAAAGTGTAGAATACAGTCTGGCAAGGCTCAGGAATTTGCAAATAAAGTGGTCAGCGGCCTGAAAGAGTACTGGCCTAATTGGAAGATTGTACGCACATGTACACGCAAACATACACTCAATCATACACTTACTGTTCACTCAGTTGTACTTGCAAATGTACATACACGTATACAAATAACCAAGAATTAAATTTCACTGTGTTTAATCCTCGCTTGAATAAAATAAGCCTCCTGTCACCAAATCTCATTAATCAATTATTATTGTTGAAGTGTCACCTGCATAATTGAATAGAAAAACGAAAACATTCATGTGGAAATATTTCTTATGCTTTTCACATGTGGTATGTTGGCAGTTTTTATATGCTGATCTTGTTTTTTTTTTAATAGATGAGCTTACATTATTAGCTTTTTTTATAAAAATCATTAGTTGTTATTTTAGTTTTTTTTTTTAATTTTTTTTTAATTAGATATAAACTTTTAGCTATATTATAGATTTGCATAAGTCCAGCTATCTACCGCTAGACCACTCCGTCCCACCAAGTAATCAACACCACACAATTTTAGGCAGATCTGCTCACTGTGTTTATACTTTTTTTTCCAGGATGGCCATAATAGTAGGAAGTGTCACCCAGTACTTGCCTGTGCAAGAGCAAATTAAAAATGCCTATGTTATAAAGGTAATTAATTCATTCCATAAATTTTAAGATTAGTTAGATTAATTTTTTTTTCACAATCATATTAGTTTTTTTTAACCTTGTAAACTTGTTTTTCATGTATCCTAAATAGCTTAGCTTATTTTATAATTACTTCCTGAATATAGTTACGTTAAAATTTAATTTATTGTTCCCTTGCTATCTTAATTTTTTTTTTATAAATTCTTTTTTTCATAATGTTTGTCTGATAATTGTAAATAATTTTGTAAAGTTGTCATTAAGTGCAAAGCTTGTAAATGTTTGTCACACAAATTCCTAATTGTTCAGGATTGTATTGAACACAAGCCCAATGATGCCTTACTTTATGTATTTTGTTGTTTAGGATCACATTGATACAGCTATCAAATACAAGCCCAATGATGCCTTACTTTATGTATTTTGTTGTTTAGGATCACATTGATACAGCTATCAAATACAAGCCTGATGATGCCTTACTGTACCACATGCTGGGGAGGTGGTGTTACTCTGTAAGTCCCCTTCTCAAATTACCACCCTGGAGAAACCAGTAAATATATTACACTTTTTTTTATTACACACATGATGTAGATTCGTTTATGTTTATGAGTTGTTTTTTTTTTGTATAAAAAAAAGTTTTATTATGTGAAATGTGATGTTGATAGAGTAAATAGGAAAGTAACTTTAGTTTTGTTGAAGGTCTACATGTTAACATGGGTTGAACGTAAGGTGGCGTCCACGCTGTTTGCCACACCACCCACCGCCAAGATAGAGGAGGCTCTCCAATATTTCTTGAAGGTAGGGAAACATTTCATTTTTTATTATTGCTTTAAGTGACTTGAATTGTTTTTAAAATGGTTGCTAGTCTTGTCTATTTCTACATCTGGTCACTGATGATGATTCCGCTGATCATAGTGACCTTGTCATCTTCTCAGATCTATCTGGCTATCTGTCACTGGCAGTCCGCTAAATTTTGTACCCAGTTTTCTTTCTGGTCAACTACATTTTGTCAAGTGGTCATCAATCAACAACTCAATCGCCTTCACCAATACTCTATCAAATTATTATGTCGAGTTTGGTGTGGTCGTATTGAAAAAACTCTTGGTTGCCACACAAAAAATTTCGAGTTTGAACAAATGGGTAGATGAGGCTCAATCGCTGGGGACAGCTACTCTTCTAGGAGAGACAACTCCAAAATCAAACAACTGCTGCCTTGTAGTTTGTTCTTGGTTGGACAAAGACTATGGAACCAAATCCAGAAAAAAAGCAGACTGAAACCGGAGTCGACGGCCTGTATGGCGCATAACCAGTTGACACGGAATACTTAATTGTAATGGAAGGAACCCCTTCCAACATTAAATATTAAAACAAAGAAGCAGAAGAAATTATTATCTTTTGTCCTATAACTAATTATGTTTTATCTATTCTAACTTATTCTCTTAATATAAGTTTGCACCTTGACAACTTTTGTAATATATGAGTGTCAATCGTAGTTTATATTTTATTATGTGCTTATACGTTATGGCAGGCCACCTTGGCTAACTCGTACGTATTTCAATCCCGCAGGCTGAGGAACTCTCCCCACTCGGTTCACTTGACAATGCACTTTATTTAGCAAAGGTAATCAATGATCTTCCTATTTAAGTATTAATTTATTATGTGAAACTTTTAAAACTAAAATTTTTTTGTTTTCAAATATGAAAAATTTATATTTACATGTATGAATATAAAAACAACCTAACATTTAAAACTTTATAAATCAAGATGTTTTTAATATATGTTCTGAATATTATTTTTTAAATTTAGTTATTTTAGACTCATTTACAGAAAAAATTTTAAAATCAGAATTCATTTTTATCTTTAATGTGATGAGAATTTTATTTTATTTTTAGACTTACATAGCAATGAAAAATAACGAGAAAGCTGCGGAATGGCTGAGGATTGGCTCAAAACTGCCTTGTTCACCATCCGATGTAAGATTATCTAAGTACACGGTACGGTATTAAAACAATGCGCCTGTTGGTGCTCCTTTTGGGTAGGCGTTGGTTGTTTGCAGTTTACAGGGCACCACTCTATTTGGTTTGTATTGAAGGTTGCCAGTTTTTTGGTTTTATCGTGACCAAAATTTATTTTTATTTGGCCACAAAGTTTGGTGTTGGTTTTATAAGCCTCTACCACCTGTCAGCATCCCTTTTTGTTCCCAATGTGCAGTACAATGGCTGAACAGTACATGAATCCCTTACTATGGCCTTTGATCAAAAAATAATATCCACATTTAATTTATATATTTATTTATTTTTTTAAATTTAGTTAAAAAATCAGCCATTTGTATTTTTAGGTTTCCAACAAAGGTTGTTTTAAAAAAGTAAAAAGCTCCCTTTTTAATTTGATGGCCCATGGGCAAGTGAAGTAGAGTTCACCTGTTTCTCTAACCTCAGCGTATGAAAGGATAGTGAGTCAGCACTATGCCCAGCCGCCTTTACTTTCCCTAATGTTAGTTAGGTAGGCTACCCATTAGAGCTTGTAAGACTTGAATTTGAATTCGAGTCTTTCAGGTTAGCAGTCTAGCACTCTACCACTAGACCATGCCAACCCATAAAGTGATTTTAAACTTTGATGAATTTTTTTAAAATTCAAATTTAATTGTTGTATTAAATATTTCTCTTATGTTTGTTGTTCAATTGCAATCAGTCAGTCCTAAAAAAACAAGTATAAAATGTAATTATATTTTTTATGGAGGCTAAGTTTGAAAAACATTTGTTTCAGGAGGTCAAGTCGGCCGATGAAATAAAAATTCTGTTACCACAGTATGAGATGTACGCCAACACATAACAGCACCATTTTAACTAGTACCATCTTTCTAGACTAGAGAAATTAATTTATCCAGAACCACTATTTGTTTTTTTTTTAACCTAAAATATTATTTTGACTCTCAAATTTTATTTTTATTATATTTGTGCCATGTTTTAAAAATTTTATCACCAAAATTACTCATTTATCCAAGTTTTTAAATATTATCTACTACTTTATCTAACATTTTAATTTTTATAACAAGCATTGAGTTCTATCGCTAACATGCTATGCATGTTTAAATTTGTTTTTTAATCGTATCAGTGTATTGGTAGGAGGATTGTGAGTTTGATACTATATGTACATTACAGAAGACAGTTGACATTTTATGGTTGTGTTCTTTAAGTAGATTCAGGTTTTGAAAAAATGTGATAGTCTTGCAAGTGATTCATCATCTGTTGTATTCATTAAGTGCTTTTATATTCAATGATGAGACAACTCTTATTGTGTGAAACTGAAGTTAAGTCCCCTGTATTCATGCATTGTTCAGTATTTTCTTTCAAAATGCAACTTACTATTCAAACTGAATACTCATTTTTTTTTAATTAATAAATGAAATCAATGTCTATCATGAAGATCTGAAACGTATAGTGTGTCCATATTGTATTAATACTTTATGTTTAATCAACATCTTTTAATCATGTATTAGTTTTCATAAACATATCTACTCAGTGTGAAGCTTCTTCACAATCTTTGAAGTTATTTTTTTATACAACATGATCAGGACCAATGTCTGATAACCAGCTAATCATAAACAAGTTGTTCAGTCAATAGTTCCCAGCCAACAAATTATATACACCTGGCCTTTTCCAAGTATTTGTCACACACTTTAAATAAACCAATCACTATGGTTATCATCACTTCATACGTGAAAGTTTTAAACAACAGTTGCATTCCAGTACTCAAATTTTTTTTTGTACACCAAATAACCAAGGTTTCTTTTCATTTCTTTGTGAGTCAATCTTTTTAAATATTTTGAGAAGAAATCTTCTGTCTATTGAATTTTTTATTGTCTTTGTGATAATATCATCTGCTGTGATTTTTTTTAGTTAAGAGAAAGAAATTTTTGTTTTAGCAAAGAAATAGATTTTTTTGTAGTTTCAAATGTGCCATGGACCTGGATAAGATGACTTATATAGGGCATTCTTTTTCCTTAGTATTTTCTGATGATGCAAAATATTGGAGTTTTGCAACAGAATTAAAACAGACTTTTATTACAAATACTGTAATATTCTCGCTGCTTGGATATATGCAGTTTGTCAAACTCAAGATCTATTATATATCAAGAGTCTTGAAAAAATGGGATTTTTTATTTTTGTTTATACTGTAAATGTAAAAAAAGTGTTATAAAATAACTTAAAATACAAATGCAACTGGTGAGCACTTTTGACTTTTTAACAGTATTAAGCAAAAATAAAAAACAGGTAAATAAAATTTTTTATACTAATAAAACTTGCTTTTTTTGTACAATAGAATTTTCTCTTGAAATAGAATGTAAAAAAAAATTATCTAACTTTGCCAATCAAATAACAAAACTGTTTTCAACTCAGAGGTGTAAAAATTTGAGATTTGTCAAAATTTCAATTTTGATGTTTTGTACAATTACATGCAGTCAGTGTAATCTTGATATACGCAATGAAGAACACCATCAATCTATAATAATCATAAATTACTTTATTATTTTTAAAACCTTTCAATTATCATATATTTTATATATACACCAACACTTGCATACAAATAAGACAAAATCTTTTAACTATACATTTTTCTCAGCTCCTGATTGGAGAGGAAATGTCTACACACACATTTCACAATCATTAAAACCATTCCAGTAAGTAACTGACATTATACATAATTAAAAATATATTAAATGGTTGATAAGGATTATAGCTAAAATGTACAGTTTTTTCCATATTCTGAGTTCAAAATATAGTTTTAAAACTATAAACCACTTTATAAACCACTATAAACAATTTTAAACTAAATAATTATCACGGACATTTTACATTCACCCAAGTCATTATTTCATGTTAAGAGTAAACTTGAAAAAAACTGAATGACACTTTTGTTACTTCAGTTGCATCAAAAGGAAAATTTAAAAAAAAAAAGCACTGATTGGTTTTATAACTTAGGAATTTGTACCATAAAATTAGATACTAACTCCAAAAATGTGAGTACGGCGAAATATGAATGAACCGTGATGAACCCTAAAATGAGATTTGATAAGAAAATTATACATCAATTTTACAGAAAAAAAAATCAGACCTATAACTTAGAAACATAAAAAAAAATGCGATTAATTTTGGAGGGAATTTTAAAACATTTTACAGCTATACAATAAGATCCTAGGGTCAAGGCATGGTTGCTTTCATCAGCTGTTGGAGTCTGTCCAGTCTCTCATCAATCTCACTGATCTCGGCAGAGCGGTCAAAATATTCACTATCCTCATCTCCTGCAAAATTGGCATTACAAGGGTCAGTTTTATAGCACAAAACTCCAGAGGTCATAATTTGCAATACAAGTTGTCTTAAATCAAACTCCAGAGGTCATAATTTGTAATAAAAGTTGTTGAATAATTTTTTTAAAATTTGAAAATAAAATTGGTAACTCGAAATTGCCTTACCACTGTCAGGCGGGAGTGTAGGCTTGAGGCGTGTCTTGGTCTTGAGGAATGCCATGTCTGGTGTGCTAGACAGCTTGGCTTTGGTTAAAGACAGTTTACACACATGGGTAGATACAAACTGTAACTTTAACACACGTAGCTACAGTCACGTTTGCATTGTGGCAGGTGATATTTAAAGATTTTGGTTACACAGGTATAACTTCTTTCTTCTTTGTTCTTAATTTTAGTGTTGAAGGGATCCCCTCCAAGACAATTAAGTATACGTGTCAACTGGTTATGCGCCATTGAGGCCATTGACTCCTATTTCAGCCTGCTTTTCTTTTTGGATTTGCTTCCATAGCCTTTGTCCAACCAAGAACAAACTACAAGACAGCAGTTGTTTGATTTTGGAGTTGTCTCTCCTACAAAAGTGGCTGTCCCCAGCTGACGAGCCTCATCTGCCAGAGGCATGTGTAGTTACAGCAGGGGATATTTAAAGACTGGTGGTATGCAGAAATAACATCACAATATCATTTTCTATTGAGGTTACTGGTTCTGTTTAAGTAGAGATACAAGCTTCTCTACTAAGTGATCCAACAAAAAGGTGAATACATTTAATGAAGTGATAATTATGCTATGTGTAGCACAAATTACTATAGAACATTATACACAGAATTATATGGTACACACAACTTCTACATATATATATATATATATATATATATATATATATATATATATATATATATACACACACATGCATATTTGTATATCACTAAGTAAACTACTTTTCTTTCTGCTAAATATTAATTAAAGGATATTGTTTAGCTGTTTTTCCATTTGGGGGCCGCAGTGCTTTGGCTCGTGGTAACTGAAAGATAACAATGTATTTTATAACGTTTCATGAATGTTTTTAATGAGAGATTTATAAGCAAGGTTATCAATATTTCAATTCTTAGAGTTTTCTAAAGAATCTACACAATAACTATTCTATTTATGTGTTTTGGAAAAACTTTAAAATTACTATTCTACATAAATCTTTAAAATTAATATCCTATGTTATGTGTTTAGAAAAGTCTTTACAATTACTATTCTAGGAATGTATTTTGAGAAATCTTAACAATTACTATTTTAAGTATGAATGTTTTGAAAAATCTTTACAATTACTATTCTATGAATGGTTTGAAAAATCTTTACAATTACTACTCTATTTATTACAAACAAGCAAACGTTGGGTCAAACTAACAACCGAAAGTTTTGCTACAAGAAACTTCAAGCCAGAACAAATCTCCACCTACTCCAATAGGGCTGTCTTCCTGTGTCTTCAGTGACCTCGGGCGACCACTACCACCACTTCCTGGTCTACAAGAAACAAAAACTTGTCAACATAACAAATTCATGGCAGGCATTGTAAAAATGTTTTAATTTAGATATACGTTAGTGGTTGCTATTATGAGAAGAGGCATGGAGAAGCCTATAAGAGCTCACCTTGTTTTTGTATAGGATCCATCAGAACCATAGCCGTCACTTGCATTGCTTTGGCTCCCTGTGAAAACACAAGCATTAGTTTAATCAGAATGTAAGGGGGGTCATCCAAATTAAACTTTTCACTAATTTTTTATTCCCCTTTTTATTGCCATTAACAAATTATTTTTTTCTAAATCACAATGTCACTGCAAAAATTTGTTTTTTTTCATTCTTCTTCTTTGTTCTTAATTTTAGTGTTGGAAGGGATCCCCTCCAACACAATTAAGTATGTGTCGATTGGTTATGCGTCATTGTGAGGCCATTGACCCCGATTTCAGCCTGCTTTTCTTTTTGGATTTGCTTCCATAGCCTTTGTCCAACCAAGAAGAAACTACAAGGCAGCAGTTGTTTGATTATGGAGAAGAGTGGCTGTCCCCAGCTAACGAGCCTTATCTGCCCGAGAGTTCGAACTCGAGACTTTTCATTTTAGCAGCCATGAGCTTTACCGACTCGACCACGCCGACCCTTTATATATTTGGTTTCAAATATCATTTTTAAGTGCAAAAGGGTGGTGTAAAAGATTGTCACACATCAACACAAAAGTCTGTACCCCCCCTCCCTTTATGAGTGTGACATTTTTTTAAATGCATAATGCATAAGCTGACATATCAAAATGACACACACTTCTCTATACCTATACACAAAATCATATCCGGGGGAACCGCACATAACCTTCAAATAGACACTCCACATCTTCTACATAGACACCCGACATAACCGGACACCCCCCCCCCCCCACATAGACACCCACAACCTCCAAATGCACTACCCCAACACCATTTCCCACCCCTGGCAAAACTCACATGAAATATCTTTTGACCTATGGCTGTAGCCTGCAGACATAAAATTAAAACAGAACTCAACATGAGATCAAAACATCTCATAAATACCACTAGCACACAAAACAGATAGGACAGATAGCATTCAGTCCTCAATACCAACCTGAAAGTTTGCTGGAATTGTTTGATTGTCTGGACCTGCTGGATAATCCTGAGTTATTTCCCCTTTGCTGCCTTCTCCTAAAAAAAAGTTTTTAAAACTTAAATCTTAATACAGCAAAAGGGTCATTTTTTTTGTTAATTCAACAAATAAGAAATCTAAAATCACAAGGTAAACAAAAATTCCTTTCTATCAGCCAGTTAAGCAAAGAAAATTTGTTTTTCTGGTGACCGAAGAAAATGAACTACAATATTAAAACAACATTAATTTTAAAAATGTTTATTTTATAGCAAAAACAAAATATTCAAGTCAATAAAAAAGTTTACTTTTTAAAATCTGCCTCCTTTTGTTTTCTGGCTTTTTCTTTGACATATTCTGTTGGGTTAAATCTTCGACCTCCTGCAATCATAAACACAGGATAATAGTAACACATGCCACCATATAAGGAAACACTAGAAAGAACTTGGGATTTCAGTAACTGGCTAAATCAGAGCCCCAAGCAGCTGTATCAACAAAGTGTATCAACAACACCATGAGTGTGTCTCACTATCATCAACACCATGAAAGTGTCTCACTCTCACTTCACTATCATCAACACCATGAAGTGTCTCACTAACACTATCATCATCACCATGAGTGTGTCTCAGTATCATCAACACCATGAGCGTGTCTCATTATTGTCAACACCATGAAAGTGTCTCACTCTCACTATCATCATCACCATGAGTGTGTCTCAGTATCATCATCCCAAATGAAAGTGTGTCTCACTATCATCAACACCATGAAAGTGTGTCTCACTATCATCAACACCATGAAAGTGTGTCTCACTATCATCAACACCAAGAAAGTGTGTCTCACTATCATCAACACCAAGAAAGTGTGTCTCACTATCATCAACACCAAGAAAGTGTGTCTCATTATCATCCACACCATATAATTGTAGTATTTGATTCTCACCAATACAATGATGATCTGGTGATTTTAAGAACACTGCAAGGATATTCACTATCTATTATTCTGACTGTAGCCCTAGCTCTAACCTCTACCTTGTAATTAACACTAGCAAGGATGAACAACCTTTCAAACACTACAAACTGAACTGTTTTTAAAAGAGTCAATAAAGTTTGTAAACAAAAATAGAGATACACAAATATATATCAATAATATTTGTTTGTTGATAAATTTGAAGGCACTGTAAATAAAAACAATCATGTTCTTTAGGGCTCCCAAAATTATGTTTAAGAGAAAAAGTTATAAATTTACTCTTTCTACGGCTGCAACCCATGAGTAGTGTCCCCTTTTAGATCTGATTGCCATCAGGGCATAGCAAGTTAAGCTTAACTCTTTTTTTTCCCTTATAATTATCAGAATTAGTGGAGAGACATCCAGGGAATTTCAAGTCTGGACATACTGCTTCAAACTTTCCATCAGACCAAGCAAATGTTGAAGCTGTTAAACTCTGCTGTTTCAGAAAGTCTGCTCTATGTTTAAGATAACAATTTAAAAAAAAAATATAAATGTTAAAATTACCTGCAGGCGAAGGGGTGCGGCTGCGGTTACTCCCAGACCCTATAGAAAAATGGCTCTGATTGGCTGACGTGTTCCGGTCTAAAGAGTTCGACCTTCTCCGCAAGCCGCTGCCGTTTAGCGAGGAGCGGATCAAATGTTCCGTAGAGTTTGACCTGTGGATAGGCGGCCTCTCGCTGGACCCATGTCTCAACCTGTCGCGCGACCCTGACCTTCCGGTGATCCTGTCGTTGGATAAGGAGCGCTGCCGAGATGATGTGATTGTGCGTGAATTGCTGACACGATCACCAGACCCATTTCTCTCCTTAGAACTGGTTCTGGTCAATGTGCGACCCCTGCAATTAGTCAAAGTTAAATAAAATAAATCATAAATAAAACTTAGAAAGCTGCAAAATTTATAAACATAATTTAAACAAAAAATCTTTTTTTTACAATACCAATAAAATAAAAAGATGTAGCCCGAAAAAAAAAGGTCATTGACTTTGGTATTTTTTTTTTTTTTAAATCTAATCATTCATAAGGGGACAATGTGAGGTGTAAAGCAGTAACCATGGCAACTAATGTTTGTAAACACCATACAGCAGCTGCCTCCTTACCGTTTCAACAAGGCAAGTTCATTGGTCAGACTTTTGACACGCACCCTGAGATTTCTTTCTGAGGCACGTAACTCTTCAACCTGATAGATTTAGAAATTAAGAAAACTGTAACTTTTCTATCTGGTAGAGTTAAGAAGAAGGAAAATTAAATCCATGCACTACACCTCATGCATGTTTCATTAACAAATTATAACAACAACATCAGTGTTAACAAAATTTTGCACCTCCTCTAAAAGATCCCTATATTCCTGACTTCGTTTGCTTGTTGTTCGCTGATAGTGTGTTTTCTCCTTCATTAGCTGCTCCTCAAGATTTTTCACCATTGTCTTCAGAGCCCTGATATCTTTCACAGCATTGCTCCCAGTGGCGATTCGCACTTCTCTGCGGAACGCAGCAAATTCTTGTTCCACTTCATTCTTCTCTCTCTCAAGTCTTCGGTAACTTAGGTACGGAATAAACAAATGTTAAACATGTGTTCCATATTTGTTTACTAGCCGTCCCGGCCAGGCCCTGCTCTGGCTTCTGTGAAAAACCTTTCTGTTAAAGACCATTACCTGTGTGTTTAGTAATCATCATAAACCCGGCATTGCCCACCCAAACCACAACCAACCAAAACAACAAAACGCAAACATAACGCTAACACAATTACAAATACAAACGAAAAAAAAAACCTAACAACAAACCCAACCACAACCACAAACACCAATACAAACACAAAGAAAAAAATAACAAAAAAGCAAACGAAAACAAAAACCTAACAACAAACCCAACCACAAACACCAATACCAACAAAACAAAAAAACGAAAAAGCAAACGAAAACAAACCAAATCCAAACGCAAAACCAACCAAAAACACAAATACAAACCCAAACAAAAAAACACAAACAAAAACGAAAAAAGAAAGAACAAAAACGAACCAAATCAAAACGCAACCACTAACGCAAACCCACCTAAACACAAAGAAAACACTAACGCGAACATAAACGCCCGGGGCGGAATCACCTGTTTTAGCTTAATGAACGACTATAGTACCCCAACTTATTCATAGTCTTTTGCACTCACTTAAACGAACGCGCCTGTTTCAATTTGATGAACAATTATAATACTCCAAGCTTATCCATAAAATACCTACAACATTTGCACTTGATCAATCCCCGCTAATTATGTAATTATTTTTTTTTCCCAACACCAAAACAAAGTAATTAAATTTAAAAAGTAAATTCTTTTTCACAAAATGCAATGGTTTTATAAAGGGAAGTAATTGTGTTTTCCTAATTTATCAAAGGGAAGTAAGTGCTATAGGACTAAATAAAGACATAATTAGAATTTTTGTAAAAGATGATATTTTTTTAAAACTTGTGTTTAATGAACATGCCGACAATTATTACTATAATTTGAAAAATGAAAATTATTTCCCAACACTTTCAATAGTAATTTTTTAACTCATAAATTTAGACAAATGCGCACGGTAATTGTCTAACACTTAAATCCATCCAAGACCAACGACAAACATATGCGTTACATACAGAACTGAGCTTTATATATTAGATCAGGGGTCGGCAACCTTTTGAGCCGAAAGAGCCAAAAGTTACAATTTACAACATTACCCGGTTTTTAAAGAGCCACTAATATTTTTATGTCAATAGTATATTTCTTTAGGATTATATATATATATATATATATATATATATATATATATATATATATATATATATATATATATATATATATATATATATATACACATATAATCCTAAACAAATATCATACTATACATATAATTTAAAATAAATAGCTTTGAATATATGAGATACTCTCATTTGAATTTGTGTTGAGTGGATCTACTATGTTAGTCAGAGTACTTGAATTTGTTTTGAATTACTCAAATCTCTAAGCGAAAACACCCTTCATTTTGTTTATATTAATGCTGAAGTGATTGAGTAGTAGCATTGGTTTAATAACGATATTTTTTTTTAGATTTTTTCGTAGTTAAGTAATTTACCGCTCACCATGTATTTAACAAAAAAGTATTTTTTTTTCGAAACAAACCACGTCTTCAAGCAAGACATAGGATGGGTTTTCCTTTCAGTTTTACACTTAGCTGGTTTAGTTTCTTTGTGATATCCTCTATGAAGTTGAATGTTTTAATTCGGAATGGACAATGTAATAGGAAGTACATTGAGATAGGTAGTAACTAAATATTGTAATATAATAGTGAATGTTTATTGTTTATATCTTATATCGTTTATTGCCGAATGTTGCAGACTAATATTTTATGAGTTTTGAAAATAAAATAATTATTAATATTTGTGCATGGAGCTGAAGAGCCGCCACTGGACACCAAAAGAGCTGCATGCGGCTCGCGAGCCGCAGGTTGCCGACCCCTGTATTAGATGTATATATATATATATATATATATATATAATTTCATTTAAAATTCATGTCAATTTTTGTAAACATTAAAAGATAAAAATGCAAGTCACAATATTGAGTAAACTCAATAATAACATAATAAGATCAATGTGTGAATACAACAAAATGCTTCCTAAAGAAATAACAGTATTTAAAACCTGCAAGATACAGAATTGTGTCAATATCTGACTAACAATATTTTGGACTAAGATATTCCATCCTAGTCACTATCTAAACAATAGTTGGGTTCCAAAAATTTAACCTTCGCACTACACAAGTGTTACATTAATAACATTTAAACGACTCTCTACGCAAATATTAGCTTAAAAAATTTATTAAACACTAAGTCTAAGCAAATTTTACTTTAAAAAATTGTAACCACCTCTCAGAGCAAATATTATTGTAAAAAATTGTAACCTACTCTCTAAGCAAATGTTACTGTAATTTGTAACCTACTCTCTAAGCAAATGTTACTGTAAAAATGTGTTACCTACTCTATAAGCAAGTGTTACTGCAAAAAATTGTTACCTACTCTTTAAGCAAGTGTTACTGTAAAAGTTTGTTACCTACTCCCTTAACAAATGTTACTGTAAAAATGTGTTACCTACTCTCTAAGCAAATGTTACTGTAAAAAATGTGTTACCTACTCTTTAAGCAATTTGTCAGCTCTGTTGTCTGAGGGTGGGTGCTGCGACCTGGCGTGCTTCAACTCAGCTCGGAGTTGACGGATCTCTTCTTGTAAGGCCTGAGGGTCAGGTTTCCCAACATAGGGCAGGGGTAGGGGGTAGTGGATCCTGTGGGTACACAACTCACAGTGAAAAAAACATTCTCTTTTAAAGATTGCACTTACAAAAATTGCATCACATGGACCCAGACTATTTTAACTAAAATTTTTAAAAATGTGGCGAAATGGAAATGTTGAGTAATACTTGCATAAACATTAATGTTATTTAAAATCATTTCCTCCGGGAACATGTATACTTATTTGCTTTGAGTTGCTGTTTTTTTAGACATGTATATTATACAATTATTTTACCACAATCACTTGATTGATTAAAAACATTGTGTATAAAACTCAAAAAATTGTGTTAAAAAAGTTTGGCTCTGGGGAAGCGATTTATCAATAAGTAGCTCAATTTTTAAATATGATCTTTACAAGTACTAAACCAAAAGAAGCATGAAATTGTTGTTCCATGATCACTTGATGGATTTAGAACATGGTATATAAAACTTAAAAAATTAAGTTAGAACAGTTGGTTCTTGGGAAGTGATATGTCAATTTTTAAGTATGATCTTTACAAGTACCAAACCAAGAAAAGCATGAAATTGTTGTACCAAGATCACTTGATGGATTTAGAACATGGTGTATAAAACTTTAAAAATTAAGTAAAAACAGCTCGGTTATGGGGAAGCATAATATGAATAGGATTCTCAATTTTTAAGTATGTTCTTTACATTACACCAAGTACCAAAGCAAGAAAAAATATTTCACCCAACCTGTCAAATTCTACCGTGTAGGTCAGTATGAGGTAACGCTTGGATATCAAATGATTGGAGCGAGAGGACGGTAAACTGGACTTGTCTGATGTGAAGTGGCCACTCTTCTTCTGCCGCAGGGCTTCTAGATCACTGTAGGTCAGCAGGTCAAGGGAGACACTCTCACTAGACTGGGGAGTGAGTAAAGTAAATTATGACCAGAGGTCCGAAGAACATTTCTGAGACAGTAAAGTGGACTATGGTTTTATTGTAAATTTGATAACATACAAAAAGTAACAGCTTTTTTATATATATTCCATGGCTGCTTTGTGGTTTATCGCAAATTATTGAAAAATATTGGGATTTGTGTATGATTATTCTCTGCAGTTCAGAAATTCAATAGGTATGAAAAGCTGGTCCCAAATGGTTCCAAATTTTAATTGCGAGGAAGCATATTTTTCAAACCAAATTTGAATATTGGTGTAATAAGTACAAAATCACTTCCGGTTTTATCAAGGTTAGAAATAGTCAAACAAATACATGCTAGTAATTTAATAGTAATTTAGCAAACACTTTTACTTTTAATTTGGATTAGTAGAGTTATAGTATTATAACTGGTAATACAACGCTGTACACCATAGATCACTATTGTGTATTTTTATCATGGAAAACAATTGTTCTGACTTTTATTATTTCACTTTTACTCTCTCTGGCCATTCTGGTTGACTTCAAGGAGAGGCTCTGAGGGCAGTTTTTGAAAATACTTGAATTGATAAAATAATTCTAACTGGCTTTTCAGCTGCTTATATTCGATACAAAAATATAAAAATGAGTGTTATCTTTAGTTTTTATAAATATAACTATAATTTTATCACCTGCCATACTTTTTAAAAGATTTTATTTTTAAATTTAGTATGATTACATACACTTTTCAAGACAATTGACAATTCAGTATGAAAGTATGAAAAATGTTTGCCCAGGCAAGGGCAACAGCACTAGTAACTCCCTATAACCATGTTTACAGATCACATGAGTGGAGGGAGAAAAAGTCTTTTGCCAAAGATACAGTCACATCTGATCAAGTGGATCCTTTAGAGGAGCAATTCTTCTCTTCCTGACATTCATCTGATTTTTATAAGTATTGCATAAGAATTGAATCATTCTAGAAGATAATGTATAACTACTAAAATAAGTAAGGGAAGGTGTGGCTGGATGGTAGCACTGGTGACTGCTAACTGAAAGTCTTGAGTTTGGGTCCCTGGCTAAAGTCATAGCAGGTCCCTAATTCTTACAAACTCTTATGAGTACCTGACGTTAGTTAGGGAAAATAAAAACTCACCATCTCCTCATATACCGAGGTCACAAAAACAGGTGAACTTAACTTCATCTGCCCCATTAATCACCAAGTTTCAAAAGGGTAACTTTTACTTTTTTTTTACTATAATAACTACAGCGTCTATACATCATTGAGAACCACTTATAAAAGGTGAGTCTTGAATTGGACAACCACTTTTAAGAAGAGATGAATTAGTTTGTTTTAGTTGATAGGCTAAGTGGTACTTAGGCATGTGAGTATACAACAACATGGCACCCTCAGCTGAGTAATGATAAGCACGTTAAGGGAAAGATCCCTTGATCTCTTATTACACAAAATGTTGAAAAATGATATCACAAATTTATCTTTTAAACAAGTTTTAAACTGCAGAGAACAATGTAACCATAACAGGTTAAACTCTTCTTCACATACCTATGGAGACCAAAATGTTTTAAGAACAAATCTTTAGTTGGTGCAAAACAGACAGAAATATAAATGAAGCGATTAAATGTAGTCTGTATGCATACAAAAGAATGAGGTTATATAAAATGATAAGATACCTTAGTGATGGCAGACTCCAACATGTGAACAAAAATTGTGAACTGCTTGAAGTTTCCTGTTTTATGGGTCAGGTCTTCAACATCTGCCAAAAACATATTGGTCATAAGAAAATATTGATCAACAATTTATTATTTATAAGAAAATATCAATAAATAACATATTATTCATAAAAAATATTTCTAATAATTTAAATATATCATTCTAGTCCACCATCCCCCACCCCCATTCAGACTTTTCAACCATGGCGAAAAAGATGAATTGATTTTTACCATTATAAAGAATTGAAATAATGTTTTAAAAAAAAATGTAACTGATATTTACAATCATTTTCACAAATTTTAGTTTTAAACACATTTTCACTTTAAATATCAACAAAAACTAACTAGTTACACAAAAAGTTCTTTAACAAAATGATTTTAAAATGTCTATAGATAACTTATGTTATAGACTTGATAGAAAAGACTTTTGGTTAGTTACTGTGCACTTAGCTGTATCACCATCATGTTATTAAGTTGACCCTTCTTAGATTGTCTAAGTATTACTACAATGGCCCATTAAGACCAACATCCAAAATGACCACCAACTTGAATATTAGAAATCTACATTCACAATCATCATCCCATACAAATATCTACGTACACTGAGATTCAAACGATGACCTCCACTGGTCACTTGTTGACCTGTCTTCCACCTGAACTGTCATGCTGTCGTTGTCCTTGCACTCAAGGCTAATAATGTAGTCACTACCTCGGATAGTGTAGGGACAAGTGATGGCAATATCAGGCATCTCCTCCATTGTGTGGGAGTTACTTTGTTTTGTTTACTTGTTTATTCTTTGGTCGCCAGAGTGGCAGTCATTTTAAGTTTGAACTTCAATGAAAGTTGAAAACCACTTTTGTTGAAACAGTCCCTATAAGAAAAGATTTTTACTGATAAGCCAAACCCACAAAATGTATAGGCCCCTAGTTAAAATAATTAATTAATAATGATAGGCCTACTTTAAATTTAAATCAAACCCAGATTCTAATTATTCTTAGGATAATGACTATTATTTATTTGAATATTAACTGAATTGAATATAGGCCTATTATTAAATAATTATAGACTGCAGTTCTGACTCAAGTACTTTTGGAATAGAAGACAAATGCCATTGTTCAAATGGGCCAGGCTAAATTAATAAAATGAATAGGCTTAGCTCTCCAGTTGACGTTTTTTTTATGCATTGGTCAGAATTTCATGCACATTCAGCATTGAATCAGTTGATGAATGAATATGTTCAAATCAAAGAACTAGATCTAGATCTAGCAGTAGCAGCTAAGTAGTTGAGTAGAAGCAATCTCCAACAATCTGTCTTGTAAACCTAGGCGGCTAGGCCTATAGAACTTATTTTCTAATAGATCTAGCATGAAGGCTACAAAACTACAAAGTAAACAAATAACACAACTAATAACAGTTTAAAAATAGTGATAGATTAGATTGAATTAATGAATGAGAGTGAGATTGAATGATTGGGCTGCTGAGAAAAGACAAGTTGAGCAAGTCAGAACTTGAACACTTGACTGAACTTTTAAAATTCAATATGATTTCTTTGAAACATAACAGCATACTCAAAAAATACCTTACTAAGCAGGAATGATTGGATTCTAAAGAAAAAATGTATCATAAAAAGAATATTTTGAAAATACAAGTTTCAATTTGTCGTAAAAGTTGTTTCATTTGTTCGAATGAGCCGCTACCAAATCTATTGTTTACACTATTCAAAGACTAACTCTTGTGCATTTCCGGTTTTCTCACTCCAGATTAATTTATTTCTTTTAGTAAAAGATTTAGATCTAAATAAAGAACACCTCTCGCATTATTAATTTATTGTTATTAAATAATGTAGCTTTTGACCAAGATCTATTAGTATTGTAAATGGCTGTATTGAATTTGCTGAGAATATATTCGTCATAAGTGGTCACAAAAAGTCAAACCAGAAAATATCACAAACTTCCACGTCCTTTTAGTGCTGAAAGACCCCCTTCCCTCTTTTTTTCTTCTCGGAAATGATGACGGATGGCGTCGCCTGCGATTTTAAACCTGAATATAGGCTAATAAACTAAATTAAATTAAATATAAATTAAAAATATCTAGTGGATACGTGACTCGCTTTAGTAAAGACGGCTGAGCATAGTGCTGACAACACCACCCCTTTATATGCCGATGTCAAGAAAAATTTGAAATATGTGGAAGTTTACTTAAATACATGGTTAATGTAGAAATCTGGTAATTGTCCGTGGTAAAGATGCCTGTGAAGAAGCCCATATACATAACGACCTGCACATTGTTTTTTTTTGTTTTTTGTATATTTTGTTAGGTGGAGAGACATACCAAGTCCATAATCGTGTTTCTTTCAGACATTTTTTCTACGAGGAAGATGGGGCACTTGAAACTTTCGGGAAGGACGGGGACTTTAATTTCCGGGGGACGGAAACTGGTTGAAGTAGACAATATATTCCACCTGAACTGTCAAATTAATTCATATTTCGTTTGGGAGTGCGTGGGGAGGGGGTAGTCGTGCCTGGGGGTAAGGGGGGGGGGAAGTAAACATGATTGGAAAGGGGGTAGACGTGCTTAATGGAGGGGCGAAGAGATGCACGAAACAAGTTCTGGTATGATGTGAGAAGCTCTGTGTTCTGTTGTGAAACGGATATGTTCAGAATAATTTACGTTCTTAATCCCAACGATTTGAAACAGCAGCGGAGTAGATTTAAGTAGAGGGTGGATTTAAAGCCATCCTGTCTGACCTGGTCGGACGGTAGCGTACACGACTGCTTACCCGAAGGTCTGGAGTTTGGATCCTTTAGGACGTCCCAGAGTGCACATACTTCTGTTGGCCAGCGTACTCACATGTAGGAAAATAAACACGGCTGGTCGGGAATAGAACTGAACACAATGTCTCCTCATAGTCCCAGGTCACGCATACAGAAGAACACGACTTCATCAACACTATAGACTCAGAGTTTCTTCTAGGCATCTCTTCGGGGGGGGGGGGATGTGAGCCCCCCCCGAAACAAAAATCTACCGCCCCCAAACGAAATGGAATGTATACATATACTTTTACCAGTGTCTCACCCCCCCCCCCCCCCCCCGAAGAAAAATGTCTGGAAGAAACACTGGTCAGACTGGAAAAGGTAAGTTGACTTTTTAAACTCTCGAACATAAGATGACTACGCCTTTTGCTAACGATAACCTAACCATTAGCTAATCAAAATGAACTTAACGCGTCTGGCTAACCATGTTCCCTTTAATGGAAAAAGCTGGTATGCAACGTGTATTTTGTGTGCGTGGTGTTCTAAAAGTCGTATTCAGGGATAGATTTATATGTATTTTACAAAAATCACCACGCGGCAGATAAAAATTACCGCACGACCGCGCAACCGCGCAGCTCAGAGGGAACATAGCGGTTAACTATAACCTAACCATTAGCCGGTCAAACTGAACTTGACCTACCGCGATGTTTCAAGAAAGTACATAGCCAGACAAGTAAAGCAAATTAGTTTTTTTTCTACTCAATAATGTGACTCAGGGGTTGAGAATGAAAGCAGATCAATATACTAACACGTCTGTGAACATATATCCTACATATATACACTCATTTTATCACCCCCAATATATATATATATATATATATATATATATATATATATATATATATATATATATATATATATATATATATATATATATATATAATTGCATATGTAGCCTATATGTAGGCCTATCTATACACACATGGGCTTTACATATTATTTTAAGAACGTGTGCATGTTTTTATGCCATTCAAAATTTGGAAATGCTACACCAAAAGCGACCCAGGTTCACTGTTGCTGATGGTTGTAATTTATCGTAAAAACAATTTTTCAATTTTGGGGATCCTTTTGAGTGTAACATCCCCAGAGGCGTAGCAACCCTTCCCGGGGACAAACTTTCAATTTGCGCCCCCCCCACCCCCGGACAAACTTTCAATTTGGCGCCCGATTATGCACATTTTGTTTTGGCGTTCGCTTGGTGCGCAATTCTTTTTTTCTATGAGATTCTATTCTATTTTTAAAAAGTTTAAGTAATTAAAAATCATGTCTATATTCCAAGTTATATAAGAATATTCGAGAAAGTTTAGGGGAGATCACTCCTGGTTTATTTATATATATAATACAAAACTGCAGCTAAAATGAATCTTTAATTTTTTTTCCAACCCGTTTTGGCGCCCTTTAGGGTCGGCGCCCGAGGACATATGTACCCCAGCCCCCTCCCTCGCTACGCCTCTGAATACCCCCCCCCCCATCCTCTCAAACTCCCATGTCTAAGATCCTGCGCCCTAAACAAGCCTCCTTCAACATGAATTAAACCATATCGATCTCACTAATACTCATACCCTCCAACAACTTAACTGGTACAAATTACATTGAGCGGTCAGTGACCTACTGAACACCATGTCTGAGGCTGAAACACCAGCTGGTGTAAAGCCAACACCATTGTCACAGCAGACGTAATGACGATGATGCGTCTGCTGGTGTTTTTTTACCTGACATTACGCGGTGTCTCCTCAGGTAAAGTCATGAGTCAGTGCTTGGTTCAATTCGGGGGTCAGTGATAACTATTAGCCATAAGTAATGATAAGTATCAGTTATAAGTTTTTGGTAAGTACTAATCATTGTCGTTTTTAAGGCTCATGTTTTATATTAAAACTTACTAGGCCTGATAGAAAATGTGTTCGCCTTTATTGTTTAGGGTGTGGGTTCGGTCATGATTAGGATATATATATATATATATATATATATATATATATATATATATATATATATATATATATATATATATATATATATATACTTACTTAATTCTCATCACTCCCTGTGGAGTATAGGGCAACAACAAATCTCCGCCATTCCACTCTGTCTCTCTGTCTAGGTCTTGCCAGTAGCCTGTACTTCTTCTTCCATCTCTCTCCTTCATATTCCCAGTGGTCTTCCTCTCTTTCGCTTTCCAGACGGAGTCCACTTCAGCGCCATGCTGGGCAGTCTTCTTTTGCTCATATATATATATATATATATATATATATATATATATATATATATATATATATATATATATATATATATATATATATATATATATATATATATATATATATATATATATATATATATATATATATATATATACATACATATATATATACATATATATATACATATATATATACATATATATATACATATATATATATATATATACATATATATATATACATATATATACACACACACACACACACACACATATATATATATATATATATATATATATATATATATATATATATATATATATATATATATATATATATATATATATATATATATGCATATACACATATATAACAATTCCTGGCTATGCCAATGACTGTAGTGAGATACCAGCAAAAATAACTTAAAACCGTATCCGCAATCACAACATAGTCAAAAATTCCAAAATGACCGATCACCAGGTAGAGATTCTTCAAAGTTGTATATTTTCAGTCAAACACACTGGATCACTTGCATTCTGCCCAGCTGGATTTTCCCCCATAGGCGATCATTGCTTTAAGTTTGCAGGTTACGCCAGCCATCGCAATGCAATTGTGAGTTGCCTCTGTGTGGTGTGTGATTACTTTGTGAGTTTGGTGTGTATTATTTAACCACCATTTTCAGTGAGCTATGAGTGATGTTTGTAAATGTAATCGTTTAGCGAGTTATGTATTTGTTACTAAAGGCTGTTATTCGGAGGAATTAGTAGGCCTATAGCTTATATTTTAAATGTTGTTTTTTAAATGTCACAATTCCATGAATTAGGTATGTATTTTTTAAAATGTCATCATTCCATGAATTGTGTATGTTGTGTGTGTTCTTTTAAAATGTCACTAGTCCATGAATTATGTATGTATTTTTTAAAATGTCATATTTCCGTGAATTATGTATGTGTTTTTAAAAAATTCACCATTCTGTGAAATCTGTAAAAATGTTATACCACTTTTGACTGACCTTTAGACTAACTATAAGACTGACCATAAGACTGACCATAAGGCTGACCATAAGACTGACCATAAGACTGACCATAAGACTGACTATAAGACTGACCATAAGACTGACCATAAGATTGACCATAAGACTGACCATAAGACTGACCATAAGACTGACCATAAGACTGGACTCCCAATGACACACGACTGGACCACATGACTGGACCACCTGACCACATGACCGGACCACATGACTGACCATATGAATGGACTCCACATGACTCATAAATGGAACCCTTGACTGGACCACATGACTGGACAACACGACTGACCACATGAGCGGACCTTATGACTGACAATCATCGCCGCCCCAAACACAGTTTTTCCCTATATCTGACCCGTCAGAAAATGTGTCAAGTTAGCAACAGCGTTCTGTTTGAGATCCCCTTTTGGAAAGAACAGAAGGAGATGGAACAATTTCTTAGAGGTAAGACATCTTTTGCCGACATCTTTTGCCGACATCTTTTGCCGACTTCTGGTGCAGGACATTTGTCCTGGTCCTACCTGGCCGCTTGCCTACCGTGACGACCACCAGAGCTACACCAGCGGGCCGGGGGTGGTATGGCAGTATCAAAATGGCCCACTTCCGACTTACATTTTCAGTCTTTTTTTTTTCCATTCAAGACTGAAGACCTATGGCGAACTCACTGTTTACTTTATAAATTCTAATATAAACAAATTGAAAAAAAAGAAAACCACTGAAAAAACACCAAATTGGAGGGGTGAATTAAATAAACACATTAAAAAAAAAACGCCCACCCTGAGGCCCATTGATATTTCTCTGTATTCGCCTGCCTAGTGAGTGTTTCTTTCAGACGTTTTTATAAAATATTTGGAAGGGGTAGAGGGCACTTAAACTTCCGGACATTGATTAAAGTAGATATTTTGTAAAGAAATAATATATATTTCTAATTAGTCCGGGGAGGGGGTGGACGTGATTTGTGGGAAAGGGGGGGGGCGAGGGGGGGGGGGGCAATGCTAGCAACCTGGTTCTCTATAGCTGAACAGAAGGCCAACTTCATCACCTAGATTTTAAAACAACCAACAGAAACCGATTATATGAACATTTTGAATATTAAAACTATGGAGAAGGGGACAGTTGTACGGAAGGGGACAGTTGTACGGAAGGGGACAGTTGTACGGAAGGGTACAGTTGTACGGAAGGGGACAGTTGTACGGAAGGGGACAGTTGTACGGAAGGGGACAGTTGTACGGGAGGGTACAGTTGTACGGAAGGGTACAGTTGTACGGAAGGGGACAGTTGTACGGAAGGGGACAGTTGTACGGAAGGGGACAGTTGTACGGAAGGGGACAGTTGTACGGAAGGGGACAGACAATTGTACAGAACAGAGTTTCTTTTAGGCATCTCTTCCACTCCCCCCTCCCCCGAAAATATCAAGTGCCCCCCGGAGAAAAAAGTCTGAAAGAAACACTGGTATGGAAGGGGGCAGTTGTACGGAAGGGGACAGTTGTACGGAAGGGGACAGTTGTAAGGAAGGGGACAGTTGTACGGAAGGGGACAATTTGTAAGGAAGGGGACAATTGTACGGAAGGGTCAGTTGTACGAAAGGGGACAATTTTCCGGAAAGGGACAATTGTAAGGAAGGGGACAGTTGTACGGAAGGGGACAGTTGTACGGAAGGGGACAATTTTCCGGAAAGGGACAATTGTAAGGAAGGGGACAGTTGTACGGAAATGGACAGTTGTACAGCCTGGTGTGTCTTGAAACAAAGAGGGGTAAAAGATGATGATGATGAAATATTTTAATTATAAAAAAAAAAGTTTGTGATTTAGATTTGTCCGAAAGTGTTATTTAATTCGTTGCATTAAATAATAAGGAAATGAATGGCCTAGTGGTAGAAAGTGATGAGTTCGAATCCGGGTTTAAGTCAGTGGAGCGTTACTGAGTCCACCCAGCTCTGATGGGTACCTAACGCACATAAGGGAAAGTTAAGGCGGCTGAGCATATTATTCCACACTATTCCTCCATAAGCCTAGGTGCAGAATCACATAAACTCTACCTTATGTGACCTATGCATCTGTAGGTGTAAAGAGGAATCCTTACTTTATTTCTTTATCAATAAGAAGTAAGTAAACAACAGCTTTTGTTTATGTATTCATTCGTGGTTTGTTTTTTTTTCTAAAATATTTATAGAGAAAAAAATAGATAATCCGGTTTGGCTTAATGGCTACCTAAGTCGTCTGGCGTTTAGAGATAGGAGCGTCAGCTTCTACTGGAAGTCGACGTATCATCCACAGTGAGTTGCTCTTTGTTTTAGCAGAGGCGTAGCGAGGGGGTGGGGACATATGTCCCCGGGCGTCGACCTTAGGGGGCGCCAAAATGGGTTGGAAAAATAAATTGAAAGGTTGAGGGGGTGGGGTGCACATCGAAAGTTTGAGGGAGGGGGGTGCAAATTGAAATCTTGAGGGGGGGGGGGGGTGCAAATCAAAAGTTTGTCCCCGGGCGCCGGTAAGAGTCGCTACGCCTCTGTGTTTTATTTTTATAAACCGTATATAGAGAAAAATCGCAGCCTCCCGTGGCGCCGCCCTTGCGAAATTAAAAAAGGATTTTTTTTTACAGACCCCTTTCCTGAATTGTTCTAATAAACTCCCCAAAGTTTGATGGCGATCAGATAAATGGTGTCAAACCAAAATCGACTTTTATTTTTATATACCGTATATTGAGAAAAATCCCACCATTCCGTGGCGCCGCCCATGCGAAATAAAAAAAAATATTTTTACAGAAACCTTCCCTGGAGTGTCCCAATCAACTCCCCTAAAGTCTCATGGCAATCGGATAACCGTGCCACACCAAAATCGACTTTTACTTTTATATACCGTATATAGAGAAAAATCGCACCCTCCCGTGGCGCCGCCCTTGCGATATTAAAAATGTTTTTTTTTTTTTACAGAACCCTTCCCTAGAGATTTATAATGAACTCTCCAAAGTTTCATGCCTATCGGATGAACGATGTCACTGCAATTCACTTTTATTATTTTTATATACCGTATATTGAGAAAATTTGAAATTTTTTTTCGCAGAAACCTCCCCAGGAATATTCTCAACAACTTCCCAAAGTTTCACGGCGATGTGATGAGAGGTGTAGTAATGCATAAAGGACAGACGGACAGACAGACAGACAGACAGACAAACATACATTGCTTTATATATATATATATATATATATAGATATATATCCATCACATATTACTATACAAGTTAAATCCATTTGACAGAGTCACCAATTTTAAAGAAGATCGTTGTCCAGACTTTGCTGGGCAAATGATGTGCGTCTTCATCAACCCTAAGGAAGACTTTATCTGGGACTGCGCCAGTTGTTTCTCGGAATACATCGCTGTCGTCTGCACGAAAAGGTGAGATTGGGACCAGAGGCGTAGCGACCCTTCAGGGCGGCCGGGGACAAACTTTGAATTTGTCGCCCCCCCCCCCCATAAATTTTTAATATTTATACTGCAAAACTGCAGCTAAAATGATATTTTAATTTGATTTTTTCCAAACCAATTTGGCGCCCGCTAGGGTCGGCGCCCGGGGACATATGTACTCCCCCCCTCGCTACGCCTCTGTTGGGAACCATCCACTGGATGTGGTCATTCGGTTGGAGGGGAACATGGGTAAATGGGAATGCTGGATTCTGGTAGAAAAAGGTGAGGTTTGGAACTATCCACTGGATGCTGGATTCTGATAGAAAAAGTGAGGTTTAGAACTATCCACTGGATGCTGGATTCTGGTAGAAAAGGTGAGGTTTGGAACTATCTACTGGATGCTGGATTCTGATAGAAAAAGTGAGGTTTGGAACTATCCACTGGATGCTGGATTCTGATAGAAAAAGTGAGGTTTGGAACTATCCACTGGATGCTGGATTCTGATAGAAAAAGTGAGGTTTGGAACTATCCACTGGATGCTGGATTCTGATAGAAAAAGTGAGGTTTGGAACTATCCACTGGATGCTGGATTCTGATAGAAAAAGTGAGGTTTGGAACTATCCACTGGATGCTGGATTCTGATAGAAAAAGTGAGGTTTGGAACTATCCACTGGATGCTGGATTCTGATAGAAAAAGTGAGGTTTGGAACTATCCACTGGATGCTGGATTCTGATAGAAAAAGTGAGGTTTGGAACTATCCACTGGATGCTGGATTCTGATAGAAAAAGTGAGGTTTGGAACTATCCACTGGATGCTGGATTCTGATAGAAAAAGTGAGGTTTGGAACTATCCACTGGATGCTGGATTCTGGTAGAAAAAATGAGGTTTGGAACTATCCACTGGATGCTGGATTCTGATAGAAAAAGTGAGGTTTGGAACTATCCACTGGATGCTGGATTCTGGTAGAAAAAATGAGGTTTGGAACTATCCACTGGATGCTGGATTCTGATAGAAAAAGTGAGGTTTGGAACTATCCACTGGATGCTGGATTCTGATAGAAAAAGTGAGGTTTGGAACTATCCACTGGATGCTGGATTCTGGTAGAAAAAATGAGGTTTGGAACTATCCACTGGATGCTGGATCCTGCTTCCAGTGCCGTTCTGCCTGAATGGTGGCAAATGCTTGGGTCAGTAATGACCGTATACAAGAGTAGGGAGGGGGAGGGGGGGAGTAGAACAAGGTAGGCATCAAGTCTGCCTTAGCTGCGAGGCCTATAATTTCAGTTGACAGTGTCATCTAGGCCTACTGGATAATGAGGAAATCAAAGCGGTAAACGCCAAAAACATCGAAACACGGCAACAAATTAATTCCAACTTAAAGAGATATTTAAAAATACAACCGCAAGAAGAAACGAGCCAAAACAGTATCTGATGGGCACCTGACTCACGTTAAGGAAAGTAAAGGCGGCTGGGCGTAGAACTACCACACGATCTTTTCATACGAGGTCACTGAAACAGGTGATCTCTAATACACGAAGGGAACTGTACGAAAGGTTTTGTGTACCCCCCCCCCCTCCCTCGCTTATTTTAACCTGCTGTTTAAAGACAGGTTGCCCGTTTCGAACCTGACCGTCTTTGGGGCAGATGAAGTAGATTTCACCAGTTTTATGTGATCTCGACGCCAAGTCACTTTTGCTTTTCTCTGAGCCAGGTACCCGGGAAAGCTGAGTGGACTCAGGGACATTCTACGGATCCGAACTGTAGACTTTAGGGGTTAGCTGTGCCATCTACCGTACAACCACTACGCCCCATTTATAAAACCCCAAACCCACACAATGTATTGTAAAATTTTTGCCATTGTGCTAGTAAATAAACTACAAAAAAACAGAATACAAATATTGTTTCACGAACTATTTTTCAGACGCGGCAAGAAAACTCAGCCAATCACTACCACAGTTGCCCCGGTTCCTGATGTGATTTTATAGCCCGCGGCTGTCAAGTTCATGCTAGCAAAGTTGACTCTTCCAAACTTGTCAGTTTTTGTTAAAAGACAGCGTATAAATACATGCGTCACACATGCCTCAATAAAAGTGTTGTTGTTTAATACGAGAAATTTCAAGTCTTTTGTGTAGTGTTTGTGGTGATCTAGATGAAGGGGGAAGCAAGTTATATGTGTGTTAAGTTTCTTACACGTTTGAGGCTTCGGATTGTGTGTGTCTGTGTTTCCGTGTGTCTGTGTCTAAAAAGTGAATGTATTTGGTGTGTGTGTGTGTGTCTGTGTGACTTGTGTATGTGTGTCTAAAAAGTGAATGTATGAGGTGTCTCTGAGTGTGACTTGTGTAAGTCTGTGTCTAAAAAGTGAATGTATTTGGTGTCTGTGTGTATGAGTTATGTCTGTGTGTCTAAAATGTGAATGTATGGGGTGTCTCTATGTGTATGACTTGTGTATGTGTGTCTAAAAAGTAAATGTATTTGGTGTCTGTGTGTGTATGTGTGTCTAAAAAGTGAATGTATTTGGTGTCTGTGTGTGTATGTGTGTCTAAAAAGTGAATGTATTTGGCGTCTGTGTATGTGTGTGTGACTTGTGTATGTGTGTGTCTAAAAAGTGAATGTATTTGGCGTCTGTGTGTGTGTGACTTGTGTATGTGTGTGTCTAAAAAGTGAATGTATTTGGCGAATGTGACTATGTGTTAGTATGTACATCTGTGCTGATCTGAATGTGTGAGGATGCCTGCGTGTGTATGTGTATCTCTGTATGTTTTTGTGTCTGTGTGTGTGTGTCTATGCCCGCCACTGCCCTTCAACAACTCACACATAACCCCCCCCCCCCCCCCCACATCGGGTAATGAACTCTCAATCTAACACAATTTAAAACCTATTGATCTTGTCTTCTAACATTTAAAAACCAAACACCCAACCATTGATAGGATTTCTTTTAAACAAGCAGCAACCACATTAATACCAAAAGGATAAAAAACAACAGATGGTATGAAAATAATCTTTAACGACTGTGTTGTTTATCAATCTGGTCTAACTCCGCTGTAAGTCTACGTCAAATTTAATTTAAATTCAAGCAGACGTCAGCATGCGTTTGATACTGTTTTCCTGTCTTGTATGCCTGACGGTGCAGGGAATATTTTCAGGTAAAAGTCATAAGTCAGGCTATAAGTTCGTTAGTCAAAGTACTGGTCATAATTCAGAGATAAGTACTAGTCATAATTCATTGATAAGTAATGGTCATAATTCAGTGCTAAGTACTATTTATAATTCAGTGATAAGTTCTAGTCATAATTCAGTGTTAAGTACTAGTCATAATTCATTGATAAGTACTGTTCATAATTCATTGATAAGTACTAGTCATAATTCATTGATAAGTAATAGTCATAATTCAGTGCTAAGTACTAGTCATAATTCAGTGATAAGTACTGTCATAATTCAGTGTTAAGTACAAGTCATAATTCAATGATAAATACTACTCATACCAATTCAAGGATGAGATCTTTCTATCTCCATGTATAATTCTCTACGTCGCCCAACCATGCGGGACACCACGCACCCAGTGTTTTTTCCAGACTTTTTTCTCCGTGGGGGGAGGGGGGGGGGGGACGGACTTGAAATTTTCGGGGGGGGGGGGGCGGTAGACTTTCTTCGGGGGGGGGGGGCGGACACTGTTAAAAGTATATATTTTCTATATAAATTATATAAATTTCATTTCGTTCGGGGGGGGGGGGGGCGGTAGAATTTTTTCTAAAGATGCCTGGACGAAACTCTGCCTACGCCGACACTCTAACCCTCCACCCGCCCCCTCCCTCGCTTTGAGGCATGCGCAACAGTATGTACCCACCCACCCCATTTGGACAACTGTGTCTTTCTCACCCGTCACTGAATAGCGGCGTATGCTGCGCCAGGCGTCGACTCGTACGTCTTTAATAAGCTAAAGTCGTGATAAAGCTCATGTTTATATTAAAACATGCCTGACTTTATGAAACCTCAAATCTGCGCTAACAACCATATTTAAAAAATTTAAAATAATTTTAAAAAATGTAAAAAAAATATAAAAATTGGGTTTTCAAATGAGGTGTTTTTGGTTGTGTTAAAGCTGGATGACTAAGACAAAATAAGGGTTCGACATGTTACCAACATTAGATCGAGTGTTAATGCCTGAGTTATCATAATCTTAGCAACACAAGCAAAAAAAAATTTTTTTTTAATTAAAAAAAAATTATAATACTTTTATTTTCAAATAGAAAAAAAACACATCAGCATTATACAAATGTGTGTGTGTGCGTGTATGTTAGTCTTCAACATCGTTCAAATATTTACAAAATCATCATTACATGAACAAAAAAACCTGCAAAAATTACTTATTATTACTTTAGCGGTTAACGCAGGGGTCGGCAACCTGCGGCTCGCGAGCCGCATGCGGCTCTTTGGATGTCGAGTTGCGGCTCTTGAGCTCGATGATCAAATATTAATAATTATTTTTATTAACTCATAGAAATATTAGTCTGCTACACTCGGTACTGAACGATATAATAATAAATATAGACAAAAAATACTAGCTATTCTATTAGAATATTTAGTTACATTTTTCAATGTACTTCCTTGTTTTCTGAAACTGATTTATTTAATTGTAAACAACGCCTGGGCTTGGATCATATTTATAGGGGCACGGGTTGACCTACACTACTGCCCAGCCCGCCATGGGGCGTGCTGTATGAAAGCCTTGAGTGTAAGTTAATCACTCACCGTGATATCACCGTTAATCACTCAACGTCTAAGTGTCGGGGACGTAAAGTGGCGCTTTTGTGAACCCGATTACAAAATCTCAGGGGCGCCACGTACAGCCCCTAGCACGGTTTAATCATCGTGTGTCGTGTGCCGCAGTAACAATATTGAAGGGAGCTCATTAAAACTAACGTAGGCGCGTAGTGCTCGAGGGATAGCGCCAAATCGCACCCTGCAAAGACGCCGGAGGACGCGCCTGATTCGATTTAGTGAGCGACTAGAGCAACCCATTGTATCGAAAATGAACGTAGGCGCCATGGTGCTCACGTGTAAGCCCGAAGCGCTAAATGCGCCGGAGGGCGCGCCTGATTCGATTAAGTCAACGATAACTGTTGTCCATCGTGTCTTTAGCGTTTAGCCTTTTTTAAAACGAACGTAGGCGCCATAGTACTCTCAGACTCTTCGGGTCGCGCAATAGACGAAGTACCGGCGGCTGCGCCTTTTGCAGTTTTGCTGCTGAATATAGTAGTACCCCTTACCCGCTCACGCCAGATTAAAGGGTGCCAAAGGCTAAATACCCACGCTAGAACTCTGGGCGCCAAACCATGTATTGATGAAAATCGCACACTCCCGGGCGCTGCCCATAAGAATTTTTTTTTCGCAGAAATCTTCTTGGGAGTATTCTCATTTATTCTCAAAGGATCCATGACGATCGGATGAACGGTGTCAATCCGCAATCGACTTCTATTTTTATAAACCGAATCGCGTCCTGCCGGGGTGCCATATCTGCGAATTTGACATTTTTTGCAGATACCTCCCCAGGAGTATTCTCAACAACTTTTCAAAGTTTCATGGCGATCGGATATATATATATATATATATATATATATATATATATATATATATATATATATATATATATATATATATATATATATACACACCTAATACTAATCAAAGATCATAATATTGAAGTTAAAATGTTAGTGGCTCTTTCAAAGGTGGGAGATTTTGTAAATTGTTACTTTTGGCTCTTCCGTCTCAAAAGGTTGCCGACCCCTGGGTTAACGTATGGTAAACATAATAGATTCTAATGAGAATTATTCGAAAGGCCTATCAAAATACTTAAAAAATTATTACGATGTTGTTAAAATGCATATAATATTAAATTAAAGGGAATTCCTCAAAATGATTAAATATAATATGTCATCATATTAAGCACCGTTTGCTCAATTGATTACAATGTCAGTCTGTTTTACTTTCTGAATGCCAAAGTTTTTCTACGCCCAAGAACAATATCCAAAGTAAAAGTTGTTTAACTTTGGGAGTTTTTTCCCTTAGATGAATTACTGCCCCTAGCTTCCGAGCTAAAAATAGCTTCATTAAAACCCAATCTACTGTAAGCTAAGAGGAGCCAACATTTCCAAATAAAATATCACCACGAAGCAGAGGCTTAGCGACCCTTCCCGGCGCCAAACTTTTCGATTTGCACCCCCCCCCCTCAAGATTTCGATTTGCACCCCCCCTCAACCTTTCAATTTATTTTTCGAACCCATTTTGGCGCCCCCTGAGGTCGGCGCCCGGGAACATATGCCCCCCTTCCCCCCCCCCCCTCGCTACGCCTCTGCCACGAATAGATTCTTCCAAGTTGTATATTTTCAGTCCGACACCCAGGAGAGATTGAGTTCTGTCCGGCAGGATTTGCACCCATAGGCGAGCATTGCTTCAAGTTTGCTGGGTATGCAAGGAGCCGAGAGGCAGCGGTGAGTTACCCAGAGGCGTCACCAGTCGGGGGTGGAGGTGTGGGGGGGGGGGCGGGGTGGACCACACCGGGTGACACCATTTAGGTGGGGGGGGGGGGGTGAAACCAAGACAAAAAGTTGCAAGATTTATAGAATAATCAGTTTTTTTTTTTTTTTTTTTTGCCAGTTTAATGAATGGTTATTTAGAGTTAGAAAGTATTTAAAGTACATAACCACGATCCAGACCCGGTAGGGGTAGGGGGGGGGGCGGGTTACACCATGACGTAAGCATGCAAACTATAGAGAAATACAATGCTACACCCAGCTGTATCAACAACCGACTACTATAGATAAACATTATTAGTATTAAATGTGAACACTTTAAAGCTTTTTCCGGGGGGGGGGGGGGGGGAGGTGACACCAAATGCAAAATTTACAGAGAAAAATAATGGGGGGGGGGGGTGACACCATGAGATGCCGCACCGGGGGACACCCGATCTAGCGACGCCAATGGAGTTACCTATATTGAATATGTCGTCGTCATCGTGTCTCCCCCCCCCCGTGTTGAATATGACGTCGTCATCGTGTTCCCCCCCCCCCCCATGTTGAATATGTCGTCGTCGTCCCCTCCCCCCCCCCCCCACTAACAGTTGACTGTTTGTGTTGTAACGGTCCCCCTCCCCTTTAGGAGTTCCATGTGCACGTTGTAATGCCCCCCGCCCCCCCCCCCCCTCTGGGAATCAACTCTGTATGTTGTATGTCCCCCCCCCCCCCCCCCACTCTCTAGGAGTTACATGTGTATGTGTAAATGTACCCGTCCTCTTCATCATTTTGGTGGTCAATGGCATCAGCCCACTTTAGGGCTGGTAAGTAGGTCACCAAACAGTTCTACGGCTCAATAAAACCTGCATGAGCCATGGAACTGTTTATTGACCTACTTACCAGCCCTATCGTCAAACATGACTGAACCAAGCATGACTGTAAAAAAGCAGACTGTACTAAACATGATTGTACCAAACATGACTGTACCAATAATGACTGAACCAAGCATGACTGTACCAAGCATGATTGTACCAAACATGACTGTACCAAGCATGATTGAACCAAGCATAACTAGACTAAGTATGATTGTACCAAACATGACTGTACCAAATATGACTGAACCAAGCATGACTGTACCAATCATGACTGTACCAAGCATGACTGTACCAAGCATGACTGTACCAAACATGGCTGTACCAAGCATGACTGTACTTAACATGACTAGACTAAACATGACTGGACTATGACTGTACTTAACATGACTATACCAAACATGACTGTACTTAACATGACTGTATTTAACATGACTGAACCAAACATGACTGTACCAAACATGACTGTACCAAATATGACTGTACCAAATATGACTGTACCAAATATGACTGAACCAAGCATGACTGTGCCAAGCATGACTGTACCAAGCATGACTGAACCAAGCATGACTAGACTAAGTATGATTGTATCAACATGATTGTACCAAATATGACCGAACCAAACATGACTGTACCAAACATGGTTGTACCAAATATGACTGAACCAAGCATGACTGTACCAAGCATGACTGTACCAAACATGACTGTACCAAATATGACTGTACCAAATATGACTCAACCAAGCATGACTCTACCAAACATGACTGTACCAAATATGACTGTACCAAATATGACTGAACCAAGCATGACTGTACCAAGCATGATTGTACCAAACATGACTAGACTAAGTATGATTGTATCAACAAGACTGTACCAAATATGACCGAACCAAGCATGACTGTACCAAGCATGACTGTACTAAGCATGACTGTACTTAACATGACTGTACCAAGCATGACTGTACCAAGCATGACTGAACCAAACATGAATGTACCAAGCATGACTGTACCAAGCATGACTGTACCAAGCATGACTGTACTTAACATGACTGTACCAAGCATGACTGTACCAAACATGACTGCACTAAAGCATGACTGAACCAAACATGACTGTACCAAACATGACTGACCACCAGTGCAGCCCACAGCGATGCCAACCTGTCGCCTCTACCCCCAGAAAGTCTGTGCCAAATACAAACGCCGCCCTCTTTGAGATTCTCTCGTGGAAACGGCAGAGGGAGATCGAACAATTTGTTAAAAGTAAGAAATCTTGTTTTTTTTAAGGATATCGAGGCCTAGTGGTAGAGCGTTATACTGCTAACCCGAAAATCTCGAGTTCGAATTCGGGTTCAAAACAGTAGAATGTCCCTGAGTCCACTCAGCTCATAGGTTAGAGATGAAAGGCGGTTGGGCTTAGTGGTGATAACATTATCCCCTTGTATGCCAGGGGCCATTGAAACAGATGAACTCTACTTCACCTGCCCTATGTGTCTTGGTCACGAACGGGAAAAGATGATGGAGTCTTTTATTAACGAAAAAAACAAAAACAACAGTCAAACTTTCGAATGGTAGAGCGATCGACTGCTATCCGGAATGTCTCGAGTTCGGACCCCTGGAGTCCCTGATTCACTAAGCTCTGATTGGGCACCTGGCAGTGGCGTAGCTACCGTAAAGCTAGCGTAAGGAAGGCATAGGGGCCCAAGGCAAATAGGGGCCCTTTTTCGAAATTTTGAAGGGGGGGGGGGGGTTGCAAATCAAAAGTCTGAGGGGGGGGTGCAAATCGAAAGTCTGAGGGGGGGGGGGGGGGTGCAAATCGAAAGTTTGTCCCCGGTCGCCGGGAAGGGTCGCTACGCCTCTGAGGGGCCCACTAACACTTTTTGCATAGGGGCCCAAAAATCCTAGCTACGCCACTGGCACCTGGTTCACGATAGGGAAAGTAAAGGCCTCTGGGCATAGTGCTGACCACACTATGCCTTCCTATACCTAGGTCATTACCCAATTAGGGTCGAAAGGATACTTTACCTTAACAAATTATATTAACTTGTTGCTGGTAATATTTTATGTAAAAAAAAAATTAAAAAAAAAAAAAAAAATTAAAATTGAATGCTGAACAACATTATGTTAGCTAATAAATTAAAAATAGCCTTGGGCTGCACTGAGCATGTGCGTACATTTGTTTCAAACCCCCGTAGAGAACAACATCAAACATCCCATCTGGCTGGACGGCCGCATCGGTCACCTGGCTTTCAGGGAGCGGACCGTGAGCCTCTTCTGGACATCGACGTTTTATCCACCGTGAGTTTATCTCCCCTTTTTTATCTCCCCTTTTTAAAATCTCCCCTGTGTATTTTGTGAAAAAAAAAATAATTTAGAAAAATGTTATAGCGCCGGCTTTGCAGGACTTGTCAAAAAGTCGGAAAAAGGAAAACATGCGCACAGGAAAATGCATATCTTCTAAAATATTAACATTTTAAGTAAAAAAAAATACATTTGAAACTTGTAGTAGTACCATATTTCTATCTGATAAAAATTTAAGAGTAACAATTTTTTTTAACTACTTCGTTATATCAAGTGTACAATAAGCGTCCCATAAGTGGGACGCTAGCAACGAAAGGCCCCATGTAGATTGTTACACAAACGTCACATTTATTGGACTCTAACGAGAAACACAGATGCAAATGTTTATGTTAAATGGTTAATTATGGTGAAACAATTGTTGACTGTTAACTGTTGACTTTGGGGTGACACCATTAAGTGCCGCACCGGGTGACACCCGACTCACTTCACACTTCAGTAAATATTTTGCCAAACAATGAAATTTTAACAGTGCGATGCACGATTTTATAAACTTGACAGAATCTCCAATTTTAAAGATAGTATACCCCACTTCTGTACTTATTTCGCAAAACGGTACTAAACTTTAATAATTAAACTTGCACGATTTATAAACTTGACAGAATCTCCAATTTTAAAAACGGCTTGCCTCACTTCGTCGGGCAGACGATGTGTGTCTATCTGGATCCTATGGAGAACTACTCATGGAACTACGCCAGCTGTTCAGAGGACTACCACGCCGTAGTCTGCACGAAAAAGTAAGATTGTAAACGTTCCCGTTTTAACCTGGGTCACGTGATAGGGGTCATCCATAAATAACGTCACGCTTTTTTTGACGATTTTTACCCTCTCCCCTCCCCTCCGTCACACGTCGTCACAAAAAGCCAGACCCCCCCCCCCCTAAAATGACGGGTCACACCTCAACCTACACCCCCCCCCCCCTCAAAATTGCAGTTGAATTTTTTTTAAACATCGATATTTTTTTCCAAAATCTTGTCTAAAACTATTACAATTTATTAAAACAGTTTTCTAAAACGCGAAATAACGTCTAAAATTCGTTTTCTAACATTGTTTTTTTATAATGCAAAAATGTGACGACGCAACATCTGACCCCCCCCCCCCTCCCCCTCATCACACATCGTCAAAAAATTACGGACCCCCCCCCCTACAATTGTGACGTCATTTATGGATGACCCCATAGACTAGTAAACAATTACTCCGCACGCTTAATAAAGAACATAACAACAAATACACGGCTAAAAATGACACGGGGAAATAGAAAAGAAAGGTAAAATCAAAATTCAAATCTAGGCCAACCGTAGAAAATGTTGCATGGATATGATGAAGTTAAAGTCAACGTCAGAAAAGTTTTGAAGAATACAAAAAGTTAGACTGTATTAAGACGACGTATAATTACGCTAATAACGTATTTAAGATATTTTGACGGTTTTATTAAAAATATGGAGAAATCACTTAATTCCCAAGAAAAAAATAAATGACCACTTCATACCTTAGTGGCCTCGACATTTGAAAGGATAGTGTGATCAACATTATGTCCAGCCGCCTTTTCTTCCCTAACTTGAGTCAGGTACCCATCAGAGCTGGGTGGACTCAGAGACACATTGCGGACTAGAACACCGGGATTCGAACTTAAATATAGGGTTAGTCAAAGGCGTAGCGACCCTTCCCGGCAGGTTAGGGACAAACTTTTCGATTTGCACCCTTCCCCCCCTCAAGATTTCGATTTGCACCCCCCCCCTCAAACTTTCAATTTATTTTTCCAACCCATTTTGGCGCCCCCTATGGTCGGCGCCTGGGGACATATGCCCCCGCCCCCCCCCCCCCCTCGCTACGCTACTGGGGGTTAGTGGTCGAACCATTCGACCGAGCTACCTTGTAACCTTAGTACTTAATTTCCAGTACACCAATGTTGAAACAATACCAAGCTACTGATGATAAATCGGCGTGGTCGAGTCGGTAAAGCTCATGGTTGCTAAACCGAAAAGTCCCCAGTTCGTACCCTCGGGCAGATGAGGCTCGTTAGCCACTCATCTAGGAGAGACAACTCCAAAATCAAACATCTGCTGCCTTGTAATTTGTTCTTGGTTGGACAAATGCTATCGACGTATAACCAGTAGACACGTATACTTAATTGTGTTGGAGGGGATCCCTTCCAACACTAAAATTAAGCACGAAGAAGAAGAAGAAGACAAACAATATGGAAATATGTTATATTTCCTTGATGTATTCTTTGACCCCACTGCCACATGTTATTTTAAAGTGCTATAAAATTAGAAAATTGGGAAAAAAATGAATATAACTATTGTTTCACGAACTATTTTCAGACGAGGCAAGAAATTTTCCCCCATCACTACCACAGTTGCTCCAATTCCGGATGTGGTTTTATAGCCCACGGCTGTCAAGTTCATGCTAGCAAAGTCGACTCTTCCAAACGTGTCAGATGGTGTTGAAATACAGCATATAAATACATGCGTTACATATGCCTCAATGATAGTGTTGGTCTTTGACAACAGAGTCAAGTCTTGCGAATAGTTGTGTGTGTAAGTTTGTGTGTGTGTGTGTGTGTGTGTTGGTGTTTGATAACAGAGTCAATACTTGCGGCAAATTGTGTGTATGTTCGTCTTCTAGTTGTGTAGGCCTACGTGTATGTTGTGAACTCGAGGGACATCCTGATGGCGCTTCGACTTGAAACGGGTGGATGGTGACCCCCTCACACCCCCTCCCTTCAAATCTATACCGGAGAGTATATACAGAGGGGTAGCGAGGGGGGGGGTGTGCGGACCGCACCGGGGTGACACCATTTAGGGGGGTGACACCAGAGGCGTATCCAGGTTTTCGTTGTAGGGGGAGCGAAATGAGCAAAACAAGGCGCCGAATATTTAACACGTACTATATACATGTATTATATATATATATATATATATATATATATATATATATATATATATATATATATATATATATATACATACATAAATATGTGTGTGTGGCCTATAATTTAAATATATGCCGCATACGCGTACATGCATGTGCATATGCGTTAGTCACTGCAGACTTAATAGTAACGATGTTTATCTATAGTCTGTTAATAATACAGTTGGATATAGCATTGTTTTCTCTATAGTTAGCACGTTTACGTCATGGTGTCACCTCCACCCTCTTGTAATAGTTGTCGATTTGTACTTAACAGACTATTTAACCTTAATTAATCATTAATGGAACTGGCAGAAAAAGCATTTCTCTTTTGTATATTTTGCAATTTTTTGCCTTGGTGTCACCCCCCTAAATGCTGTCGCCCGGTGCGGTCCACACCCCCCGCCTCGCCCTCGCTACGCCTCTGGGAGAGATGAAGACCCAGACGGGAGAGGCACTGCTCTCCGCGTGCAAGGAGAATGAGGACGGCCCACGGGAAACAGGTGTAGCCTTCTATTGACAAAACGATCGAAAAGTCGAGAAAGAACAAGACACTGTCTTATCGCATCAGCAGTCAGATTTGTATCCTGGCTCCAACGGATCTTCATTACTATGTGCAGTGGTTCTTCCAGACACTTTTTTTCTCCTGGGGGGGGGGGGGGGGCTTGACATTTTGGGGGGGGGGGGGGGACGACGGTCTACATTTTCCGGGGGGGGGGGGGGTGGACACTAGTTAAAGTATATGATTACTATATAAATTCCATCTCGTTCGGGGGGGGGGGGGGGGCGGGGGGGGGGGAGGTAGACTTTCTTCGGGGGTGGGGGGGGGGGGATGCCTGGAAGAAACTCTGGGAAGGGGGGGGGGGTCTTATGAAACTTCCGGAGAGGAGGCAACACACAGAGACGACACAGACAGAGACAACAGATATAGGAGCCAATAAAATAGGGGAGAATGAATGAGAATGTAGAACTCTTCACAATTGAACTTACCATCGAGAGCAAGATTTTTCCCCATGGCGAAATCATCACAAGGCTACTTGAATATCACCAGATCTTCATACAGGAAAGCCAGATTGATCATGTCCTTGTATGGCAGCATTTCACAATGTGCGGGCAAAGATATTTTTCCTACTTTGTTCTTAATTTTAATGTTGGATGGAATATTCCCCAACAACACAATTAAAGATTACGTGTCAACTTTGTTAAGGGTCCGTTGATCATCCAAGGAAGTTTGATCGAGACTCATCTGCCCGGGGGATTCGAACTCGGGACGTATCGGTTTAGCAACCACGAGCTAAACCGACTCGACGACGGCGATTGTTTAGGGTTGATTCTGTCAACTCCAATAAAAAGCCACCAGGAAACCCTTCCGGGTCACCCTAAAAAGTAAGATTTCGACATCATGGCTAAGAAACAAATGTTAAACTTTCCAACTGTGCCAGGTCGGGGTAACACCAGATTTAAATATAACTTTCTTCTGATTGGCTCATTTTCCGTCACGGTAATACTAAGCTTATTTATAGAGGTGTCCAACTTTCGTCTCAATGTCTGTAAAAATAAAGTATCCTTTCATGTGGTAGGTGAAGTAGAGTTCACATGTTTCACAGACCTCGGCGTATGAAGGATCAGCACTCTATGCCCCGCCACAATTACTTTACCCAGGTATCCATTAGAGCTGGGTGGACTGATGGCGTCCTAGAGAATCCAGCAGGTGAACCGAACTCCAGACTTTCCGCTTTGCAGGTGAATGCTCTACCATTTGACCACACCGTCCCATTTATTTTTATGTCTGTGTGGTTTAATATTTTATGGCAATTTTGACAGTTTGGGAATATTGGACATATCGTAATTGTAAGTTGTTAAAATTGTAAAAAAAAAAAAAATAGAAATTTTTTTTTCTAATAGCAAGCTTTTAAATGAAATGAAAATAAGAAAAATAATACTAATTCACTTTCATAAAAGCTTTGGCTACACAGAGATCTTTTACATATTTTAGCAAAAGCTTGCAAAAAGTGAATCAACACAACAGAGTTTTCAGTCACGAAAACACAAAAAATTTCATTTTTATCTGAAGTTTAGTATTTAATTTGATTAAAACAGGTAAAAGGTGGACACTTTTAAAAATAAATTCAATGACATAAAAAAAAATCATCAGTAATAAATAGTTCAATCAACACATAACAAACCAATTTGATTAATCTGTTCATCAAAACAATACATCTTCAATGAGTTCAAATCATTTTAAATGGATATTATTCAATAACTTTGATCAAGGTTAGATAGCGGTTAAGCTCTTTTACAACTGAAGTCTGGGAGAGAAAAATAATTGATAAAAACAAATGACTGGAAATTGGGTGGAATTTTAATGCCACTTCTTGAGTAAATAAAACCAGTGTTTCTTTCATACATTTTTTCTTAGGATAGGGGCAAGAATGGTTAAAGAAGGCCTATATGTGTTCTATATTAATTGTAAATGCCTGAAATAAACTCTGAATGAAACTGCAACAAAAACATTTGTTTACATTGAAGCTAGCAATGTTTATGACATTGACACTGAAGAAGATTGCACCATAATGTAGGCCAGCGATAGACAGGAAGTATTTGTAATACAAGTCTCCTTTGAACAATACGCGATCAATCGCCATTCACAGAGGCAGTATACAGAACATACACATACTGACCAGACATACAGGCAGTACATACTGACCATACATACAGGCAGTACATACAGACCACACATACAGACAGTACATACTGACCACACATACAGGCAGTAGGCATTCATAGTGACCAGGAATACAGACAGTACATACTGACCAGACATACAGGCAGTACATACAGACCACACATACAGGCAGTAGGCATTCATAGTGATCAGAAATACAGACACTACATACTGACCTTACAAATATTTAAAAAAAAAAAACAACAAAGGCCCCACAGTGAAAGCTCTCTGACAATGTACCGACTTAATTTTTGCATGTTTTTTTTTTAATTATAAAAAAAAAATATTTTGACTTCATTGAACAATTTACCACACATTTCTTAATTTATTAGAGTAAACCGGGCATACATTTATATTTTATTTCAATTTAATTTTTAAAAAATTGGATTTTACTCAATATGTTAAAAGCAATTAGTGCCTGCATTTTGAAGTAAAGCTTTTATATTTAACCAAATATGTGGGGTTTTTATTTTAAAATATTTTCAAAACATACATTTTTAAAAAAATCAAAAATCTTTCTGCCAACATCAGATGTGAAGTTTGTTTTTAAATTGTCTGCCCCTTTCTCAAATATGACGTGCTAGTTGCAGATACATTCAATCCACTCCATCAAACCAATATCACACAACATTTTAAAAAAAAATCTGGCCAGTCATGTGACCAGGGTAATCTGGCCACATGATAAACCAATGGTCATGTGTCCACACATACATAATGTACAGGACAACAATGTCCCAGAGTCAGTTAGTTTCTCTTCCATTTTTAGCCAAGTGTTAACACATCACTGACAACCTGTTAACACATCACTGACAACCTGTTAACATATCACTGACAGCCTCATTCAGTGAAAGGATCAGGTACATCCTGCTGTGGTAGTACAGTCATGTAAAGAAAAAAAAACCTTTTTTGAACCACGATGGTCCACGGGGGGCAGGTGAAGTAGAGTTCAACTGTTTCAGAGACCTCGACTTAAGGGAAAGTTGGGTTAGCCGACTTCACTTTCCCTAACACGAGCCAGGTACCCAATAGAGCTGATCCATCAGTGTGGTCACATGGCACCTCTTTGTTTTTTTCTCTAACAAAGGACAATTTTTGAAAACTAATCCTTTTAAGCCAATATGGATTCATTATTTTAAAATAGTAAATAGTTGTTTTTTTTTTAATGTACAGAAAAAAAAATGTTTGCCCTAAAACCTTTAAAGATTAGTATACAAAAAATATGCACAAAGAAAATTTTTAATGCTAAAAAGTTATCAACTTAAGTAAATTCATCACTCAATTAAAAAACAAAAAACAAATTAGGAATGACAAAAATTATACAGTGGAAAAAAATATCAGAGAACATGGAAAAAATAATTGTTCCTGGAAAATGAGTTATTTTCCTATTTATAGAAAACTTCATTATGAACATGATAGGCAAAAAGTTATCCTTTGTTTATTGTTCATCTTTTGGAATATTGGACTTGAAACTCAAGTTTGTATTTTTGTTTATCATCACTTTTGTGGCTGTTTCTATTATGTAGGTGTTAACATTGACATAATCTACATATTCCATAATGTAGCTGGTTAACGTTACACAGATATGAACTGCTGGACTGACTTGGCACTGATGAGATCAATTAATCTCTTTAGATCAATGATTGGATAGCACCATGAACAGGTTGGATGTTACTTTAAAAATTGGCTGGGTTTTTTTTTTAGCTATTCAATTCAAGCACCACATGGAGATAAAAGGAAAAAATTATTGCCTTTTTTTTTAAGCTGGATGTATCTGGTCAAGATGTGTAAAGCCTTCCCGATGAAAAAAATTTAAATTAGAAACAAGAAATGTGGATTAAAGCTGCACATGATACGCTGCTAACTCCATTGGTGATATTTTCAACGGTTCTTTAGGGTTGAGGGTTCTTTTGATCACGGTGTGGGTCAGCGAAGTCTCCCGCAGGTTGGAGAAGTTGAAATCTTTTAAAATCTGATCAAACGTGACGGTGGGGTCAGAGGGGGAGCACACCAAGCTAGGCTGGGGGAAGTCGCAGTCGTAGCCCCTGCGGTGCAGGATGATGCTGGTACCATTGTAAGCCAAGTCGCGGTTGGCCAGGCTACGCAGGCTGACAAGGCTGGTGTCACACGGGAATGATCTGGGCGTTGGGTTGATGCTCTTGAAAAATATATCAGTGTCTACCGTCGTGTAGTAAGCGAGCGTCGGTTGCTGTAGAATGTCGTGCGCTGTCAGAGAGAGGAGAGACAGCGCTGCGGTCTGTGACGTGAGCGTGCTGGGGGTAGTACGTCTCTCCACCAGCAAGACAAACCGGCTGATGGTTGTCTTGATGTCTGTCACGCCTTCCCCCAGCCCGCGCTCGTCATCGTACAACAAGTGCCTGTCCAGCATCACCTCCAGGTGACCGGTATCCAACGAGGACGCGCCATGGGGTTGTGCTGACAGCAAGGTCAGTCTGGTGATTTCGTCCTCTAGTAGAACAGCACTTGTCATTGGGTAAAAGTTGGCCTGAATGCCAAGGACAGGGTTGGTGTGGCGCCGGATAAACTGGAACCCATTTTGATCCGTGTAGAAGGAACGATCAGGATTTTTTATATCCGTGTTGAAATGCATTACAATTTCTTTACTCTGCAGGGTGATGATGTTGAGAATGTTTTCAATAAAAATACCAGACGCCAGGTGTGTTGGATGGTTATAGATTGTTACACGGTGTGTAATATACGGCTGGAAGCTAACCTCAACATGTGTCAGCAGGGGTCCTTTAGCTACACGTATGATTGGAATGTTGGGAAATAAAACAGTGGCCGGGCCCTGCGGGCTGAACAGGTACGCGCCACTGCCTTTAGAGTTGTAAAACATGAAATTTAAATTGAGTTGCGTTACGTTGTTGGTGACCAAGTCCAACACGTTTAACAAGCTGCCAGTCTTTGGGTCAAAGGACAGCTGGATGACTTTGTTGTCTACCGTTATGGGAGACGTTCGTTCATTCTCTGGTCTGTTCTGAACAAACAGGCTGTCCCCGGACACCGCCAGCTCGTTGGTGTTGTAGACGGTCAGCGTGGAGAAGTACGAGGTCACCGGGGGTTGGGTTTTTTTGTATAAAATCACCGGGGTCAAGGACAACGGGCCAATGTCCAGCATGAAAGAAAGCTCAAAGACGCTGGACGAAACGGTGGCGTCCTCGTCCCGGTCCCACACGGGCCCCACCTGGTTTGGAATGATGTCTTGGGAAATGGTGAGTACCTCCACAGTCTGAGCATCCACCAACAGGTGAACCATCTGCTGCCTGGGCTGAGCCAGGGGGTTGAAGAACACCACTGTGGTGCCAGAATCTTGTACAGATATCACCTGCTTGGCCGGCATGGACTGGTGATTCTTCCTGGCCGTTTCCGGTTTAAAAACAACAGGTGTTTCGACTTTCCCTCCGGAAATAATGGATTGTATGGCCATCTTCATAACCTCCTGGGAATTGTTATACGCTCGCAGCAAATACTGCTCGTAATCCTCTGCCACAAATGATTTTGAAGTGCCGGTGATGGCGTCGTGGTGTAGAAACAGACCCAGCGCCCGATGAGCAGCCTGCAGGAATGATGAATGTTGGAGAAATTTGGACTCGGTGGCTAAGCCCAATTTCTTATAATAGGCAAAGTTTAAAGTGTTTAGTATATCTGCCGCTTGGATTGTAGACTGCACGTCACGACAAAAATACTTGTCAAACGCCCGCGTGGAATAATATCCCGTCCAGTACGCACCGTCTCTATCAGAATAAGGGAAAAAATCCCCGCTAAGTGTGGGCAACTTGCTGTCTTGCCCATGAGATTTTCTTTTGTCCAGCTCCTGCTTGACCAGCTTAAAGTAATCTTTGAGGGTCCCCCACTGGATGTGGGTGTTCCACTCAGTTTTAGAGTTGATGAAGTGGATCAGTTTCTCATAGTTTGTGTACTGCTGGTCCCACTCTACTTCCTTGTCGTAACGGAAATCATCACCGATGGGCACCAGGATTGTGTTGTACCTGTAGTAGAACGCCTTGGCTTGGTACTGGTAGTACAGGAGTTCGGATAACTCAGCCAGGTTTTCATTATCCACATCTTTAGCAAGGGCTTCTGTGTAATCCCCCGGCACTTTCCGGAAATCAAAAGCTAAACAAGAGAAAGGGTTCGGGCCGCAGGTGTACTTGATGTTGTACAGCATGAACGGCATGACATGGCACATGATGTCAGTGCTGCCCTTGTCGTCCCACATCTGACGCCAGTTGAACTCCAAAGATTTCTTCTCAAAGAGACTCGTCTTGACAGACTGGTGGATTCTTTGAATGACCATGTTGGACATGCCAGCACTGTGCCAGATATACGGCATGGTGCCGGAGTGGCCGAACGGGTCAATGGACCAGCTGTTCTGTGGCCGCACGCCCAGGTTCTCCCACAGCCACTGGTGGCCTTCTACCAGCTGGTCAATGACGGCCACGTAATGTGTGCTGGCTTCGTCCGGCATCACCCAGCCCCCCAGTGTCATCTCAAGCTGGCCGCGACGTATCAGGCGCTTCACGTGTACCTGAAGAAACAAGCTCAATGTTAATTATTTTATTTACACATAAAACAAAGAAAACATCTCATGTAAAAAAACAAATTGTCTTTTATTTACAAAATAGTCTCAAATAAAAAATTTTAGCTAGCAGTGTTAAATGTTCAGTCAAAAATGGAAATCATTAATTGAAAACTAGAAAAGAAATCATTAATTGAAAACTAGAAAAGAAATCACTAAATTGAAAACTAAAATAGAAATTGCTAAATTGAAAACTAAAAAGGAAATAACTAAACTGAAAATTAAAATGGAAATCACTAAATAAAACCAAAACAAATCACTATATTGAAAACTTGAAAATTGAAAGCTAAAAGAAATTCATTAAATTGAACAACTATAATGGAAATCAATAAATTGAAAACTAAAAAAAGAAATCACTAAAATTGAAAACTTAAAGGACATGAATATACCCAAAATTGAAAAGGAAATCACCATATTGAGAACTTAAAATGAAATCACTAAATTGAAAACAAATGAAAATCATTATACTATTATTAAACTAAAACATATTAAACTAAAATGCAGACTAAAATGGAAATCATTAAACTGAAAACTAAAACATATTAAACTAAAACGCAAACTAAAATGGAAATCATTAAATTGAAAACTAAAACATATTAAACTAAAACGCAAACTAAAATGGAAATCATTAAATTGAAAACTAAAACATGTTAAACTAAAACGCAAACTAAAATGGAAATAATTTAAATTGAAAACTAAAACATATTAAACTAAAACGCAAACTAAAATGGAAATCATTAAACTGAAAACTAAAACAATTTAAACTAAAACGCAGACTTAAATAGAAATCCCACTATTGAACCATGACACAACACATGCACATTTAGATGAACACAGTGTGAGTACCTTGACAGAATCATCCAGCTCATTCCACCACATGGAGAAGAAGACTATCTCCGTCCAAATGAAGGTCATGTTGGGGTACTGGGTCAGCTTGTTCACCATGTTGTTGAGTATGTTGCGCGTCTGATCTGAGTAGTACTCATTCACGGACTTGAGCCACCCAGGGTCATTGTGGGAGTGGGGCATGAGAATAACATTCAGCTTGGGCCTGGAACTGGTTGTCACTGAAGAGGTAGAACTATCAATTAGAATAGGAACATTATGTTTCTGCAAGATTTCTAGTATCTTCATAGGACTGAATAACTGAATAGGTATCAATCAATTAGAATATGTGGAAACAACATTACATTTTTTTTCCAAGATTTCTTGTATCTTTATAGGACTGAATAACAGAATAGGTATCAATCAATTAGAATATGTGGAAACAACATTATGCTTCTCCAAGATTTCTAGCATCTTCATAGGACTGAATACCTGAATAGGTATCAATCAATTAGAATATGTGGAAACAACATAATGCTTCTCCAAGATCTCTCTAGCACCTTCATAGGACTGAATAACTGAATAGGATTCAATCAAATAGAATATATGGAAACAATATCGTGCTTCTCCAAGATCTCTTTAACATCTTCATAGGACTGAATAGGTATCAATGAATTAAAATATAAGGAAACAGTTTCACATTTCTTTGAGATGAACCTATGACATTCTCCCCCCCCCCCCCCCGACTATTGTAATTACCCTCCCCTGCTGTTGTCAATGCATGTTATATACTTTATATGGTCAAGTGATGAACTCATCATTTTATAAAATGTCAAGGCAACTTATACAATGCCTTAAACGGGCTCGCAGAATGTAAATAAGAAAATGAGCTCAAAATCCCCAGGGTTGATCAGGTTTTGAACAATTGCAATGGTATTTACCATGACATAAAATATAGAAATCATCTACTTCATGTACTGAGGTAAATTTCAGATTTATTTTTCATTCATACGTCACATTTATATACATAATAATACTTACGGCCCTTTGGCACTTCTATGAATGTTTGGAGCATTTACCATGACATAAAATATAGTTTATTTTCTGACTTATATTTCATTTCATGGGTTTATTTAATTATAAGATCAGTTACCATTTACATGAATGCTTCGGCATTTACACATTGACACAATACTTCCTGTACCTATTTTTATTTTATTTTGATCCCATTACGTTTTTTTTTTAAATTACTAGAGTTGTTAGCACTTACAAGAATGTTTTGTGGGGATGGGCATCTCCCATTGACCATCAGACCTTTTTTTAATTACTAGAGTTGTTAGCACTTACAAGAATGTTTTGTGGGGATGGGCATCTCCCATTGACCATCAGACCTCAGGATGAAGTTGGTGTTCTGGAAGACGTCATAGGTTGAGAGGTTGGCATGGTGACCTGGGCTAGACTTGAGCAGCCCGCACACCTTGGCGTCTGTCTGACTTGACCCCTGCACGCAAGAAGATGAAGAAAACCTCTACATTAGGTGAATACAAGTAAACAAGTCAGTCATCAGGAATATTTCCTTTATCTCTACATTAGGTGAATACAAGTAAACAAGGAATATTTCCTTCACCTCTACATTAGGTGAATACAAGTAAACAAGGAATATTTCCTTTACCTCTACATTAGGTGAATACAAGTAAACGAGTCAGTCATCAGGAATATTTCCTTTACCTCTACATTAGGTGATTACAAGTAAACAAAAAATATTTCCTTTACCTCTACATTAGGTGAATACAAGTAAACGAGTCAGTCATCAGGAATATTTCCTTTACCTCTACATTAGGTGAATACAAGTAAACAAAAAATATTTCCTTTACCTCTACATTAGGTGAATACAAGTAAACGAGTCAGTCATCAGGAATATTTCCTTTACCTCTACATTAGGTGAATACAAGTAAACAAGGAATATTTCCTTTACCTCTACATTAGGTGAATAAAAGTAAACGAGTCAGTCATCAGGAATATTTCCTTTACCTCTACATTAGGTGAATACAAGTAAACAAGGAATATTTCCTTTACCTCTACATTAGGTGAATACAAGTAAACAAAAAATATTTCCTTTACCTCTACATTAGGTGAATACAAGTAAACGAGTCAGTCATCAGGAATATTTCCTTTACCTCTACATTAGGTGAATACAAGTAAACAAAAAATATTTCCTTTACCTCTACATTAGGTGAATACAAGTAAACGAGTCAGTCATCAGGAATATTTCCTTTATCTCTACATTAGGTGAATACAAGTAAACAAGGAATATTTCCTTTACCTCTACATTAGGTGAATACAAGTAAACGAGTCAGTCATCAGGAATATTTCCTTTACCTCTACATTAGGTGAATACAAGTAAACAAAGAATATTTCCTTTACCTCTACATTAGGTGAATACAAGTAAACGAGTCAGTCATCAGGAATATTTCCTTTACCTCTACATTAGGTGAATACAAGTAAACAAGGAATATTTCCTTTACCTCTACATTAGGTGAATACAAGTAAACGAGTCAGTCATCAGGAATATTTCCTTTACCTCTACATTAGGTGAATACAAGTAAACAAGGAATATTTCCTTTACCTCTACATTAGGTGAATACAAGTAAACAAGGAATATTTCCTTTATCTCTACATTAGGTGAATACAAGTAAACAAGAAATATTTCCTTTACCTCTACATTAGGTGAATACATGTAAACAAGGAATATTTCCTTTACCTCTACATTAGGTGAATACATGTAAACAAGGAATATTTCCTTTACCTCTACATTAGGTGAATACAGGTAAACAAGGAATATTTCCTTTACCTCTACATTAGGTGAATACATGTAAACAAGGAATATTTCCTTTACCTCTACGTTAGGTGAATACAGGTAAACAAGGAATATTTCCTTTACCTCTACATTAGGTGAATACAAGTAAACAAGGAATATTTCCTTTACCTCTACATTAGGTGAATACAAGTAAATAAGGAATATTTCCTTTACCTCTACATTAGGTGAATACATGTAAACAAGGAATATTTCCTTTACCTCTACATTAGGTGAATACATGTAAACAAGGAATATTTCCTTTAACTCTACATTAGGTGAATACATGTAAACAAGGAATATTTCCTTTACCTCTACATTAGGTGAATACAAGTAAACAAGGAATATTTCCTTTACTTCTACATTAGGTGAATACATGTAAACAAGGAATATTTCCTTTATGTCAACATTAGGTGAATACAAGTAAACAAGGAATATTTCCTTTACCTCTACATTAGGTGAATACAAGTAAACAAGTCAGTCATCAGGAATATTTCCTTTATCTCTACATTAGAGGAACATTAAGGACAGGAATGCTAGAGTTACCTAGGGTAAGTTCAAAGGTCACTAAGTTGCTAGACTCAGAACCTTTCTCTGCCACTGTACAGGGAAAATGTGGTCAGCAATGTCAATTTAGCCATTCCATACCTTATCACTTAGTTTCTGAATTTAACCTACAGGTATACACAGTAAATCTTATATCCAAACCCTAAAGTGCATTAGGGTTATGATATCAGTTCCATTTGATGTTTTAATGTGTTTAATGCAAAGCTCTGAATGCCCAACCATTTTCCAAGTGAACCCATTTTTACTTTTGTCATTCAGAAGAGACCAAATAAACAAATAAATAATGCAAAAGCATCAAGGGAATTAACTCTATAAACATGCATCCCTGTACTGAACTGATTTAATAATTGATTAGTCTCCCTTTAATCAAGCCAAAGCCAAACAACTCAAATCCTTTTAATTAATTTAAGCCAAACTTGCCAAAAGGATTGCATTGCTTTCACACAAATTTAGCTTTAAATTTGAAAATATGTTGTTTGATGATGTGAATAACTTTTTACAATTACATATACCACCTTCTGTTAAATGTGTTGACTTCATTTAACATATAAATACCTTCAGTAAAGTAAGTAAAACAGATGAAAGGCAGATGAAATTGAGTTCACATGTTTTCTGTAACCTCTAGATATATAGGGGATAGTGTGGTCAGTTCTATACTGAAACATTTACTTTCCCTAATGCAAGTCAGGTATCCATCACAGCTGAGTCGACTCAGGGATGTCCTACAGATTAGAACCTGGGTGTTGAATTCAACATTTTTAGGCCACCAGTTGTGCACTACCACCCAGCCATGTCATCCCATCTCACTAACAATTTTCCCCAGATTTATAACTACCTTCAGCTGTTGGCTGTAGTTTAAAACTTTTATAACTACCTTCAGCTGTTAGTTTAAAACTTTCCCCCAGATTTATAACTACCATCAGCTGTTAGTTTACAACTTTTCCCCCAGATTTATAACTACCTTCAGCTGTTAGTTTAAAACTTTTCCCCAGATTTATAACTACCTTCAGCTGTTAGTTTAAAACTTTTCCCCAGATGTATAACAAACATCAGCTGTTGGCTGTTAATTTAAAACTTTTATAACTACCTTCAGCTGTTGGCTGCAGTTTAAAACTTTTATAACTAACTTCAGCTGTTGGCTGCAGTTTAAAACTTTTATAACTACCTTCAGCTGTTGGCTGTAGTTTAAAACTTTTATAACTACCTTCAGCTGTTGCCTTTAGTTTAAAACTTTTACCCCAGATCTATAACTACCTTCAGCTGTTGGCTGTAGTTTAAAACTTTTATAACTACCTTCAGCTGTTGGCTGTTAGTTTAAAACTTTTATAACTACCTTCAGCTGTTGGCTGTTAGTTTAAAACTTTTATAACTACCTTCAGCTGTTGGCTGTTCTTCCTCCCAAACAGCAGCTGGTGCTGCTCCTGTAGCTCCGTCTGCAGCGCCTCCTCGGGCAGGTTCTTGTAGACCCCCAGCAGCACCAGGGCCAGCACCCCCACGGCCACCACACGGTGCCAGAACTTCATGTTTCCCATGAACAACATTCTCGCTGGTCCTGGGGATCACTGGGGGCGGGGGAGGACGTGGGTGCTGCTAGCATCATGGTGTGGGCATGGCTCTGTTCTCTGTGGATTAAAAAACATCATGAGATCACAGGGGACGAGAGAGGACGTATCTTGATGTTTGCATCATGATGTGTGCAGATGAAGTAGAGTTCATCAGTTTCAAAGACCTCGGCATACGGAGGGATGGTGTGGTCAGCACTATGCCCAGTCTCCTTTACTTTTCATAACCTGACTCAGGTACCCATCACAGCGAGCTGGGTGGACTAAGTGACGTTCTACTGATTTGAACCCGGATTCGATCTGGAGATTTTTGGGTTAGCAGTCAAGCGCTCTACCGCTAGGCCACGCAACACTATATGTCACTGGCATAATATGGTATAATTACGGCTTTGAAATCTAAGAATTTGGTGCCCTCTTTACCATTAAATGCACCCAAATATGGAATTCTAACCCCCCCCCCCCCCAACCATAAGCAAATAGCTTATGCTCCAGTTCAAATTTATTTTTAAGAGTTAAACATATAGAATAATAATATAAAATACTAAATCCAATACTGTTTTCTGTTAGAACCAGAAATAAACAGTCGTCCTAAATTTACAATGATCCTGGAAGCCAATCGTATTTAGGAGGGAGGGGGGAAATTGTTAGGCATTCGAGAAAGAAATCTTGTACTACAGACATCGTCTAAAACTATAATGCACGTTTACTATCCAACCATTGAAATAACCTGTTTAATTCACGGTCCAGCTTTCATTTTTTCACATGACTTTTTAAGTAAACTGTTTATTAAATTAATTTGTAATGCAATTATTTATCAATTAGTTTTAATGTTCGGTAGATAAATCACTTTCAGTATAAAACGGTCTACCAATCAGTCATTACTCAAATTCTGCGTTCAAATGATCGATACCCCCACCCCTCCCCTACACCCCCCCCCCCCCCCCCACACACACACACACACAAAACATCAGACCAGCAGTTGAACGAAAGCGATACCTAAGCTCGTCTAGACAAACTTTGTGGTACATTTCCCCCGCTACGCTCCCAAGCGGGCTAATCGCGTTAAAATGACACGCGGATAAGACCGGTATCTTTAAACATTCAATTTATGAGCCCGGGGGTAGAGGGGTCGGTAGAAAAATGCCCGTGGCCCCGGGGCATGTGAGAGAGAAAGTACTCCTCGAGTACCCCATCTTTCAGGCCGGCGTAGGGCGCGATAGGGTAGATAAGCGACGGTTCCGAGGTGTGCGACACGGGATGCGCTCGCGGGGTCACGGAAATGTAGGTCACGTCTGATTTATGCAAAATGCAACATAAAAAGAGTCAGTGAGAATAGTTTATGCGCTCATTTCCATTAGAATAAGCGTTTTAGAGTTCTATTTTTAGATCCGTACCGGCGATAACCTAATCGATTAAGATATCGAAGTTACAACAAATCTATTTTTAAACAGAAGTCATTGCCCAGGCAGTATTTATACCGGTACACGGAAGACTAAATAAACAACATGCTTATTTCGGTCAACGGCGATCTATATTTAACTCCAATTTATAGGTACTATATTTTTAGAATTTGTGTACAGCAGTTTGACTGATGTAATATAATGCTAAAGTTTCAGATTGTATGAAGTGCTGCGTGGCAGAATCGAGAAAACGGCGGATACCGAGATGGGTTCGGAGCCTTTTAGAACTGCGGCGTTTTTCGGGGGGGGGGGGGGGGGATTTTGTGTTTATATTTTTTTTTAAATCTGAGAGCAACTATCAAGGATTTTTATAGAACTAATGAAAAAAGCATCTCTTGTAGCATCTACTGTAAGAGGATATAAGCCCATTGCTTATTTCCTCGCTAGTCTATTGAACGAAATAAGCACGTTGATTATTTCTTCTCCCGTCGATTGCAATATCAATAGCAAATCCAGTTATCAAATTTAGGCCTATAAAAAGTGGTTTCCTTTCATGTATCTACCATAGTAAATGCCATTCACAGAATTAAAAAAAAATAATCTCGTTCTGTAGTTAAGCTAAGACAGGCCACTATACATTTTTTTTTTCAACACAGATCCTTTTAAAAATATACTTAGAA